TCACTCGATCGTAAACTTCTAAACCAGTCAATGGTTCTCTCGGCAATTTCATCCTCCCGTATGCCATTAAAAGCTTTCTTCGATCTACGGTATGGATGGTCATGCGGGAGAAATTTTCTCGTGCTCGTTATAAATTGTCTTCTTTCCATGTTTCAATTGTATATAACTCGGTCTCTTCTTCACAAATAGGACAAGCATAATGCCCCTTCACACTATACCCACTCAAGTTTCCATGGGCAGGGAAGTCATTAATGGTGCAAAATAACATTGCATGCAACTTGAACTCATGCTGCTGATACTCGTCAAATGCATCTACTCCTTCCTCCCATAATAGTGTTAAGTCTTCTATCAAAGGACTCAAATACACATCTATGTCATTTCCTGGCTGTCTTGGACCTAAAATCATCATACACAACATGACATATTTGCGCTTCATGCATAACCATGGTGGAAGATTGTAAATCATCAATAAAACGGGTCATGAACTATGGTTACTACTTAAATTTCCAAAAGGATTCATCCCATCTGTTGCTAATCCAAGTCTAAGGTTTCTTGCATCACTACCAAAACTTGGAAATAGACGGTCAAAATTCTTCCATTGGGGAGAGTCAGATGGATGTCGCATTTGCCCATCACATGTTTTTCTCTTTGAATGCCAAATTAAATTTTCAGCATCTTCGTGAGCGTACAACCGCCTAAATCTTGGAATAATTGGAAGATACCATAAAACTTTTGCAGGAGGACGTTTTTTACCACTCTCCCGACTACAATCATCACCAATCCTTCGTTTTGTAACGTGATACACCACATGTTGGACATTGGTCTAAAGATGAGAATTCTTTCCTGTATAACACACAATCATTAGGGCAAGCATGTATCTTCCTATATTCTAAACCCATCGGACATAGTATCTTCTTCGCTTCATACATACGGTCCGAGCAAGGTGTTATTGTCTCGGGAGCATCTCCTTCAAAAGTTGGAGTAATTCATTAAAACTTGTATCACTCCAACCAAATTTTGCTTTTAGATTGACCAATCTTAACACGGATGACAACCGTGTGAAAGTTGTACATCCGGGATACAAAGGTGTCTCTGAATCGGTCCTCAATGTATCATATATAGATGCATGTGCTTCAAGAAAGCTCTCTTGACCCACATCACAAAGCATGTCCTCTATTCGATCTTCACAGGTTACATCATCCTCAATAGTTTGTGATACTGTTGGAATATCAACCACTTCACCGTGCCATGTCCATATGGTGTAATTCTTCATCATCCCATCGCAAATAAGATGCTCCCGCGTTATGTCCATCTCTTGTACTCTGCCATTTACACAATTAATGCATGGGCAGTAGATTTTTCCATTCATTTTTGAAGCATTTTGTTCGGCAAATTTCAAAAAGGAGTCAACTCCATTCTCATACTCTTCTGACATACGACTTGCATTGACCCAAGTTCGATCCATCTAACTACACAAAAAGGCTTGCCTAGATATTCAAGGTTTATTAGAAAAGGTTTAACAAAACAATACAAAAAAAACGTGTACATTGCCTAACAATGCTCTAATGTTCCATACATGCTCTAATGTTCCATATACCACTTCAAAACCTAAACCTAAACCTAAACAAAACCTAATGTTCCATATACCACTTCGAAACCTAAACGAACCTAGATCAAATCAAACCATATATACAAAATCATCCATCATCTTTCTAATGTTCCTACGCAGAAAATACTCTAAATAATCCATATTTATGTTAAATGCATGCTATAAATCATCCATACAACTTAATCTAACCTGATGAGAGCGCGGCGAGTGGGCCTGATGAGGTAGCAGCGGCGAGTGGGCGGCGAAGGGGCGGCGAGGGGGCAGCAGTGAGGACTGAGGCACAGCGAAGAAGAAGCAGAAGGAGGGAGTATGTGGGACGAAGAAGAAGCAGACGAGGGGGCAACACGCCAAGGAGGAGAGGTATAAAGGAAATTCAACGTCGGTTATTAAAAAACCCGACGTGGATAACGCTTTCGACGTCGGGTAAATCATGTAACCGACGTTGATTTTGGGAATTCAACGTCGGTTATACATAACCGACGTTAAATTTAAACATTTAACGTCGTCTGTCATATAACCGACGTTGAATTGCAGTTACTACGTCAGTTATTATATAACCGACGTTAAATTTTGTTTCATAATTACAAGTTTGTCACCGCGTCTTGTACAACGTTGGTCTTCGTGATAACCGACGTTGGATGCTGTCGTAGAAAGTGTTTTCTGTAGTAGTGTCAGTACGTATATATGTGTTGTATAAAAGAATAAATAACACTCCTATTCCTATTGTGGTGGGTGTTACTCCTGTGGCCATTAGTAACATCTTGCTGAGGATTTTGAAAATTGATACAAGGGAAGACAAGTAATTCATGTTGGGTCTATAGATGAACAAATTGATACAACTGAGATAGAGACACACACTCATGTGGCAGCAAATATAGGTGGAAACATTTACGAAGATGTCCTGAATATGGTTAATTAGAAATACCATTGTTTCATTCCTTACAGCATCCACAACTCGTTATAGTTTTTTTTTTTTATCAATTTTGTTATATTTATAAGAAAATTTTAAGTTAATAATTTCGTAGGATTTAATATGAAAAATGATATTTTTAGTAAATTTTGCAGAAATAATGAATCAACAAAAGAGATCAAGAATATGAATGACTATAAAATAAAATTTAATTTGAAGGCATGAAAGGGGTTCAACACCATGTTTTGTATGATAAAATATATAATTTGTTCCTAGTATAAGAAAATATATGAATTAACTTCATGTCTTTAGACGAGAAGTTGAAACTATATGTCTTTGGATAAAAAGAAGGGTGGGAAAAAGGAAAAACATAGAAGAGAAAGTCATGCTATTTTGATTAGAGTAAAGATAACCAAAACAAAATTGTAAGTGATTATATTAATTAAAATAATACAAAAAATATTATTAAATTATTTAATGAATGATTAAAATACTTTTATTTAAAAATTAAAGATAATAATATTAAGAATTGATATAATTTTTAAATTTTAAAAAATTATTTAAAATTATCCATTGAATATCTGTTGAATAATGTGTCAATTATTGAAATAAAAATATTCTTAAATACTTGTAAAGATAGTTCTATATTTATTTTAGAAAGCAAATTAAAGAAGATTATTTAAAAGTTTTTTTACATATACTATAATGTATGTTTTGCATAAAAGTTTACTCTACTTATCTTTGGTTGCTTTTACCATTATAGCATGCCTGTGATTTGAAGAATCTTGAGTTTTAATAAGAAAATGAAGATGTAAACTTTCTGACACAATTAAAGATGTATTGTTGCTCCCTGAGCCACCAAGAAGATAAATTTTACTAAATTTATAGGCGAGGAACAAAACAAACATAAAAAAGAAAAAGGAAAAAAGAAAACTAAATTTCAACTTAAAACTCAAAATGAATTTCCACAAATATTACAGTAATAAGTGTCAAAACACTACTACATTTTAGTGGCATTTAGTTTCAGCATTTTCCATTTTTATTTTTTAAGAAAACAGATAACAAAGCTAAAAGTACGTTGTTCGAGGATTAGATTGGCCAAATTTTGTTAATAAAAGATGTTGCTTTCATTTTTTAATAAAATATCTTTCTTTTTTAAATAATATTGATTTTTAACAATAATAAATATATTATTTTTTAAAATAATTTTAATAAAACAGTAAAAAACATTAAAAAAATTATATCAAATTATATCAAAATATTACCTTAAACCCTATTATCTACAAAATATTACTTACTGGTCCTCCAACCACTAAATTATTAAGATTTTTTAATAATAATTTATAAATAAGTTATATTTATTTATAAATAAATATATAAATGTATAAATATATTTATATATATAAATATATTATGTATATATTAAGATTTTTTAATAATAATTTATAAATAAGTTATATTTATTTATAAATAAATATATAAATGTATAAATATATTTATATATATAAATATATTATATATTTATACAGATAAATATAAATATAATTTATTTACATGTTATTATCATAATATCTAAATAATTTAATGATTGGAGTATGAAACTGTCTGATTCTTGTCCTTCTAAGAATTTACTAAATAATAAAAATATAATATAAAGGGATAACCGGCTTCTTCCTTTTTAGTGAAAAAATAAAATCATGAATGCATTATTTGATTGAGCACGGAGAATAATTAATTTCAGGAGGGAAAAAAATTAAGGTTCTAATGAAATGAAAGTATTAGTTAATTTATAACTTACAAAAAAAGGTTAAAGTTGATATATATTTTGACAGAGAAATTACAAATTAATAAAAAGGATGTTTTGTTCTCTAAATTCTATTTGTGTCATACTAGTGATATGTTTTAAGAGGGTCGATATATTCATAACCCTCCCCAATCAAAAAACAACCCTAAATAACAAGTTTACATTAATAATGTTTTTGCAAAACCTGGAAGCATCATTTCTCATGTTTTAAATCAGAAGAATAACGTACAATTATACTGTCCAATAGTGTCTCGAGCTTTCTAACAATTAATTAAGTGAATCTTTGGATTAACGGCTACGTATTGTGTTAAAGAATATCATCCTTTCAGGTAGAAAACAAGTATCTTGTTTTTGCTCCTTTTCACAAAAGGTCGTATAAAAGGTGTGAAAAGAAAAACATGATCCAGCCCCCGCCATTGTTGTTTGTTCTGGCAAATGAGAAACTTGTTTTTGAATGAGAAACATGCTTTGAACGATGATTAGGTGTGAAGTATACAGGTTTCTTTCTTTAAACTTGCCATCTCACGCTCTGTTCTGTTTAAAAGATTAATTCACTTTCTCACTCATCATTGGATTCTCCGTAACGCTCTTTCTTCTTCCCTTTCAAATACCTTCCACAACACCACATTCCAATACCAAACCAAACTCTTCATTTTCATTGTCACAACAAAACCATCATGCCGAGAGCCAATCTTAACCACTTCATCCAACTCCTCAAATTCTCCACCGCCGCAACCACCATCTGCATCTTCACTCTCACCATGCTGCTCGTATGGATCGCCTTCACACCCCACTTCCCCTCCTTCCGAGTGACGTCCCTCACTGTGTCCTTCCATACCTTTAACATCACCCAGCAACCAACTGAGTCGTTTCACGTCGGGGGCATTCTACAAAACCCTAACCTGATGCTCTCGATATGTTACGACAGTCTCAGCCTGGTGATCTGGTTCAACAATATGCCCATCTCCTTGGCTACGCTCCAAAATCCACTGTTCTCGAACGGAGCCAAGACCGACACCCCAATCCAAGCCCAGTTCGAGGTGGCTGGCACGAAGTTTCCTAGCGGCGCCGTCGGTGAAATCGCTGCGCAACGGCGTGGTAATGGTTCGATCAATTTTGGAGTCACGTTGACCGCTCGGCTTAGGTTCAAGTTTTATTACTTGAGCTCCAGGACGTACTTTCTCGCACTAAACTGCTACCCCCTGCAAGTTGCCTTCTCTCTGGACGACAACATGAGCTACCAAAACGTCACTGGAACGCTGGTCGCTCCTTTCCAGTGCAATCCAGTTTAATATGTGACTTATGTATGTCACAGAGCTGTGCTTTGTACATGTTGTTCTTCATCCTATTTATAATTATAATAAAGGGGAAGCAATAATTTTTTATGTTTTGGGTTGCCTTGTGTGCTTTTAGTATACTGAAGATACTGATAAATTTAAACAGTTCATAAATGAGGTTTGTACAGAACAAATAACTGCCAAACTAACTACAGAATGGAAATATAAATGAAATTTATGATCAATTCCTGTCATTTCAAAACCATAAAATACAAAATTGGAAAGATTACTGTTTACTAAGCAAAGAAGAATCTAAGGCATTGGGGTGACTTGAAATGCAGTGTATATTCGTGTTTTGGTCATATATATATTGGTTTACAGTATAATGCATGCAGTGGCAACAATATTCGTTTTTTTTTTTTTTTTGTGTTGTGTTGTGTGCTACATTAATTACAAGTAGTTGCATTAAAACTTTCATAGATTTTAGATTATGCATCTGATTTCATAATTCAATGTATAAAGAGTATACGTATAAAGTTTTTCTGATTTGCATACCAAACACGAAGAATGTGAAAGATGTTTCTTACCAAGCTATTCTTTGTGCTAAAATGGACTCTAATCTCTATCATAATTTGATAAAAAAAAATTGTATCTGTTAAGGCTGTGTAATATAACCTCCCCTGAATCCATTGGGTGGGAGCCTCATTTACTGATCTGTTTTTTTTTTTTTTTCTGCCAGAGTTGGGTGTATTTGGCTGAAATACCAACACATACTCGCATCTTGGATAATAACATTTTAGCATACGTTTCATAAATCTTGTTTTTCCCATTGAATAAGAAACATGGCCATGAGTTTAGCATCAAAATGATTTCTGGTTAATAATGGAGATACAATATCATTATATTGGTAATGGACTTAAGGGCTTTGAGCCTCTTCATGGACAACGTCCTCAATCCATCAAGTATCGTTATAACTGCAATGAGATTAATATAAGAGAGAGTTTCTTTCAAGAACATTGGACTTGTTGGGGACTCTTAATGATGAGCAGTCCTGATATTAGTACTTTCTCTGGAATGTTCAGATTCAAATACTTGCTGCTACCAAAAGACAAGGCATTTGAGTTTCCTTGAGTTCATTACTAAAATGAACTTGGTTTCGGTGGCACCAGCATACACCAGCACAGTTATGAAGAGATGTTGAAGTCACATTCCAAATGTTTAGAATACGATTATGATCAACCTATACGCTGTTTGCTAGTTTGATCGAAAGTATTACCAACCTGTAGTCAGGGGTCATTCCCATCTAATAAATATTTTAAAGTTTTTATATAATATTAAAGTAATAAATAAACTTTATTTCACTCAAATAAATTTTCAATTTACACTTTTTTTAATGATTTATGATATCTTTCAAAATACGTGGGCTACTTAGTAATCAAGAAAAAAAAATTATGTAAAAATTTGGAATGTGGTTGGTAGGTCACTTCAATAATTTATGAACTATTTTACCTAGCCTATAAGAAAGCTTGTCCAAACTTCATTTCAATCTTTCCCTATGTCAAATCATTACTATATCCAAATCCAACCCAATGATAGGAAGTCTAATCCAAAATAAATGGTGTATCCACAAATTTTATAGCCCAAGCCCATCATACTGACCTAATTGAACACCACCATGTAATATGTTCAAAGACATCAAGACAACAAACATGTGCTTCCATGGATTAACAAATAATTCAACCTATTTTATGATATCATTTAAAACTTTAATTGTATTTTTTTCTTTTTACTATTTAGTTAGGATAGTGTGATTTTATCTTGATATTATTTTTAGAATGAGGATTTTAGGTGAAAGAGAATGAATAAGATAACTAAATTTTCTTAAATTTAAAAAAAAATATTGATTTAGGAAATAAAATAAAAAATCTAAACTACGAGGGATAAAAAAATGTAACTAATAATATAGTAATTATATTGAACCGTTTAAGAAGCTACAATTCAGGACTCATGAATGAACTACTATTTTCTTTTTTAAGAAAAACAACATAGGATTCATATTTTGCTTTCAAAAGAATGTTAAACCCGAGATAATGTAAATTGTCTTAAAGCCAAAACCTTAAAAAAAAAAAAAAATTCCAGCAACCTCAATAAAGTTTGTACCTTAATATCAGCAAATTATTAAAGAAACAAAAACGACGAAGTTTTTGAAATTAAACTCAAATTGCATTTCAACATCATTCAGTATATATTAATTGTATTAACATCTTATTACATCATTGTTTTATATTTAAATATCGACGGATTTGCTGTGTACAATTTCACGAAAATCAATGAAAAGAAAAGAAAAATAAACGCCCAAAATACAGTGAGAGATAGAAATAGAGAATAATAATAAATATTGAGTGAATGTTTAAAAATAATGAATGTAAATATATTATTGTTATTAATTAAAATATTAATGTTAGTAGGTGTTGCTACTAGGTGGTGTTTGATTAAAAGGTGTCTTCAATCCATGGAAAACTCTTCAATGGAAAAGTCGTCGTTGCATCACATCAATATGATTGCCATTCCTTGATGATGCTTTCTAATGCAGCTAGACAAAAAGGCACATACAAAAACGCTGATATGAATAATGCAAACGCAAACTGAGAAATGTGTCATTATTTATTACCAAGCACTTCTATTCGACTTAATTACTTTCTATAAATTAGGATAAACTTGATTTTAGTCATTTAAATTTAAAAGCGCTTATTTAAAAAAAAACACGAATTTAACATTTAAAATATTAAAATTGATAAATTATTATTTTGTAATTAATTTAGTCTTTCAAATTAACGTTTATACCTTTTGTCTTTTTTAATTATTGAGAAACTATAATCTTTTTTAATTTAAAATTGGAAAACTGAACTCACTTTACATTCAAAAACTAAATTCATAATAACTTTAAGTTTTAGTAAGAAAATGGTCATTGTATTCGTAGTGTTAAAATAATGCTTAGTTATTAATTTTGGATAATATAGAAGGAAGATTTATAACAGTATATAGCAGTTATAAAATTAAAAATATATATTTATTTGTAATTTTTTTTATTTTGGCAATTTTATCCTTCAAATTTTAGAATTTTTATTATTACAAATTTTAAAAGATGAAAGTTATGGATAAAAAAAATCGTAATTTCACCTAAAACTTGGCAATAACAAAATCACTACAAGAAAATATATAAACTATTTTTTTTTACATAGCAATTAGAACTTAAAATAGAGGCAATTGTATGGAAAATTAGTTTAACCCATTTGTTATGTATGATTAGTCCAATTAAAAATGATTGGTGTTTGGATGAGTAGAAAAGTTTGGCTGTTTTCTTTGATTGTCCTTTACTCCTTGCTTTCCATTTCACCTTTTAAAATTTGGAGTTTTGTTTGGTTTGAGAATTTTCATTACCATGCCTTCAACCTCGTTCTTTTCTGCTTTTCCAGTTTTGTCTCTTTTCGAACCACATCATGTACATATGAATTATTAATCAATGCATATCCACTACTTGTTTTTATATACGTCTAATTTTTGTATCTTTTTAAATTCTCGCATCGTTTATATATTTTGTGACTATTTTATTGAAATGTTATTGTTAAATACTAGTTATATTACAAGTTTCTTACCAAAAGTAAAACATCAATTATCATAAAAGTCAAATGATTTTATCAAATGATATATTTCATATGATACATTAGTACATCTAATCATTTATGGAATAATGATAGTTTTCAAAATAAATTTATTTAATCTATAGAACTAGTATAATTAAATATATTTAAAATATTTAAATATCTTATTAAATTTCTCACAAAAATTCCTTTAATCCTATATTTTATTAAAAATAATATTTTTATTCCAAGAAAAATATGTCGAGTATTTGATATTGGGCATTTGAGCAAAATCATTTATAAATAAAAAAAACATAAATTAATTAAGATGATATTTTATAATATTTTTTAAACACTCAAAATAATTCTCCAATTACACACGTTATTATATTGTTGGGACATGAAAAAAGAGAATCTACCACTATTTACTATATTAAAATTTTATTTTTTTATCAATTAAAAATACCAAATTATAAAAAATAACAATGTATAAAACAATTTCATACTCATAAATAAAAATAAAATTTATTAAAAATATGAAAAGGTAATAATATCACACTTACGATATTTTTGTATATTCACTGATAAAATAAAATTAAAATAAGTTGTTGTACGATTGATACTAGATTTGAACAAAGTGTTAAATACGAGTTTCGAAAATAAAAAACGAAAAGGAGATATTGTACTAAGAAATTTTTAATAAAACTATTGTCTTTTTTATAAGACCTCTTTGGTAGTAAAATGATAAATTAATTATTTTGACATACAAATATTCTTAATTAATTGAGTTATTTTGACTATAGAAAATAATAACATTGAAAAGAAACAAGTGGAAAGGAATATCCGTACAGGCAAAGTGATAGTAAAAGAGAAATTTGGGAGGTTGGAAGAAGCACTTGTAGGACCTGAATCTGAAGTTGAAACAGTGATGGCGTAAATAATGGAACCTAGGGATCAGGGAAGAGAATAATAACGGAACATCTTCCTAAATGTCAGTGCAAGTGCATCAACGCAATCCCTTTTTCTATCTACCCCTTACTCACGTGTTGCCATGGCCCGTGCCTCCTCTTTCATTTTTTTTTTAATAACTTTTCTCAATTATCTTTTTACTTTTTTGAATTACTTTCAGATAGTATAAGTCATTTTTAAAAATTATATCATTATAAAAAATATAATTCAAAAAACAGCTCATACTTAGCTTAAATGTAAATTTTAAAAATGTTTACTTGGTGAAATAAGTTAGGCGTGTTTGTCATTTTCGACAGTAATCCTCGTTAATAAAAGTAAGTTTTGATCTCCACGCAGAGAAAAATAATTCATGGGATGGGACCGATTTATGCGGTCCTTAATTTCAACGAACTACGGCCACAAAATTTTCTCCGTTTCATGGCTGCTAACATTGGACTTACCTGTTCTGTCGGTGCTCATTTTTTTCATTTCAAAAAGAAAATGATTTTCGTTTACATTGATAAGAAAATTCAAACCAGGTAGATACAGTTCCCAAACCAAGGTTGTTTTATTGTTCACGTTGTTTAATTTCTTGGCCTCATCAATGTTTCCCACATGGATATATTACTTCAATAATAACAATAATAATTTAGTTCTATTTAATGTGATGACAACTAAAATTGAAAAGGCAATTCATGTATTCGATTATCACGTTGGTTGGGGATGCTCTTACTCAAATTAACATTTTCTTTTATTGAGATTGTCATAAACAAATTTAAACATGTTGACTTGGATGAAATGAAAGATTTAAATTTTTAAAAAGACACTATAAATGAAAAATTGGGCATCAAAATTTTGATTGAAATAACTTGTTTGAAAGTTGTATTAACTAAATTAGTTAAAGTTTTCCCTATCACTGCTTTCGTCTCTGGTATACAGAGTTCAAGAAACCGTAGGAATCTCTGTTTGGCCCCCACAGATTCCACGAAGAGAATAAAATTTGTAGAAATGGAAATTTATCAATGTCTTCTACTTACAGAATAGTGCTTCATTAAATTACTCGTTAAAACGATTCATTGATTAAATAGCTGCGTTGATGCTTTACCCTAACTATATTTTATATTATTATTTTTTTTCTTATAATTATATGATTTGTTTGTACAATTTTACTAATAAAAACTAATTTCTCAAATAAAAATGAGTTTGCGTGTCTGAGCTGAAAGCTTTGTTTTGTGTAAGTGGGGCCTAGTGTATACCACACGTGGCGTTGGAAGGTGTTCTTCCTCATCACACAGTATCTGAAAGCAAACATGATCATTCCCGACGACAAAAATGAGGTAATTATCATTTTATAATGATTATTAATATTATATAGTGTTTTTATTTTTAATATATTTATGAATCTCAACATAATTTGGTATTTGGGATTAAAAGTTTTCATATAGACAGATCATATTACTTTGTATATGATAATTGATTTTGAATTTTCTCTTAATTTAGACAGAATAAGTAATATTATAATTTTTTTCATTACTTAACGAAGCTAATAATTCAATATTTTGTCTTAAAATTTGATCCACTTTCATATGAAAAATTATTATACTTTAAATGTCTTTTTCCAGTGTTATATATATATATATTTTTTAAATTATCTATAATAGATTTATTAATCTTTATACAGATAATCTTGAAGTTGTACGAATAATTTTTTTTTGTGACTTTAATATATATTATTTACTTATTATGACAAGTTATTAAAATATGAATATATCCATAAGATAAGTATAAATGTAATTAAACAGTATAAAACGTAGAACTATAAGATAATGGCTTTGTCTCCATTACACTTCATTTTCAACTTTTTATTATTATTATTATTATTATTATTATTTATCTATCACATCATCAAACTTATACTTTCTTCCCCACCTTTTTCCTTTTCATTTTCTTTCTATCATCTGTCCACACAACAAAATAATAGAGTGAAGTTTAATCAACACTCAAAAGTAAAGCACCCCTTTATTGACTTGGCAAGCATCAAACATTAACCAAACCCATGCCAATGAAAATAGACAAGTAAGAGTGCAACGTTGCTCTTGACAAGCGTAGAATGTGCACCTCCACGTATGATTAGTAAATGCTCTTTAAAGTAACATCAACAGCTGTTTAATTCTCCCGAAGAAAATTAGCCAATAATTTTAAAATACTCAAATATGGTAGCAGAAATTATAAATAATTTTGTCTAGTTTCGTTTAAAAATGCATATAATTTCTACTGTGCTACGTAATTATTGGCATAAAATCCGAATTATTTAATTTATGACATTGGCTTGTGGGAAACGATTTAAGTGTGTGCAAGAAAGAATCTTCTGGACACAATTTTTTGTGTAAAAAAGTTCTGGACATAAACTTTTCCAAGCTCAATTCTCTCACAACGAGACAAAAACACTACACAAAAGAGTTTTTTTTTTTGGATTTTTTATACCAAAGTTACGTTCATAAGTTTCCAATAACGAATCAGTGTCAGTAGTTAGATAGGAGTAAAAGTTGGTGTGAGATAGTACAAATTAGATCCTCTCCACACATTACTACCATAGCAGTAGTAAGGAAAAAGCATGCGTAACTAGAAAGAGAAAAGAACAAAACTAGGAGGTTAAACTTGATAAACGTTATTCTTTTGTTTTGCATAAGCAGTGGGACACACAAACACGAAATGACCCAAGTCACAGTTCCCATTTTCACACACAGTTCTAATGAAATTATGAAACTACCAATAAAGCATTAATAATTTTGGTGAATTGGCCTCAACAACCAAAAGCAGCCTCCACCATTCAAATACCATATCCCAACTCTACAACGTAGCACGATCTTATCACTTTCTTAGAACACAACACTTCACCTTGCAAATAAATCAACACCAAACGCGCCCACAACGCACAAAAACACAAACACATTTACAAGAAACCTCCACCACACGGAACCTCACATCCACCATCTACAAATTAATATCTTATTGTTCTTTTCTTTTCACACCACTGTCTCTTGAAACCAAGAACCACAGACGATGTCGAACAAGAAGGAGTGCGACCACCACAAGGGGAAGAAGAAGAGGATCTTCCGGCAAGTGTTCTGGTGCATAGCGGTGTTCCTCTTCATCGTGTTGGTCACTATTCTTCTCATATGGGCAATCCTTAGACCTACCAAACCCACCTTCACTCTCCAAGACGTCACCGTTTACGCCTTCAACGCCACCGTCGCCAACTTCTTGACATCCAATTTCCAAGTCACGCTCATCTCACGGAACCCCAACGACAACATCGGAGTCTACTACGACCGCCTCGAAACCTACGTCACTTACCGGAGCCAGCAGGTGACCTACCGCACCGCCATCCCTCCCACCTACCAGGGCCACAAAGATGTCAATGTTTGGTCGCCGTTTGTCTACGGCACCAACGTCCCCGTCGCCCCCTTCAACTTCGTCGGCCTCAGCGAGGACCAGGCTAACGGTAACGTCCTCATCACCATCAAAGCCGACGGCAGAGTCCGCTGGAAGGTCGGCACCTTCATCTCCGGCCGCTACCACATCTACATCCGCTGCCCCGCCTTCATCTCCTTCGGCTCCCGCAGCAACGGCATCGTCGTCGGCGAAAACGCCATGAAGTTCCAGATCATCCAACGTTGCTCCGTCAGTGTTTAAACTCACCAGAAATGCTACCAATATATTCTCTAACACTCTCTTCTAAACACACTTTCTTATTATTATTAGGAAAAAACTTACACGATATCATAAATACTATTGATGCTGTTCTTCAATAATGTTCACCATTTCACCTTAATCATATAAAATGCATTTAATAAGATGCAGATTAAACAACAGCATCAATAATATTATGTAAGTTTTGTCCTTTAGTCCGCTAACAAAAAATATCCATAACTGAATTTAGTGTGGAAAAATTTGCATCATTAATTTAGTGACCAACTTTTTAAAAAATATACGCATAATAATATTTGGTCACTAAGTTTTTAGTTTTTTTCATGAAATGTTTTAAGATTTATTGAAAATGTTACACTTTTATTATCACTTCTTATTTAACATGTTGAAGATGCTATTGGTATATATTTCAATCAATTTGAATGAATAAAAAAAGTGTGTTAGAAGAATGTATCAAAGAATGTGTTGTTGGTATTCTCCAATCCATTGTATTTTTATATGTATGTATTCTTCCACTGTTGTTACTGTACGAAAGTTGTGTATGAATTGGTGGGTAGATGTTTGTATTTTACGTTTTGCTATAGAAATGTGAAACAGACGGAAGAGTCGGATATATAGCAAAATTACAAGGTGCAAAAGTGTAACTGAGGTACGATGACAATAAAATTTCATGTTTGAATTGGGATAACAAGTAAGAGTGTGTGATGAAGCATGGATCCTTTGAGTCATTATCTTTCCTTTTCTCAATATATTATTCGCATTTTTTTGCCTTATTTTATTTTGCTACACACCTTTTGGACATTTCTTTATTCCTTGGTAGCTTATACGTGTGTGCATATTCACAAACCATATTCCATAACGCTTTCTTTATCGGCACGAAGTGGACCACTTTAGTATTATCTGTGAGTGTCATTTTTATCTTTTTTTCTTCAGCGGTTAGTGACTGAATATTCATTTGGCTGGAGATATATATATATATATATATATATATATATATATATATATATATATATATATATATATATATATATATATATATATATACCTGCACCAAGTTTGAGGTTCCTTTTGGCGTAGAGTATATGTTGTTTAGGGTATGGTAAAGGTTTTGTTGTGGGATATTTGGAAGAAAGAGTAGGAAGGAAAAGGCAATTGCAAAAGTGAATCAAATTTTTTTCTGTAATGAGAAGAGATTTAGGGGTAAAGGTGAATTATTGAAGTGGTTGTGGGTGCCTAACTTTTGGAGGAATATTATTGTGGGTGTGTGTATTGATCCACACACGGCATGGTCATGGTGGTGGTCCTTTTCACCCCCCCTCACCTACTTTGGTTACTAATAATATCAAGAAAGAAAGCTTTTCTTCCATTAAGTGTGTTAATGACATGTCCTTATCTTCACTCATTTTTGTTAACTAAATCGAAGTTAAGATAACCCAACTCAATGACCTTTATTGTTTTTTTTTAATGATTTTTTAATATTCTTCCATAAGTTTTACATGATAAATATAATTTACTTATTGTTATCCAATTTATGGTACAAGTGATAGATTTTTATTTTTTTTTTGAGAAATTCTCACATTAAAAAAATAATAATTAAGAGATAATTGCTTAATTCACCGACAAGGAGGGAGTCGAATCGAGACAGGAATGTTAAAGATTAAAGGAACCTTGTTTTGATTTGTCTAAAATCACAATCAGTAACGTGACAATGTGAATACGACTGAGGACGCTCCACTGAAATGAATCTAAGCACATGAAATTCAGCTGCCACAGGACCAGCCTAATTATTAATCATAACCTATCCATTTCTCCACACACCTTTTATGTTTCGACCTGATATGTATATCTTACACCTACAAAACCAGATTTTTCTCCCCCTCATTTTTTGAGATGGCTTATAAAATTCATTGGCCAAGTAATACACCACTATTATATAGAGTAGCAAATGAAGTAGGTTTGAGAGCATTATAAATCTGCCAAGTGATCATCATAGTGTTAATTAGCTACTTTAGCCATTTATTATGTTGTTTCTTTAGATTATTTTATAAAATGTTTTTGGCTATTTATAATGCATTATTTTAAATGAGAAAGATAAAATAATCAAATAAAAAATAATTTTCATTAAAAGGTTCTGTACAAAAATTGATTAAAAACTATACTCATCTTGAAAAAAAGTAGTTGTTCCTATTCCTGATATGGCAGAAATGACTTTGTAGTTATCTGTAGGACTTTGACCAAAGTTACACCTCTTTATATGTATTGATTGTGTTGGAGATGGGTTGGGTAGCTACAAAGCCCCACCCTTATTTATGTTCCAAGTACTTTGTACTTTGGGCCTGCCTCATTGCTCCATACATTTTTAAAATAGCATATATAGAAAAAGTAGAAAATTATTTACTTTAAAAATAAAATTATTCTTTTGTATTTTTATCATATCTTTTTAATAATATAAAATAATAACTCATCTCAATTATTATATTAAAAATATAAAAAATGATATAATAATACATTTCTAATTTTTTTATTGAAATAAATTAATATTATATGTAAGTTTTTACTTTTTTACTTTTATTATTCAATTTTTATAATTATTATTTTAAATTTTAAATTATAAAACTAAATAATATAAATAAACAATAAATCTCTAACCCTTATTCTTAATATATATATATATATATATATATATATATATATATATATATATATATATATATATATATATATATATATATATATATATATATATATGAAATAAACCCATTTCATATAGTAATTCACTTAATAATGCATACCCTACCTTGAAGCTAGTTGATAATTAAACACAATGGTTCGTCTGGTACCCAAACACGTCTTAGTTAGATTTTCAACCGCGTGGTGGTTTAAGGCAATTAATTTTTCTCTTCTTCTAAACTAAACCATCTTCCACAAAATTAACAAACAAACAACTTACCATAACATAACATCACAACCAAACAAACAAACCCTTTATCCTAAATATAACAACAAACAGAACAAACCAAGTATACCCTTTATCCTATATATATATAACAACTAATTGATCACGGGAAAATGAATTGTTCCACAACTAAAAATGAAATATATACCAGTTCATATCTACTTTTATTGATGTAAATAATAATAATAATAATTATTATTATATCATTAAAAGTAAATATTAACTGGTAAATTTTCAGATCTAGATCCAGTTGTAAAGGTAACATCATCCTCGATCAGAAACCCATTCTTCCGTCACAAAAAAACCACTTCATATTCTTCATCCTCTATTTGTATGTTTCCAAATTTCCATTAGAACATGGGTGAGAAGGAACCCCAACTAAACGGTGCGTATTACGGCCATGGGATTCCTCCAGCGGAGGCGCCACGAAACCACCGCCGAACAAATTGCTGCAGCTCCCTCTTCTTCAGCTTCCTCTGGAAGTTTATCCTTGCAGTCATGATCTTCGTCGTTGTTGTATTCATCGTCTTCTGGGTCGTGATCGAGCCACGTCCCTTCAGGTTCGTCGTGAGCCACGCGACGCTTGCGCAGTTCAACTACACCTCCAACGACAACACCCTTCGTTACAACCTCGTCCTCAACTTCACGGCACGAAACCCCAACACGAAGCTCGACATCTACTACGACACCGTAGAGGCGAACGTGTTCTACGAGGGCGTAAGGTTTGCGACCACGGAGGTGGTGACGTTGCAGAATTCGTTCCTCCAAAGTACGAAAAGCACGGATCACATGTACGGGGTTTTCACGGGGATTCACGTGACGGTGTTGAATGACGATCAGATGAAGGATTTCCAAGAAGATCAGAGAAGTAGGATTTTTAATGTCGATTTGAAACTTTATTTTAAGATTAGGTTCAGGCTTGGTGAGTTCACAGGTTCTAGCATGAAGGTTAAGGCGAAATGCGAGCTTGAGATTCCTTTGAGTGCCATAGGAAATACTCCCATGGCGACTTTGTTCCTACCCACCAAATGCCATGTCTATTTATGAATGTCCCTGTACAACGTCACATGTCACAAAGTACATAAATTTTGTCACTCAAACTATTAAATTCCATGCTTCGATTTACTTCTTTTAATTTCTGTGTCGATTTATTCACGTAAATTTTAAAAACATTTTTTCTTTTTACTCAACAAATGGTTGATATATGTGTTCGCTGTATGAAAAGTTTATTTCAAGACTGAAGAATAATTAACTTCAATTTGATAGCAGGTGTTACACGTTAAAACCTTCATCCAACAAATAACGTACTAACTTAGGCATCGTTTTTGGTCAGAGAAAATGATGTGTTGAACCGGTTGTCAACATATCACTAAGTCAATTTTTCGAATACTGCAAAAATAAACATAAATGGCTTAATTTAATACCTTTTTCAAGAGCTATTGTTCTTCTTTTCTGTTTTTATTCCATCTCTACGAGGACACTGACGACGCTGATTCATGAAACGGTTGAAAATTTGGTACTATAGAATTGAGGCTTTCACGGGACATTACGTTGATTTTATGGCTTGGAAGCAGAATAACGAAGTAAACTGAATCCTTAATTGTTCACCCAAAAAAAATGAATCGTAAATTTCAGTTTTTGTGCCTAGTTATCAATTTTTTCCCTCTCTCTCTCTCTCTCTCTCTCTCTCTCTCTATATATATATATATATATATATATATATATATATATATATATATATATATATATATATATATTTATGTTTCAACTCTATAATCAAAACCTGACAAATAATCCGAATAGGTAAGTATTACGAAGCAACATAAACTTGAAAACGAACAACAACATTGTTTGGTCAATTCTCTCTGCATTTCTCTAAATTGTATAATTTTTTGTACGATGAATCACACCAAGAATTTTTTAATCAGGGGATGAATATCCCACATTTTTAAATATTTTTTATCTCTCTTTTTATCATATTATAAATTTATATTTTTATAATCATTATAAATTTTTATGCTTTTCTTTTTAATATTATGTGGGAATGTTTCATTTTGATGGATGTAAAAATGTATGAGTATTTATTTTATTTTTTTGCAAATCCGAATAAGTTCTTGTGCTTGACCCTAGAAAAGATAAACATTACGGAGTTGAGCTACACCGAAATTTCAAACATGGCATGATCATAATATTCAACAAAATGAAGTCAGAAGCGCGTTTGTTTTGACGAATAATCAACGCCCCCTTATCCTACCCATACCTATACATAACACGCCCATCTATTCTACCGCGACCAAAACGCACTTCACTTCACTTCACCGTTTTTCCTTATTCAAATTCCCTCGCCCAACGCGAGACATGGCTGACACGCACCCGCCACCAATCACCGCCGCGGCAAACGACGCCGTGTCGGTTCCGTCGAAGGAGCGTCTCAGCACAAGATGCTGCTACTGTCTCTGCAAAACCTTGTGGATCTTTGTCGTCCTCATTATCATCCTCGTCATGCTTGTGATTTTGGTTTTATACATCATCATCACACCCCGCTCCTTCAGATTCCACGTCACTGACGCGAGGCTCACACAGTTCGAATACACTGCAAACTCCACCCTTCGCTACAACCTCGTACTCAACATCACAGCAAGCAACCCTAACAAGAAGCTCAAGATCTACTACGACGTCGTTCAGGCCCACGCGCTCTACGAGGGCGTTAGGTTCGCCACCACCGACGTCAACATGCCCTGGAACTCCTACCTTCAGGACAAAAAGGGCACCAACCTTTTCAGCGCGGTTTTCTCGGGACAACGTGTGATGGTGTTCGATCGGGACCAGGTTTCTCAGTTTGATGAAGATAACAAAGATGGGGTGTTCCCTATTGATGTTAAGATTCGTTTTACTGTGAGGTTCAGGCTTGAAGATTTTCAGTTTGGGTATATCTATCCCAGAGGAATGTGTGAACTTAGAGTTCCTTTGACTTCTACGGAGGAAAAGGTGGCTCCGTTTAAACCCAGCAAGTGCCAAATTGATTTCTGAAGCCACCTAGGAAATCCTACTACGTTGTTCATATCTACGCGCATGTTTTATTATTGTTTTCTTGGCTCCTGGTTGTGAGTAATGTATTTTAGGGGTAGATAATTTTTTTAAGAAAACGATGAAAATTTGCTGTTCATTTTAAATCAGTTTTCAAAACATATGATTAAATTAAATTGTTCAGGCAATCATAAAGAAATAATTTGCCATGATGAGTAAGTAATGTGCACGGACAAAGGTATATTAAAAACTCATTACATTTATTTATTTTTATTTTTATTAGGAAGGACAAAGTTGATGTGGGTCACATATATTTTAATTCCATCGAATGAAACAATTTCTTACTCTATTTTGTCTATTAAAAAATACATTAAGTATCTTATTTATTTAATTCATTTAAAAAAAATTAGAAACTAAAAGTGATAAAAAATGAAAAATTAAAATTAAAAGTTAAATGATAAAATTTACAAAGATAAAAAAATTAATAATAAAATTTACAATTTTTTAATAATAAAATATATAATTTAAAATATAATAATAAAATTTGTAAGAGTATAAAATTCAGTAAGAAAACAGCGAGAAGGTCAAACGTGATGATTGAAGCGGTAGGGCCACACAATTTAGTCAGAAGCCCGTTTGCCTTACATTCCATCCAACTCCTTTATCCAATGCATATCCATACACGCCACCAAACAAAACGCACTTTACTTCGAGTCACCGTTTTCCGCTCACTCCACAACATGGCCGAGACACAACCTCAAATGAACATTCTCGGATCCTTCAAAGGAGCGTCTCCGCACAAGATGCTGCTATTGTCTCTGCCAAACCCTGTGGATCTTTTTGGTCCTCATTATCGTCTTTGTCATGCTCGTGATTTTGGTTTTATACATCATCATCATCATCACACCCCGCTCCTTCAGATTCCACGTTACCGACGCCAAGCTCACGCAATTCGACTACGCCCCCAACACCACCCTTAGCTACAACCTCGTACTCAACATCACAGCACGAAACCCTAACAAGAAACTCAAGATCTACTACGACGCTGTTCACGCCCACGCGCTCTACGAGGGCGTTCGGTTCTCCACCACGGACGTCGACATGCCCTGTAACCCGTTGAAAATTACAAAAATCAAAATAGATTTCTATTGTTTAAATAAATAGGACACAATATATTAAAAATGTGTAAAAATTGTAAGAGTGAAAAGCATTCGTTCAATCAAAATCATTTTAAGAATATGGCCTTCGGGCCTCAAAGAATATCCAAACAAAGGGTAGATTAAAAGGAATGGGCCTCTTGTTTAGTGGTAGCTTAGTATGGGCTTGAATGTAGTTTGCAAAACAGATGGGCCTTGTCCTGGTTATTGATTTCTACTATCACACTCCTTTTCTCTATTTCTGCACCCCGTTGTTATCTTTTAACAAACATAATCTTCATGGAAACACATTCTGTAGTGTTTGAAATACATAATAAAAAAAATTAGTATTTGTTTTGTATTAAAAATCTAGGTTAATGTAAAATTTTATTCCTCTATTAGTTCTACATTGAGATTTTGTCTTTATAATTTTAGTCTCTATATTTATAAAATTTGCAATTATGATCTAAACTTTTTATTTTTAATATTTTTTATTTTTATGTTATAATTATATAATATTAAATGATACCTTTAATGACAAATAAAATGTAAGTAAAAAAATCAATTTATGAATTTTTAAAAATCTTCTAATGAAAGAACAATAAATAGAAACACAAAAATCACAAATTAGGAATTAAAAGAGATCAAAATTGCAATTTAACCAAAAATTGAACATGTTAAAATTTTATTTACGTCGTATATATAAATTGGACATCCATTGTATGAAATGAATCACAAACACAAAAAGCAAGGAATTAGGTTTCTAATATAAACAAAAAAAAATCAATAAACTTTAAATTTTTGCAGGCAGCTATTTTATTTCTCATATCATTTACCTTAAATACATATTTTATATATATTTTTTAAAATATGTTCAGTCTATAATTTTAAAATTGATATGGATTAATTATACATTATATATATTTGGTATATTTAAAATTTCCTTTCATTTTTTTTAAATTAATATATTATTTACAATAAAACTTCTTTTCCACTCAAACTAACTGTTATACTTAAATTTAAAACCTTTTAAATCATATTTTTGCAAATCATTTTAAGTGTTATGTCTATCAATAAAGTCAATTCGCAGTTAATGAATGTTTAGAAATTTTATCAACGTTCCGTTCCATCCATTATTTATTATTAATTATAATTTATTTAAGAAGATAAACATTTAAAATTTCATTTCTTACTTACTGAACGAGAAAATACATTATACATTACGAGTATAAAACAATTTTATAATATATCATCGAATCACAACTCACGAAATAAATGTTTTCATTATACTAAAATTAAATTTTATAATACCTTAAAAATCATATTAAAGTTGTTTTATTTTAAACAATTTATCTAATAATAACTATATATTAATTTTCCATTTTTCCCTAATTTTCTGAAATGGTTATGAAGTTCGTGGTGAACTTCGGCGTCACCCAGAAGCCACGCGCTTAAAACTCCTCACAAGCTTTCACTTCACTGTGTATTTACTCACCAGACTTAAACTGTATTAAAAGAGAAACTTCCCTTCACCAAACACACTCTTTCTCTCTCTTCCCTCTATTTTTATATAAATAACTTCAATTTTAATATATTCCCAAATCACTTTACCAACGTTCCCAAAATTCAAATCGGTTCCGCTTGTCTCTCTGCGGTTCTCATGTCGCAACTAAACGGCGCGTACTACGGCCCTCCCATTCCGCCGCCGCCTCCGCGGAAATACTACCGCCGCTCGTCCCGCGGGGGCGGGGGGTGCGGGTGCCTGAGCTGCTGCTGCGGGTGCATCTTCAACTGCATCCTGAGCCTCATCTGCAAGATACTCACGACCCTGATCATCATCGCCGCCATTATCGTGTTCCTCTTCTGGCTCATCGTTCGCCCCAACGTCCTCAAATTCCACGCCACCGAGGCCACCCTCACGCGCTTCACGCTCTCCAACAACACGCTCCACTACGACCTCGCCGTCAACGTCTCCATCCGCAACCCCAACCGCAGGCTCGGCGTCTACTACGACCATATCGATGCGCTCGCTTTTTACGAGGATGTTCGATTCGCCTCCCAGACATTGGAGCCCTTCTTCCAGGACACCAAAAACACCACCCTCGTCAGTCCCCTCTTCAAGGGCCAGCGCGTGATGCCACTCTCCGCCGACCAGGCTTCCGGATTCAACAGGGAGAACGCCTTCGGGGCTTTTTCCATCGACGTGAAGCTCTTCATGGCGATTCGGTTCAAGTTCTTGTTATTCAAAAGCCACATCATGAAAACCAAGATTCGGTGTGAGCTGCACGTGCCGCTGAAATCGCGTACCGCAACAAACACTACCAAATCTGCGTTTCAAGCCACAGAGTGCGATTGGGATTTGAAACGGTGGTGGATCAATTGAATTGAAACCCCACCCACTCTTTTTCTTTTATTCCCTTGGAATTTTCTTGGTTCTTCATCTTGCTTCTTTGTTATTTTCTTTAGGTGATGTACATCTTCTTGATCACATTTGTTCTCTGATTGAACCCCAGCGGATCGAAATGTTATGAATTTATCTTTTTATACATAAAGCCCCAATTTCACTTTTGGGTCATATATTCTTACATTGGGAATTTTTGTTTTCAATTTACTCTTCTCGGAAGTTTTTAGCCTTCACATTTTTAGTCTCAAAAGTAGCATAAAAGATATTAGTTTTTCAAAAATGAGAAATTTATACATGCTGTCATAGTATGGCAAAATGGTTTGGCCTTTAAAAGTATTCTTAATTTCAATTATGCCATTATTTTATATTTGTATCTTAAAAGGGCATCATATTTTAAAGCGAAAAATACCTTTCTGTCTTTTTTTCTATTCTTTTATATATTTATCTTTTATAAATGGATTAATTTATTCCTTCAAGTTTAAAAAATATAAATTTAAGTCCTTTTTATACTTAAATTTAATATTTTATTATAATTTTTTATTTTACAAAAATCGATAAAATAACTAAAAGTAGTTTTAATCATTGTTTACATTTAACTTTAAAATTTAGTAATAATTTTTTACCCTTATAAAATTAATTGTAAAATTATTTTTAATTTTTAGTTTCTAAAATATGAAAATAAAAATTAATTTACTCAACAAATATAAAAATTTAAAATATGTTTAGGTTTATTTTAAATTATGAATCATTTTTATTTATTTTAAAAAAATAATTTTAATATTTTAAAAAATATGATTGATGATAGACTGACATTGGATCTCATCTTGGATTAATCCTATTTTGTTATCCAGTGAGTATTATATATATGATAAATAACTATTCAGCAAAATTGTAACATCTTTATATAATAAAATTGTATATGTGAATATTTAATAAAAGGAATATATAACTTGTATATAATTAAATATAATTAATTTTACTTTATACCCCACTTTGTAAAAAGAAGTATCTTAATATTCTTATAATTTTAATAAATTAAAATCACAAGAAACGAAACGATTATTCCAAGAATATAATATTAACAAATTAAAATTATAAATAAATAAATTAAAAAATAACTTAAATAAAAATATAGTCCAATCAAATTAAAGAATCAATTCTTAAAAATAAAGGGATCTCACAATCTTATAGAACAACTTACACAAGATAAGATTTACATCCACTTATATATATCACTGAAATGATATTTTCGATGAGTAACTTAAATAATAATAATAAAACTTATTATGTGAGACTAATCCCTTGTGTGTGACGACGGATGGTGCGTACGGTGATTTTAGGGGCGAGGGCTAGTTGTGGTGGTGTGTGGTTCAGGCGGTGAAGGGCGTCATGATTCGAAGGTACCAGACAAGACACTAATTGAAGAGCCTCAGGTTCTGACCTGAACTTGTGGGGCTTCGTCATTCCGTTGATTGCCAGAACAGACTTACGAGCAGTCTTTGTCGCCAGTTGCTTCAGAGAACCTTGTCGCCGGTAGACTTGTGGATTTTTTGCTTGGTAGGGGCCATCTGGAAGGTCCTGGTAGATTGCGGAGAAGCTGATGAAAGTGGAGAATGCTTATGGGGTTTACAAGAATGGAAAGGTAAAGTTATTGTCTCCACTCTTCAGCATTCGGTAATTGAAACAGGGTAAATTCTCGTTTTAGTCAAGTGGAGGTTTGAAAGTTGGAAAATTAAGAGATAATTGGAATATTTGGTAGTTAAGTTGAACCCTAAGGGGATTAGATAGATGATAAGGAAAAAAAACAGTATGAGAGTAAGGGATAGTAATGCCCATGGTAGAGTTTGGGAGAGAGGTAGCGGTGGAGGGCAGTCGAGGGAGTTACGGAATGAGAGTCAAAACAAGGGGTTTGGGGGGCATTTAGGGCGTGTCTTAAGTTCCTCAACATCATATTTTTTCACGAATATTCTGGAGCCACTTGAGATCGGTACTCTATGGAAAAATTTCCAGCAGTTGGGTAAGGTGGTGAATGTATTTTTACCCAAGAAACTTGATAAAGTAGGGAGGAGGTTTGGGTTTGTCCGCTTTGCAGATGTTTGTAATGCGAAGATGATGGACCGGAGATTAGGATCAATTGTGATTGGTACGAAACGACTGAAGGTGTTCATTTGAGCCGTTACGCTAGGGGGTCTGTGGCTGCGGTGAAACTACATAGCATCAGGGAGGGAGTAGTTAGGTGATCAGGTGTGGGTGGTTCTTCATACGCAAATGCTCTACGAGGCCCTCAGGTTTCGTTGGCGGAGGAAAAGCCAACGGTGATTAGAGTTGAGTGAAAGCGGCCAGAACAACCCTGGTGTCCTTTACATTATGCAGTGGAGGAGTCATTTCTTGAGGAGTGTTGTCAAACTCTTGTTGGTTGCCTCAATCGCGGATAGGATTTGACTAGGGTTAGGAAGGAGGTGTTACAGGCGGGCTTCTCAGATATTGTCCTGACCACGATGGGAGATGATAAAGTCATGATCAAGTCAGATGTAGGGGTGAACCTGGAGGATACTGTGTTGCAAAATAGGAAGATTTGGGAGCGTTGGTTTTATGAAGTCAGTTGGTGGCATCCAAGGGCAGGGGTGTGTGTTCAACGGGAAACTTGGGTTCGCTGTTATGGGGTGTCGTTACATGCGTGGTCTGAGACGTTTTTTAAGAAGATGGTGTCATGCCTAGGAGAATATATTCAGGTGGATGAGGTTACGAAGCGGAGGAGGAGACTGGATTATGGTCGTGTTCAATTACGTACATCGGCTTCGGCGTTGATAAATGAGGGGACGAAAGTACTTATTAATGATTTATGCTTCACGATACGCATGGTGGAGGAGCATGGAGTTCAGTTCCATACAGATATTGCTGATGATGAATCCTCGATTGACTCTAATTATATGGAAGGCGTGTCTCTAGACTTGCATGAGGTCGAAAATTATTCGTCGAGGGAAGAAGGGTGCATTGGAGATGGTGTGGTTGGAGTATGGTCTGGGACGGTGGTTGGCACGCCGATTGTGGGGGGCTGTTACGGAGGAGCAATTGCCTCCTAATGATAAGGGAGTGGGTGCAGAGACAGTGGTTGAAGAAATCCTAGAAGTGAGGCCTTCAGCGAGGCTACAGGATCCAGTAGTAGTGTCAGATGGTGTTGGTCGAAAGCATGTGCACAATGGAGATGCTGGACAAGGTGGTGTGGCGGAGAGTATGGGTGATATTCAGTCTAAGGGGGTGAATACGCAGGAGTTACTGTGTCATGTGGGCGAGGTAAATGGATCTGGTAGTGATCTGTTCGGGTTGGATCAATTGCTTTGGCCAGAGCATGCCCAGGAAGTATCGAGGGTGGCACAAGACACTGGTGTTCCTGGGGTCCCCATTCCAACCAAATTGGGAGTTTCTGCCGGGCGATCCAATGTGCGACACACATTAAGGAAAGCTCGTGGTAGGAATATCATGGGTCAAAAGAGTTGTATTGGTGCGTTGGTGGAGGATGGGGTCGCATTGTTGGTGCCGGATCATGTTGTGTCTGATAGTGAGATTGGCGTGTCTTTGGAGGTTGACCCTCTATGTGCGAATGATGAGGTGGTGGCAGATAAGGTGATGAAATTGTTTCATTCAGTGGGGATTGTGGTGCGGGATAATGAATCAGAAGTGAGGGAGAAATTAGTGGCTATGAAGATCCGTGACAGAGAATTGGTGGAAAAAAAGAAGGGAGAATCGGTTGATCCATGAAGATAGCTTCTTTCAACTGTAGCGGTCTGGGGTTGGAGGTTAAACGTTGTCGTGTCTCCGAGCTGATTAGATGTGAACGTGTGGATTTTATTGCGTTACAAGAGTCAAAGTTGGAGGGTTGTGACCGCAAATTGTGCTCGCGAATTTGGGGTTCGTCTGGGTTTGATTGGCTAAGTTGTCCTTCTCAAGGGTGCAGTGGTGGACTTATTTTGATTTGGGACTCGACTCAAGGTACCTTACAATTTTCTTTTTCTGGGCTTGGTTACTTAGGTGTATGTTTGAGTTGGGGAAATGGTAGTGTTCGGTGTATTGTGGTCAACGTGTACTCTCCATGTCGCCTGTTGGAAAAGAGAAAGTTGTGGGTTGATCTTGTTATGTCAATTCGAGGTTTTGGTGACGTTTTCTGGTGTGTAGTGGGTGACTTTAACTCTGTGTGCTGGGAGTCTGAGAGGAAGGGAGGAGTGGGTATGGTTAGTGTATCTGATATGCTTGAGTTTAATAGTTTTATTGCAGAGATGGGCTTGGTAGATTTGCCACTAGTGGGAAAGCGGTTTACATGGTTCCGGGGGGATGGACTACTGATGAGTCGGTTGGATAGGATGTTGATATTGGAAAAATGGATCAACAATTGGGGTGAGTGCTATGTATCTGTCCTCCCTCGGGACGTGTCTAACCATTGTCCGCTTGTTTTAAAGTATATAGCGCTTAATTGGGGTCCGAAGCCGTTCCGATTTAACAACTGTTGGTTTGATCATCCTGGATTGGAGTCAGTGGTTTGTCAGGCTTGGGATGGTGTTGTTGAAAAACCTTGGGCAGCTCAACGTGTTCGGGTCCGTATGGGTAATGTTAAACAGGCATTGATGAAGTGGAATGGTGAGGTATTCGGTAACCTTGACAAGACTATTTCTTCTCTTACTGTTGAGTTGCAGGCCCTAGATGATAAGAATGAGGTGCATGATCTAAGTTTGGTGGAGTTACTACGGCAAAAGGAGGTCTTGTCTGAGATTTGGAGTGCACGAAGGAGGAATCAATGTTTAATTGCCCAGAAGGCGAGGGTGCGTTGGGTTAAGTATGGTGACTTGAATTCAAAGTTCTTTCATGCTTGTCTCCGGGGGTGACGACGCTGCAACCAAATATATGATTTGTCTGTTGGTGAGAGGTTGGTTGAGCATGTTCAGGGTATTCGAGGGGTGGTGGTGGATTATTTCTCTGATCACTTTTCAGGCAGGTTATGGCATAGGCCTAGGCTGGATTTTATGGGTGTATTTGACATTTCTTCTCAACAGAATTTGACACTTGTGGATCCATTTTCAGAGGAGGAAGTAAGTGTTATGTTGGCAGAGTGTGATGGAGATAAAAGTCCAGGCCCGGATGGGTTTAATTTTGCCTTTGTTAAGAAATTCTGACGGTTGATGCGTACTGAGGTGTTGCAAGTTTTGACTGACTTTTATAATAATCTTACGCTTCCGAAGACCCTTTTGTCTTATTTTGTGACGCTGGTTCCTAAAGTCTCTTGTCCTCAGCACATATCTGATTTTCGGTCAATTTCTCTTCTTGGATGCCTGTACAAAATATTATCGAAGGTGTTGGCGAATCGATTGCGTGGTGTTCTCCCTTCAATTATTTCGCACCGTCAGTCGACTTTTGTTCCAGGTCGTAGCATGCTTGATAGTTTTTTGGTTGCAAATGAGGCGATTGATTTTGCGAAACGTTATAAAAAGAGTATCTTTGTGCTTAAAATTGATTATGAGAAGGCATATGACTCGATTGAATGAGACTATTTGTTATATATGTTGCGTGATTTTGGTTTTGATGAGAGGTGGGTTATATGGATGGAAGGGTGTGTTTGTCGAGGTAGCTTGTCAGTGCTGGTGAATGGTAGTCTTACCTCAGAGGTTAGTATTGGGAGGGGCTTGAAACAGGGGGACCCGTTGGCCCCATTCTTATTCTTAATTGCAGCTGAAGGACTGCGGTTGATGATGGATAGGGCGCTAGAGGGTGGTTGTTTACTGGTTTGCAGGTTGGGGTGATGGGGCCTGTGGTGTCTCTCCTGCAGTTTGCAGATGATACTTTAATTATTGGGGAAGCTTCTGCATGTAACCTGTGGACAGTTAAGACGTTGTTAAGAGGGTTTGAACTTATATCAGGCATGTCTATTAATTTCCATAAAAGTTGTGTGGTGGGAGTGAATACTGACGATGACTTTGTGGAGCTTGCAGCAAACTTTCTTCATTGTCATAGGGGTCAACTGCCGGTAAAATATTTGGGGCTTCCCTAGGAGCGAATCCTAGATTGCGAGCTACTTGGCAATCGATGTTGGATAGTATGCGACGTCGGCTTTCATCTTGGAAGTACAGGTATGTTTCAATTGGTGGTCATGTCACCCTTATTAACTCGGTGCTAAATTTTATTCCTATCCACTTCCTCTCCTTTTTCAAAGTCCCTAAGTCTGTGGTGAAGGATCTTATCTCTATTCAAAGGAACTTTTTGTGGAATGAGGTTAAGGATTTGTTTAAGATCCCTTGGGTCGGTGTGTTGACCAAAGGGAGTGGGTGGACTTGGAATTAAGGATGTGAAGTTATTTAATTACGCTTTACTTGGTAAATGGATCTGGCGTTGCTTATCATATCCGGAGGCTTTGTGGGCTCAGGTTCTTTAGGCGCGATATGGCCTGGCCTCGTCATGGTTGAATGTGTGTTTGGTGGATTTACGTGCTTCTAGTTGGTGGCGGGATTTTGTATCTACTTTACAGTTAGGAGGACAATCGGTTAATGAGAAGATATTATGGGTTGTGAGGGATGGTACTTCGACGAGATTTTGGGAGGATAGGTGGCTGGGTGGCTTTAGGCTAAAGGAGGTTTTTCCCATATTATATTTCTTTGCTCTCGATCTCTCTTCGATTGTAGCACAGAATGGTCATTGGTCTGGAGATAATTGGGTTTGGGGCATTCCTTGGCGCCGCCTTCCCTTCTCATTTGAGTTGTCATTGGTAGCAAGTTTGATGGAAATTCTAGATGGATTTGTGTTGCGTCCTCACCTGGAGGATCACTGGTGTGGTTGACTGATGCTTCAGGGGTATATTCTGTTAAGTCTGCTTATTGTTGATTGTTGACTCTTTTGGTTAATATTTCGACTCTTGATGTTAATCTTCAGGAGGTGTTGTGCAGACTGTGGAAAGGTAAAATACCTATCAAATGTTTGGTATTTTCTTGGCAACTTTTCTTGGATTTTGTTCCCTGTAGGTTGCTTCTGCAGGGGCGTGGTGTGCAGTTGGATTCTGTTTTGTGTCCTATGTGTGATTTATTTGTTGAAGATCCGATGCATCTTTTTGTTTTCTGCCCGGTGGTATATAGTACGTGGATGAATGTTTTTTGCTGGCTTGATGTTAATTTTATTATGTCTTCTTCTTTGGTGTCCTTTTTTCTTGTTTGGTGTGGCCAAGGGAGGAGTAAAAAGCGATCCCAGTACTTTGTTATTATTTGGGTTGCAGTCATCTGGTCCATTTGGTTGCATCGGAACTGTGTGGTCTTTAAACAAGGCGTTGTGGATCGGTTGAAATTACTCGATTCTATTCGTCTATATTCTTGGAAGTGGATCTCTTCGGCTGGTATGAGAATGTCTTGTAACCTTGTAGACTGACACAATAATCCTTAGATCTGTTTTGTTTAGTGTGTTTTTTAATAACTTTTTTCTATTTTGTACTGTACTCTATTTTTGGGATTTGAGTACTCCTTGTACTCAGTTTAATTAATTGATGTTATTTGCTTATAAAAAAAACTTAAATAACAATATTAATATAAAATGAATAAGAATCTTTTTGGTAAAACCTAATTAAAAAAAAAAACTTTTGAGTATAATAAACGAAATAATCTTCATGTTTGGACTTCTGATCACTAATACAAAATATACTTTCTACGTCGACGTTGAAAGTCTTTTTTTTTCACCCAAAACTCACTTAAATTTAAAAATTGTCATTGGCAAGATTCGAACCCAATACTTTAAAGTTGAGAGTCGATACTCCAACCACTAAGCTACTAGAATTTTCTCGATAATAATTACAAATAAATTATATTTATATACAAATAAATATATATCCATGTAAATATATATTTATTTGTATATATTTTGTGGAAATTTTTATTTTTATTTTCAGCCAAAAATTCTCTTAAGTTAATGAATTGTCACCGATAGCATTTGAACCCAAGTATTTTAGGGTTGAAAGTTAATATCCCAACCACTAAACTACTATAATTTTTTTACAATAACTTACAAATAAATTATATTGGTATTTTTCGATGGTGAAAGTGTGATTGACTCTTGCTTGAGATAAAATATGTTAAAGCTCACTGAAATTCACTTACTCAAGTCTCGCTTGAGCGAAAATTGGTATTTTTCGCTTAAGAGAAAATAACGTGTTTTCCAAATTTATTTTATATCATTATATAAATAAAATTATAAAGATTATATTGTGTCATTAAATTACAAACTCATATAAAGATACCTGCTCACAAATTTAGCATCAAATTTTGAAAACCCACTCGACACACACTTTCACTTTCGAGTGTGCCCTCACATCCAACATATAAATATATAACTATATAAATATATCAAAATATATAAATATATTTGTATTTATATATTTACACTGGATATATATTTATTTGTATATAAATATAATTTATTTGTAAGTTATTATCAAAAAATTCTAGTAGTTTAGTGGTTGGAGTATCAGCCTCCAACTCTAAAGTATCTGGGTTTGAATCCGCTCAATGACAATTCTCTTAAAAAATTAATAAACTTCTAAAAATATAATATAAAGAGATGGAAGTACCTAATAAAAATATAAATAAAGAGAGGGGAGACTTCTAGATAAATAAAAAGGTAAAGGAGTTGTAAATAAATAAAAATTATTAATTTAAAAAATCATACTTTCAACATGGAGGACCTAATAAAGAGAGGGGAGACTTCTAGATAAATAAAAGGGGTAAAGGAATTGTAACATCTTCCAGAACCGACGTCGAACGGGGATAAACTTTGGCAAGCATAGTTCCAAAGTTCCATTGGGTACGAGTAAGACAGAACTTCACATGGATGTGATAAATCCCAAAACTCTTCTTCTTGTTCATCTTTGAAAGTTGGTGTGCGCGTTGAGAGGCATCACACCGTCAAACACAGGGCCCAACACACTAACGTTGTTGTGGGGTTGGAAGAAGGTTCCGAAGGTCTGAGAACTGAGTTCGACATCATGGTACGACGCATTTGCTTCGACGTAGTCGTAGTAGATGCCGACAAACTTGTTGGGGTTGTGGATTGAGATACTGAGAGGGAGGTTGTAGTGGAGAGTGTTGTTGGTGAGATCAAATTCAGTGACGGTGCCGCTGCTGACGTCAAAGGTAACCGTTTTTGGGTGCAAAATTAGGAAAAGGAGAAGAAAAAAGATGGTCAAAATTAAGAAACCGATTAGCACGAATTTCCCCATCTTGAAGATGCAATTGAGCAAGTACATTTGAAGTTGACATCGGTTTTTTAAACATTGGCATCTTCTACAGTATATTCATTATTGTAATAGATAATATAATAATAAAATATCTTGTTTAGATTATTTTTAGGAAGACTGGATCTTTTAAATTATATGATTTATCATATTATATGTTCGTTATTAACCATATAAATAAATTTAAATTTGAATTTTGATTTGGAAATAATTATAAATGAGCGACTATACATTATATAAAAAGATTGTATAGGATGTGATATAATGGAGAAAGATGGACAAGAAAGTTTTACGAAAAAAATATGTTTAAAATTTACGAATTAAAATACTTATTCTAACGTAAAATAAAATTATATAATTCTTATTGGGTACTTTTTTTTCTTCATTGCATTGATAAAAAGGTGCTTTCTGTATTAAATTATTGCAATGTCATAATTTTTTTCTCTCAGTTGTTTATTTGGGAAAAAAGTGATTTTAATTGTAAAACTGATATCCGCAGTTAATGGTATTAATATTTTAATTACCTTTTCTTTAATAAAGAAACGGGTATCATTATATTTATATTTATGAAAATATATTATTTATTAATCATTTTGATAGAAGTTTTTATAATTGAATTATCAAAATAAATTACGAGGAAGAAAAAATATTAACCACGAAATAATGGTTAGACAATTTTCAATACCACTCTAAAGAATAAATTTGTAAATAATACATCATTAAATGATGTAATATTGACTGTAGGGGACACGGATGTCATCTAGTCTCTCCCCGTAAATTAAGTTAAAAAATTGGGATGAAAAAAAATCTATTTGTCCGTGATCCTATTAATGAGTATGATACGAAAAAAAAATTCATAAATAAATTGAATAAAAATAAATAAATAATAGATCAAAATATTTAATTTAACAAAAATAAAAACAAATAAATAAATGAATGAAAGTATGTGAAACCTCAAATAAAAATACTAATGATATAAAGTAAAATTGAAATAGAAAGTATCTGTGTTGAGTCAAGCATCTTTAAATGTCCCTCCTATTTTATTTTATTTTTTCTAAACTCATTCATCTTTTATATCTTATTTATTTATTTTGTCTTCAATTTATAACGATGAACTTTAAATAACGAAATTGGAATGTTTTAAAATTTGTAATATATTTTTTTTAAGAATGTATTTAGAAATAAAATTTCAAAATATTTATCTATTGCTAAAATATATTTTGGAACATAATTTATGAGATGCTACTTATAAAAGAAATACCAAAAGAAGTGCATAAATAAAAAGTGAGTGTAAGAATAGAAATAAGTGTCTGCAGAACCAAAAAGATGCATAGGGCTCACTTAAAAGAAACCGTTTAAAAAAAAAAATCGAAGTAAAAACAAAAAAACAAAAACCAAACGAAGAAAAGGAAGAGAGCACAGTGATGCTTTTAAGAAAGAGCAAAGAACTGATGAGAGAGAAAGAGAAAGCAAGACTCTTTAACTCAAAATTCAGTAACATTCTAATTTATGAACCACTCTACTATCCTCTCTTCGTTTTAAATTGATTGAATTTTAATATTTAAAAATGTTAACATTTTAACTTCTAATAAAGAATTTTATATTATTATTAAAAGGAATTATTGATTAAATGTTTGGAAAATAAATTGGGATGTTTATTTATTACTTCTCTAATATTCCAATTTTATTTTTAATAAATATCATTATTTTGAGATACCTAATAACCTTTTTTCAAAATAAAGATAAACTACAAAGACAATCACACAAAGAGTAAATGCTTTTAATAATTTGTGTGAAGCAACCGTAAATCAACATCATTAGTATTAAATAGTAAGAATTGTTACTAGTATTAATAAACGTAATTTTAAATAGACATTTCTTTATTTAGTTTCATGTTAAGAAATTATGTTTATTTTAGAATTAAGTAACTTAGTTTTAAGTTAAGATAAAAAAAAAACTATAAATGTTGAATTTTATTATTAACTTTATTTTTTTAAAGAAGAACATCTACACAAGATTACCTTCCACATTGTAGTTTTAACTACAATGAATATGTTTTTAAAATAATTTTGGAAACCCATAACTAATCACAATTTTAGCCAAATAAACTATCTATTTACTTCATAATCGATTTTAGAAAAGCTCACCCAATCACATGCACTAGAAAAAAAATGTAATAGTATAATCACTTTAATTACTTATCACACTAACGTTAACCAAAACAAAACGTAAAAAAAAAGGGGTACATAAACGGCTACATTAGCATTTAATTTACAAAGAAAATAATTCGGTTGTAAACTTCGGCATGTAGGGTTTTTTCTTTCCTTTCGTACCAGTCCCTTTGAATTTGTAGAGAAACAATGAATACTGTAAAACTAATCAATGAGTGACCCTGCAATTCAAACACACTTCACTAGTAGTAGTAGTAGTAGCAGCAGTAAGCACTTTTCCTTTTTTACACAAACTTTCCCTTTCTTTTCCACGCGATTCGATTCGATTCGATTCATTCATTCAATCAAACTCCAATCTAAATCTAAATCTAACACAATCTCAACATTCTAAATGACAATGTTAATACCTTTTCATCACGTACCAGGTGGTTGAGAGTGTGAAACGACTCATCCATTGCCGTCGTTTACATCTTTACGACACTCCTCGCGAATCGGCGAAGCGTAGGGTGTGTAGTACGGAGGTGAAGCACACGGCGTTGAAAAAAGTGTCGTCTCGTCCAACAACTCTTCTACCGCGACTGCAACCTCCTCCACCGCCACGCGCTCACTCACCCACGCCTTTTTAGTACACTCCACGGACGAAACGTTACCGTTACCGTTATCGGACTCGACCTCTTCTCTCTCTTCCTCCTTGATGGTGAAGAGCACCCTCGAGGGACCGTGAAGACAGTGCCACTTCATCACGTGCTCTTCCAGCTCCAGGTCCACGTCATCATCGCTCGGAGAAGACGAGGTAGAACATTGGAGCGAAGCCTCCCGCGGCTCCACGCGCACGCGCGGACGGAACCTCTGACGCCGTTGCCACAAGACGTACACGATCTCCGCGGCCAGGGCCACCAGTGTAACGGCCGTTACCGCCGTTATCGCTGTTCCGAGCTTGCTCAGACCCATCATCGTCAGATTAAAAAAAAAAAAAGCCACGACAACGTTGTTGCGCTGCTTCCTGCTTTTGTGCGGCGGAGTTGCTCCTGGGCCTTTGTCGTTTCGTCGCAAAACGTAAACACACCAGAAGGGTGAAATGGGAATGAAGGTTTTTGGCGAAAAAATCATTAAAAAAAAAAGGGGGAAAGAGAAGTTAGATAGATAGAAGAGCTATGGTTTTGGGTTTGCAGGTTTGGTTTAAAGGTGGCAGATGGATAGTTGGACAGACAACGATGTCTTTTCCTAGGAAATGTGGGTGTTATTATTGCTCTATCTTCTTTTATTATTTTATTTTTTACAAATATTTGAATTTACCCAGAAAATAATAGTAAAATCGGTCATCTCGTTTATTTTGGTGTCTTCTCCTGTTACGAGACGGGTTCGTCTAAATCTCAGTTTACTGGCAAAATATGGGTTGATGGACTAATTTATTAATTATTTTTTTATATTATTATTTTTATAAATAATAGTTTTGATTATATGAATAATTTTAAATTATTAATTAATTAATATTTTATTAAATAAATTATAATAAATATATTAAAATATCTAATTATAATTAATTAAACTAATTAATATTTATAATTTAAATTATATCATTATAATATATTTATATATTTCAATAATATAATATAATAAATTTAATTTTGTAATTATAATTTTTTTTGTCTGTTTTATCATATCTAAAAATATGTAAGATATAATCAAAGTAAGAAAATAACTTGAGTTATAACTGATGCACCTTTATCATAAAAATAAAAAATTGTTCAGAATATTTTCTTATAACATTGTAATAAATACAGAAAACTTTTATATTCTGAGGAATAAAAAAGAAAAACTGTGAAAAAAAAAATCCTCCTTAGATTTATTCAATGCTTTCAAGTGTCTGTAATATAATCTTCAATCAAGATAAAGGTTTTATTTTGGTAATCAGAGTTTATATATGAACAAGCTGGGATGAAACTTTTTTTGTACAGAAAGGAATCACAAGAAATAACACTTGAATTTTGTTAAGAAAAGGAAAATAAACTATGAGAGAGATCTCAAGCATAGTTTCATTGTGAAAGTGGTCCTGGTTTTGAAAAAAAAAAAAAAAAAAAAAAAAAAAAAAAAAACTGAAGTTCGTGACTGGTGATAATGACCCACAACAGCATCCCACAGTTCTCCTTTGCAAGCACGCCTTCACCAATTATTCAATTATTCAATGCATGTATGAGAAAGAAAAACAATTAGGTTAACAAAGGATAAAGAGCTTCACTATTTATCATAACCATGTTTTCTCCTTAATGATTAAGTTTTTCAAAATAAAAAACATTTTTAAAATGTTTTACTGCTAATAAAAATTGTGAGACTTTGGTCCAAACGAATTGGTGCTGGTAATTGTAACGTTATCCTTTGGAACCTAAAGAAAGATGAGGTAGCTATGTATAGAATGAATGAAAAGAAAACGTAATAGATTATTTTAAAGAAGATTAGAGAAAGAAAAATACGACCCCATAACCTTTTTCTATCAAGACATGGACACATAGAAGAGGTGATAAATGGAATTGCACTGAAAATTACCTCAAAAAATCCCATATTAGCTAGGAAATCCCTTTTCGTTTTCTATAGGTGGCATTAATTACCAGAGAAAGAAATTATTTTCCAATTAAAAAATGTTATTATTTGGTTAAAGTTAGGGAGAAAGTGATTATCATTTAAGTGACCCATATTGACCAACATTACAAGGTATTTAATTGATCTAGACTAGACTAGGAGAATGTACATAATTAATTAAGTTGCTTCAATTATAAAGCAATTCTTACATGCACTACTTTTTTGTTTGAATTGTGTTTTGCTTTTTAAAATTTTAATATTTACATTTTAATGTCACATAACTATATTTAATAAAATATTATTTAGGGAATTGTAAATTAACAAAAAAAAATAGGAATTCTATTAGTTTTTTCTCTATACAAATTAACATTCGGAATTTATTTATTAAAAAAATTAAATTATTATATATAAAAAAACTATTTAGGAATGTGAGGAAAAGGTGGTAGTTGTAGAAAGGACAAATCTTATTGTAACATTATCGTAAAGAGTTTCATTCTTTGGACATTCCCGACACAGCATTTCATCATTCATGGTTGTGATGGCTTGTGGGGTACCTTCTTTTTGCTGATTTGATTTTGATACTGTTACATGAACGTGTTATTCTGTAAACTGATTTTACAACTTAAATTATATATGAATATATTTTTAAATATAATTTTAGAATCTATTTTAATGAAATAGTTGAATTTATTATAAATATCTATCTATTATCAAATTTTTATGGGACTATTTATTGTAATTTTTTATTTTTAGACAAAACATTTATGAATTTATATAAAATAAGTGTAATTTATCAAAATATTTTAAAAAGTTTATTCCACAATGTGTAATTTAAAATTATATTTTTTACTATTCAGAAAATGTTATGAAAAGAGAAAGTTAAAATTGAAATTAAAATGGAGAGGTATGTACAGGGGACAAAAGTAAGAGGTAAAGGAAGAAAAAACCCACTCCTTACTCAATTGGGCTTTCAAGCTGATGATACATTTTTACTGGGCTTACCAAAGTATAGCCCATTGGACAGTTGAATATTTTTAAAAAGAAAATCATTGAAAGGAAAAGAATACTTTTTAAGAAAATGAAACCCATATGTTGAAGAAGTCCAGCAAGCCCAAAAATACTCTCAATTGCAGGTTGTTTTTCATTTTGGCCCAGGAAGAGTATAGAAATTAATAATTTTGTATTTGCATTTACACAACCCTATAAAAAAATATTTTGACAATTAACATTTTCATATACAATTCTTTGATTTTTTTTAATAATAATAATAATAGTTTTCCTTTTTAAAAAATTGTCTCAACATCATTATTCTTAAACTAACATAGTTGAGTTGAGGTGAATCTCTGTTATTTCTTTATTAAATCTAAATCAAAACTATTCTATTACTAATAAGTTGGGATGAATTTACTAATAAATATTAGAAAAAATATTGTATACTTTAAAGACATTATTTTCCCTTTAATTATTATATATTTTAACATAACTTATGAATATTAACAATATATATATATATATATATATATATATATATATATATATAAGATAAGAGAAATCTAGTTTTAAAATGTTCGCATGGTCGATTTTGTTTTATTTGCACGATTATTGTGAAATAATTTTCATATATTATACTATTAACTTTTTTTTCATATGTTATTTTTAAAGTAGTTATTATTAAAACTTATAATTGTATCGTATATTATAATCCATGATTACATAATCATGTAAAAAAAATTATGATTAATGTATTTTCATTAAATTCTTATTATTGACAGCTGTTGTTTAAGTAACAATGTTTGATGGAATTTGGGTAGAATACTTACTCAATGGTTGATCAAAACCTAAAAGGTAAATAACATGGCAAGATCTCTACTGGAAGTGGGGAAATGAATGTGGACACAACTTTGGGAAGCTTTTGAGAACTTGAACATTATCTTAATTAAAATGTATAGCATCAAAGAACATAATTATATTCTGTTCAAAGTTGGTTATCAAGTAGTAAATTATTTACGTTAAAGATGCTCCAAACACATGTTATGAGGGAAATGTTTTCTTTCTCATTCTTAACACACACACACACATATGCGCTAGCTTTTGGACAGTGACCTAACAACACACATCAAAAGCAGAATTATTCGTCTGTTGAGATCTATTCCTCAGAGACAGACACAGACACACACAAAAACATTCTTGATTTAAGAATCGCGTGTGCTACTTCCACCATCACATGCATTCTCTTTTGACCAGCTCTTTCTACATGTATAGAGACAACTTGCACACCCCCCCCCATACCGAGCCACCAAAAGCATATATGCATGCATGCATGAATGGTGGTGGTGGTTACTAACAGCCAGATAATGGTGGTACCTCCGTGATCATCATCATCACCATCACTGACACTATAAATCAAGTCTGAAATAGCAGCAGCACATGAAAGTACCTTGGATCCCTCAATCTCATCACTTTCAAATGATAAGTCCATGAAAAGCATATCCCAAAGAGGACAAAGGCGCAGAATATGTGCGTTACTAGGAAAATCTACACATCCATATATAGATTTTTGTAAGGGAATTTCGGATCCAAGACTTTCCCTTACTTTCATGCATGAAGTCATGCACTCACAAAGACAAAAAGGAAGAGAGAAAAATAAAAAAAGAAAGAGAGCAAGGTATAGTGAATTACTTTGGATAGTGACCTTAGGCAAAAGAACCAAATGTTTATCCCCCTTTCTTAAAGTCTGCGAAAGGCTCGAATGTGTGTGGAAACTTTGTCCCCATCCTTAATCGTTGTCTTTTGCAGATGCCCATACCCTTTTCTTTTGGTGGGACTTAAGCAACGGCGTCTTTAGAGGGGCCTGATCCACTCTTGCCTTTTGTTCAAAACCGAGAAGACATGGTATACGATGCCCGCTCTTCTTCACTTCACCCGCTCTTCTTCACTTCACGTGGTATCATTTTTGTTTCTTCAATCAGAACATGGTAATTAATTACTACAGTCTTATACCTTAATTACCGTTGCAGATGTAGATCTAGAGGCTTTCACTCCACCTACATACACAAAACTCAAAAATTTAAGAGTTTTTGAATTTGATAGACGGATATCATGTAATATTCTTTCCAGATTTGAGTCTGAATGCGTGCATTACAAGTAAAAAGCTCGCCCAAAACACTACAAAAGTGAAGAGAATTTCGTTTCTTATTAGCAATTTCATCATTCATATATTAACTAATAAGCAGAGAATTTGTAACTTTGTACCAATATAATACTGTTGATTAATTTTAATCTCTCTCATGATCATGTTATAATTATAAATCTATTCATTATCAAGGATTAATAAACAAACTAGGGAAATTAACGATAACTATATATTTTTAAAACTCCGACATGATACCTGTGGGATTATCTCCAATCATGATTTTCTTCCAACTCCAAGAAGATACTTGCAGAAAAAAATAACTGACATGATATAAAATATATTACTCGTTTTTCAAAGTTACTATTATTATTAGCGGTAGTATATTTTTTGTATACATTGTTGGGTGATTTACTTCAATACTCTTGATCTTATTGGTGGACCAATCTGTAGCATGTTTCTATAATTGTTATGATATGTTATCGGGAGAAATATTTAATTAGTATTGGGATTAGACTAGCAATAAAATTTTTGCTTATAAAAAAAAATATTATTGCAAGCAAGAGTGTACTAGGATTATTTCAATCTCATGATTTAAGCTTATAATTAGATTAGCAACATGAGAGCATAGTCAAATCCAATGAATCTTAATCACCTGCTGCCACTTGATAAAGTTATATATATGCTTATATGTCAGAAGGACCAAAAAGAATATTTAAGAGAACTTTATGAGAAATAAGTGGCAGAAGGAGATAGAGAATTTGAAGAGGCAGGCACCATAATTTGAAGAAGAAAAAGCCAGTAGGATAAAACCCATATCTTGAGAAAGATACATGATATATATAAGAGTAGTTTCCAAAAAGTGGTTTAGGTATTTCAATTTATGGTGGTTAGAAAGGAAGGGTTCCAAAGTAAAGTGAAGGGCAAGATGGCTCTTAAAGGTAGGGAAAGAAAAGAGATAAAGAAGGGATAAGAATGGGGTGATTGGGTCCAACAAAGTTTGGAGGGTCCATGCTTACCCTAATGAGTGTGTCTCTTAATCCAACGAGGCTTATGGTTGAAGCTTAGTCTATCTATCGTATAGGGCCCTTGGTGACGCACCCCTTTTCTTACCATCCTCCATTACGACAATATTGGGTTGTGAACTTGTCCTTATGCGACAACCACCAACTTGCCAGGATCATAGCACCATTTTAGTGGAACCATTGGGATCCATTAACCCTTTTTAAACCCACCTCTGTTTGCATGAGGGATCATCAGAAACATGCCCTACAAAAAACAAAGATTTATACTTTCCATGTCTCGAATCAGACCCACACAAGTTAAAGAACCAACGAATTTTCCCGTGATTTTCTTTTTTGATTCTTCTTTCTTTTAGGCTAAGCCAAACCCTCTACTGTACATATATTGACAAATCTGAGATAAAGGGAAGAAAGATGTGACTTGACTCAAAAAGACTTCAATTAGTTATATGATTATGATATGTTCAAACGATTTTCTTCAAATAATTACGAGATATTTATTCCTTTCTTTTTTTTACACGAGGGAATGTTTATGGTGAATAATATAAATAAATAGAGAAATGTGAATGAATGACGGTGAAAAGAGGGCCACGTACGAACAAAATGGGTCTGATTCGGCTCAAGCCCAAATACATCCATTGCATCTCACGTCGATTTATACGTGCTTTCTGTCATGTCTCTTCTTCATTTTGATTCTCTCTTTACTTTACGAATACGTGGAGTTAATAAATAAATAAATAAATAATTTAAGAACTAAATTAAACATAGTTAAACTTATATTTTTAAATTCTTATTTATATATAGTTGAAAATCTTTTAAAGTAAAAAAAAAAACGTGAGCCTTACATCTTATTTAATTAATGACTATTTTAATTTTATAATTTTGAATAAATTTAAACAAATAATACAGTGTATGTGAGTAAGAATATATGTTTCTATGACTCCTCTAATTTTATTTAACTACAAAAAGAACTCAATAATGATCTTTTCACGCATATTAAAGGAACAAACCTTCACACAAAGACAAATAATTAATCCTAAACATTTATCAAATCTATCAATAACTCTTATTTTTTAAATATTAGTTATAATCAATTCATTCTCTCCTCTTTAAAGTACACAAAGGAAAATTACAGGTTATTGAATACATATATAATGTGAATGAACCCTACACCATTAAAGAAAAAACGAAGTTTATAAAACAATTAGTCTTGTGGATGACGATTTTTCAAATGAATAAACCACTTTTATGACCACCTTAAGCAAAGTTTGAAGTACATGTACATATAATGGTCTAAACTGTTAAAAGTCTTTCTAATCTCTTTTAACACTTTTTTTTTAATGACACACACCTTCACCTAATTATAACTTCGAAGGTATGTAGTTGTATGGGTGATCTTTGTACAAAAATGTTAGTAATATATTTTTTAATTATTCTATAGTCTAATTTTTTTATATTTTTATTATTTAATAAAATTTATTAAAAACTATTAAAATTTTGAAGTATTATTTTTTATTTAACAACTCTTGCTTATAATTCTTAATAAATTTTAACCAATAATAAAAAAGCATGTTAAAGAAAATGTAGTTGTCACCTTTATTTATATGTAAGCTAGATCCTTTTCAATTAAAAGAGAGTCTAATTTAATTGATTTAGTATAACGCATTTAATTCTTACGAATAAAAAAAAATCAATAATCAATAAGAATTAAAACCAACAAAAATAAGTAATAATATTACATGAAAAGTTGGTGACATATTTGATGTAATTGAAAGTGAATCTTTGAATTTATTTAATCCCTAATTGATGCTAAAAAAAATAAAGATTAATCAGAACATCTCTAGTGAAGGACGGTTAAATAATTGCTTAACAAAAGTACCTCTTTCTTAAACAATCATATTGGATTTGATATACGTAGTATAATAATAGGTTTTAAAATATTAATAACATTATTTTAGAAGCAATATTATTTTTAAAAATAAAACGTTGCTTACCAAGAAATATGAGAAATAATTAAAATAATTTATCTCACATAAAATCTTTTGCCTAAACACTTTTATCTACCTCAATATCCAATATCTTAAATCACATTTATTAAAAACAAATACATTTAAAAATTATTTGGAGAAAGCTACAAATATTTTATTTTCATTTTATTTACAAAACAAGAATAATATTATAATAGTATATAATAATTATTTAAATATTTTACAATTTTTTAAAATATTTTAGTTTTAAATTTGATTTTACAATTTTTTTTAAGAGAAATTAGGTTTATATATTTTTTTAGAATTAATCATTATAAGAAATCAAAATCTTCTTTAAATTTATCATTATTTTAAGTTGAAACATATATTAAATTAATATTTTATTATAATAATTAAATCATTTTTAAATTGTAAAGTAAAATGTAAACAAAAATTACAAAGATATGAGTATTTGTGAAACTATCCATTTAAACAAAAATTATAAAAATTTAATATGAATTATTTAAAAATAATGTAATATAATATGTCCCATTTAAAGTGCAAATATGTTATTTACAGTAAGAGATGGAAGCGCAAAGAGTGATTAAACTTGATCTAATTTTTTAACTTTTTGAAGCTGTCCCTTTAACTTTTGCATTTTCATCTATTTTCCTATAATATATCCCTCGGAGCTTTAAACAATTCAATCAGATAGATGAAAGAAAATTCGAACTTCGTCTATTTGTGTAAAAAAACAATATGTAAATTTCCTATATTTATGTTTTTAATTTATAATGGAAAACTATTCTACAGAATTTTTAAATTATTGATTTTCACATTATAACATACATAAGTACATTATTAATTTTTACATTATAACATACATCATGAATCATACTAAGAAGATTAATCTTAATTCATGATAATCAATTCTTTAATTTTTTTCGTTCTTCAATATCATTTTCTCAATCTATCTCTATATCTTTCTTTCTGTTTTCACGTTTTCTTAATGATTTACCGTGAAAAAACTTTATGACCAGAGACAAAACCCTTATTCCATTTACTAACCAACATCTATCAAGATGGTTACCATAAATTAATATTTTATTTTATTTTTATTTTATTATAACTTCACATAATAACTAATATGTTATCATATTTTATTAAATTATATTTAGGCTCATTATTATATTTCACATTAGTTATAATGCAAAAAATTAATTTAATATTTTGTTATTCGCTATTAACATACATCAAAAGTGTTAAAAAAAAAAAAAGGAAAAAAAAAACATGAAACATGAAAATTAAAAAGGTAGTACAGAGAAGCAAAGAATTGGCCCTATATAAGATATAAAGCATGTACATGTTCAATGAAAAACAGCACAAAGTCTAAAAAGTTTTTCTTAATTATTGTTTATGATAAAGATAACAAAAGAAAAAACAAAAATTAGGCCCTAAGGAAACTCAAATCTTACAATTTTTTGTGTCTAAAAAGGTATAAACCAGAAAGTAGGAAACTTCGGCACATGTATCACTACAAACAATAATTACCATTTAACATAAAATAAAAAAGTATGTGTTTTAATATTATTTTTATTAATATATATTTTTTCTTCTAACAAAAACAAAGTTATTTGTACAATTTTTTTTTAAGGTCACTTCATATATATCACGTATGATACAGACATTTGACATATGGATAACATTCTCATAAATTATTTTCTAGTATAATACATCATACTATTACTATAAACTAATATATTTATATTAACACTTTATTTTTTGTTATATTGTATTAATACAAGTTAATTTAATGGTAAATCGTTAGTAAATAACAATTCTTTTTTAGTGTATGTATTTGAAGCAATGCATGTTTAGGGTATTGCAATAAATTCTTTATACACGTGATAATTTGTTTAAAAGTATTAATAATTATTTATTATTTCATTCAATTTTATTTTTTATTTTTTAAAATTAATTATAATAATTAATCTTAAAAAATTAGTTTTAAATAAATTAAAAAAAGTGATTTATGAATATAATTTGAAAACTATTTTAAATGAAAAAAAAATCAATAAAAACTAAAAAATTACAATAAAAAAATATAAAAGTATGACTATTCATCTATTTAATACAATTAGATATTTGTGAAGAGATCGAGGGATATTTCATAAATAAAATACGATTCAACTATATAAAAAAATATAATATCATTTTAATTTAAACTCTCAATTTAAAATAATAAAATTTGTGAGTTTTTTTTTAACAATAATTAACTTTTGTTTTTATTTATATTTGATGTAAAATTTCAACTTATATATTTGGATTTTCAACAACTATTGATATAATTATTGACATTATTAACAAAAACGATTTTTTTATTAATTTTTTATTTTTTAATATGTTAAAATTTAAAAAAAATAATGTTTTTGATTTTTTTAATAAAACAGTTATAAAGTAATTTTAAAATATTTTAAAAGAGTGAAAAAAAAAACCGTTATATTCCGATTTGCCTTTATATATCAACTCTCAATTTCTATACGTTCTTTTTATAATTACAATCACAATGATTAAGTTTCGATATTCCATAATCTGCATAACGTATTTGGTATACCCCCATTAAAAATATTCCAATAAATATAGCTTTAGATTATGGCAGTTATATTCTTACAACAAGTTGAGGAAAAGGAACAATATTTGAAAACCACTACATAAACAATGAAATGATCCCAAAATGTGTTCCATGTTTGTCTCCTAGTGAGAGGATTGAATTAGCAAATTAGGCATATTTGTGAAACTGTGAACCTTTTCCAGTATTATTTCCTGGCCACTAAGCTATCTTAGCACCTTTGCTTTCATTTGATGATGTTAATTAATTAAAAATAGATGTAACCCTAGAAAAAGTGAAGAAAGCTTAGCAACCATCCAAATTGTCCTAAAAGGTGCATGTATCAAAATAACCAATGTAAGCAAGGGTTCAAGAACAGCCACAGCTGAAGAAAAAAAAAGAAAAAAAAAAGAAAAAAGAGAAAGCTTTGTTGTAAAAGGGGGAAGCACTTTCCATATTTATTCCCTCACTTTTATTTTTAATTTTGTATACTCAACTATATAACAACCACCTCCCACCTTTATCTTCCTGCTTTTCAGGAAAAATGGATTCCATTTCATCCCACCCTTCTATTTAATACATATATTGCATTAACAAAAGTATATCCACCAAACATTAACTCAAATTCTTAATCTTCACAAACAATTTTTTACCTTTTTCTTTCTCGTACTTTAATTTTCATTTATTGGCTTACATTGTTATGACTACTTACAATCATCAAATGATTTTTTTTTTCTTTTTATTTTTTATGTTTAAATATCAGATTTTTTATAGTTAAATAAAGGGGGCAACTATTTTTCTAGTTCAGAATAAGTACAAGTGGTGACCAATATTTAATTACGAAGCTTAAGAAAAGAACAGGAAAATTTTATAGCCAGGATGAACAGAAACTAAAAGTAACAATATATTAACTTTTCTCTGTTAAGATTATTTCTTTAATTAAATGAAAACATATTAATTAACACTAACATCTTGGATATTAATTCTAATTAATCTCTATTTCTAGTATTTCATCTGGAGAATAATCTTCCACTTTTTTTTCTTTCTATTTTTGTGTAAACATGGAAATAAGAGAGAATAGTCAACTTCTATTTTCTTCCTCTATCTTGCAAATTTTCATTTTCTTTTCCTCAAACTAAACTATAACTAAAACATGATCATGATTTATGAACAATGTCACGCATAATTTATTATCGGTAAATGGCAAGTGTTTATATATATATATATATATATATATATATATATATATATATATGTACGAGCCATATTAACATCGTATTAGTAAATTTTTTAAGCGCTTAAGACATAGTAATCTCTAATTTATTTTAATATATGTTAGTTTTGATGTATGAAAAAAAAAAACCCTTTTGTTAAAGTTATCAAATTGCACCAAATTCATGTCCGTACATGGGAAATAATTACATACGCCAGTGTGTTGTTGAAGAGAAGTAATGATGTACTGGAATCTAATCACACAAGTGTTCGTCACGAAAGTTGAACGAAAAAGAAAAATTAACCATAGACAAGTTAAAGAGAAAAAAAAAAAAAAAAAGTGAAAAAAATGAAGGAAGTAAAAGGTATAGGGCATATAATGAGTTAAGGTGGATTTAGTGTGAGGGTAAGAGAGAAAACATTGACGAAAACCCCACTTTTGTCCACCACAATAGATTAATTCTTAAAGACCCTATCTTTTAAAAAGCCATATAAGCGACAAATTCTATACTTATGCTTAAGGGTTTTAATTAAAGTAGAGAAGATAATGATCTTTTAGTGATTCTAAAGTAGCAACATCTTTAAGGTTTTAAAGAAGAGATGCTTATCTATCTTTTTCTTATACTGTTTTCTAAATCCTTAAATATATATTATATTATATTATAATTAATGTAAATATATTGAACCCATATAACCTTTTCTTGCTTTCCAAAGATGAGAATGTTGGGTTACGAAAATCAAAGAAAGAAAGAAAGAAAGTTATTCTTTTACAAAATGCTTCACACAAAGCATAAAAAGTAGTGCTCTTTTGATACATCTTAGTGAAGATTTTACTTTTTCCTTCCAAATAAAAAAGTTGCTTCTGCTTTGCACAATCCTTACGCTATGGATCATACTTTACTCAATATATTAAATCAGGCCAATATGTGATTCAATTATACATAATAACATGCATTACGAAATTCATTTTTTTATTTCTTTATTATCCTTTTCACACTTCCCACAAATATTTCTTTATTTATTCATCAACCATTTGCCCAATCAAATATATTTTCATACGTTTAAAAATCTCTTTCCAAAACATATTTTAATATTTCTTTTAATTTATTTAATTTAAAAAATAAAACAAAATCATCATATCACATAGATCTTCCACCACTTGAGTGAACAGAAAATGGAGTGATGTAAGTCACTTTGCCTTTAACCCATTTTTGTTGCAAGTCTCCTCAACATGTAAAGTGAATGAATACTCTCCCTCCCAACAAATAGAGTCATACACTTTCTTCTAATTCACCTTCACCACTAACTTATAAGTTATATATGTTCAACATTTATTTACATGATGATATGTTAAAAAAAAGAGAGTTAATAATCAAATTTAAAATAAGATTGGATAATTATTTTAAAACTCACTTTAATTATTTGCGTAGGAACAAGTATATTCAATCGGATAAAATATATTAATATTTTTAGTTTAAATAAAATTAAAATTATGACATTTAGTGAAAAAATAAAATAGAGAACTAACTGTTTGATTTAGAATTAATGGAATTTTAATAAAAATTAAAATAACTTAAAAAAAATCTTTCTTAAGAATACATACAATATATCACATTGCTAAGGTAAACGTGTAATTATTAGTTTCTAGTTTTTGAAAAATAAAGGTTATAATAATAAAAAAATAAATTCCTTTAAAAAATGTAAATAGAATATTTCCTGAATGTAAATACACAATCATTTAATTAGTAACAAAATATATCTATTAAATTTGTTGTTGATTTTTATAATAATTATTTTGAAAGTTATATATTAATAATTATAATCTGACAATACAATTAATGATATTAAACTCTAATAAAAATAATTACAAAATTTAACATTTTTTTATTAATAAATAGGTTTTTTTCATATTTATTGAGAGTATATGTTTTATTATTTTTATTTAAATTAGATATTAATAATTTTTTATTATATTTTAAAATTACAAAATATTATTATTTTGACTTAAATAATTATAATTAAGATATTATTAATATTTATTATTTATTTTTATATATAATGAATAAAATATATATAAAAAGAGAAGCTCTACCATATATAACATGTATTTTTTATATAAAAAACTCTGAAAATTTCTACCGTGAGACTAGTCTAAATTTGTTTCGTTTTTCTCTTTGTGAAAATCCAAATTTATTTAAAAACATGAATTCAAGAATGAATAAAAAAGAAGAAGAGGCATATGAGGAAAGGTGAAAACAATAAAGCAGAAATTTTCTGCACGTGCGGGCGAGTGTTCACATCTCTATATATCCAAACTTAATCTAATGATTTATTTATGCTGATGCTATTGACTTCAATTTTCTGTGCTGCATTACCCAACACAAGTTTTATCATATTTATTATACAACACTTTTGACTGCATCATCATTTATATTATTTTGGAATTGAAGGACCACTAACACTACACTACATAAATTGTTCCTTTTTGCATACACATCCAGAGAGACCAAAATTTTGGCTATTTTTAATTTAGATTCTAATTTAATATCTAATTATTTTAGGATTAATTATTTAAATTTTTAGATACCATTAATTCAATCAGTGTAAATATTTTTTTTTTCTTGTAGCATTAATTAATGAAATTGGACAAACATCATTTTCTAAACATTTTGGCGACTAACACACCATTAGGTTAATTAAACAGAAAACATATGCAATTTTAATTTTTTTTGAGTAATTAGAGTACATTATGTTGGAACTCCCTGATTATATTTTTCAGACTGTACTTATATTTATGTTTTTTTCATCATTGTAATAGTGTACCTAAGTGATATAAAAAAGGCAACAACCAAAAATGAAATGTAAATAGAACATAAACTATTTTTCTTGTATGTGTTACAAGAATGGAAAGTTTGTTGTGTGGGATTCTTAGATAGGGTTTGGGGTATAAGTTTTCAAGTGTTCAACGTTGGGTTTGCATAGAAAGCAGAGAAGGCACATATACTCAAAAATGCTCCCCTTCCATCTATCTAGGTGTCCACGAAAAAGAAAAACATAAAGAAATGGGAGAATATTTTGGAACGTAGATATCTCCCTTTCACTCCTCAATCAACTACTCCACTTTTACTTGTTTTGTGCAATGACCCATGACGTATCATTAGTGTGTGAATCAGCCAGTTATAATTTCAGTGCGTGTCATCTTGAAAGCAAGAACTTAAATAAAACATGCTAAGGAAACATTACAAGAAACCAAAAAGGGGGAAATGATCTAACAATCATAGAAGAAAGTGAGTGATATAATGCATAACTAGTTGATGAGCAATCAGTGAAAGAAACAGTGCAAAACCCACTCAAATAACCATGGACTTGTCTCTTTTGATAGGAAACTAGAAGCCTCATACCTACATGAGCATTCACACCACATTTTGACAACACCAAAATACATACGTCATGTTTGGGGATCGCTAACAAACACCATTGCCTGCAATTCATTCTTTTCTTTTCTAACTCAGAAAGAGAGACTAATGTCACCAATATTTTTTAAATATTAATACATAGACCTCATAATAGAATTTTTTATTGCAGGATTAGAAAAATATGTTTGTCTGTCAACTACAGTGTATCTTGTTAATTTGCTGCAATACAATTTTTATGATTTTCTTTCTCCCTTCTTATGGTGTTTTGTTATGTTCTTTAGGGCATGATCACTATTAGCACAACACGTGACAGGTGCACCCCCCTAGAGATGATTGAGTATGAGTTTAGAATTAGTGAATTAGGATCCAAAATGAATCTGCAACAGGTAATCCAAATCTAGAAACTGTTTATAAATTACTTGGTGGTTTTGGTTTGGGTGAATAAGAATTACTGTAGAGACCTAGCTAGTCCAGGGTTCCAGTCAAAAAGTCTCTTCTATCTATCTTTGTTGGCCTAAAAAGACTTACAAAGGGCACCAAATTATTTGAACACAAAGCACTCTGCAATGCTAGCTAGAAAAGGAGTGTCTGAACGAAAGAGGGGAATATATACACTTGCTTACAACACAACCCATCATTTCTGATTTCTGATTTCCCTCTCTCTCTCTCTCTCTCTCTCTCTCTCTCTCTCTCTCCCCCACCAATAACGGTTTAACTTTTCTATTTTTAAACACAAAGGATAATGGTTATTGTAATGTGTATGAAAAAAGTGATCCTAACAGTTGATCTCAAAAACTAATCTGTTTGGACAATCACCATGAGATTTGAGGCAAAGTGAAAGGTACAGGACTATCTTTTCTCTTCTTTCACCATCAAACACCTCTCTTAATTGATTTCCCCTTCAAACACATTTTATTAGAGCTCAGATTTTAATATACCCTCCATCTTTTGCTTAAAGTAAAGCGCTCTATCATAAAGCAATATTAAAAGTAAAATATGGCATTATCTACTCAAAAGGGACGCTCATTTTATGCTTTTGAGCTTCAAATGAGCATCTTCGACCTCTACGTGGCCATGTGGCTGAAAGCAATATCCAAGGGAAGAGAGGGAAACGAAACTGAAGAAGGAAAAAAAAGAAAGAGAGAGAGAGAGAAAGAGAAAGAGAAAGAGAGAAAGGAAAAAAAAAAAAGATCAGTTAATAGTATCGGTCACAAATTTACCTCACCCACAAGAAAAGCACAGTCCACCCTCCATAAATTTCATACACTCCCCTTCCTCTTCCTCTTCCTCGTTTTCTCATCCCTCCCTCTTTGTCCTTTAGACCAACCCACCCTCCATAAAAAGATTAGTTAATAGTATTTGGGCAGGATGGGCAGCTTTAAAGGCTAGAACGGGGAGGAAAAAGTTGCTCTAATTTTGACATGACAGCCTTGTTAATGTAAAGGTGATGGAATTACGTACCATACACTCCCTCTTTTTCCCCAAAAGTTCCTCACTATTTTATGCTTACTATCACATATGCACCAAGCTAACTTCTCTTCATTATTTTATGTCTAAAATCACTCACCCATTTATATTATCATCTCATCACGTTAGCTACCTATGCACATCATATCCCTCCCTCCAAACTCTGCTCCAAACCAACACCTTAGTTCCTCACCCTACCCTACAAAAATTAACACCACCCTCTTACCTAACATGCCAACAACAACAACACCTTGATCAAACTTAATATCAAGGTTTTCAGGTACTGTACAACCATTGTGATTGCATCGGTCGCATTTGTCTGCCACAACATCAAAGATTGCGACGAAACTGCAACCAGGATTACAATTTTTCACCTTGTTTTCAGTGTTGTTACATAATCCACAAAGATGAGAACGGGAAGCTGCGCTGTGCAACAGGGTCTAACCCCAGAAGCGGCAAGCATAGTGAAGCAAGCAGTGACACTGGCGAAGCGTCGTGGGCACGCGCAAGTGACACCTCTCCATGTGGCAAACACGATGCTCTCGATCACCAACGGGCTTCTAAGAACCGCGTGTCTCCAATCCAACTCTCACCCTCTCCAGTGCAAGGCCTTGGAGCTTTGCTTCAACGTTGCGCTGAATCGGTTACCGGCTTCAACCTCTTCCAGCCCCATGTTGCAAGGTTCTCACCACCACCACTCCCACGCGTGTCCCTCTATCTCAAACGCTTTGGTTGCCGCGTTCAAAAGGGCTCAAGCACACCAACGACGTGGATCCATTGAGAATCAACAACAACCACTCCTGGCAGTGAAAATAGAACTCGAGCAACTCATTATTTCGATCTTGGATGACCCTAGTGTTAGCCGAGTCATGAGAGAGGCTGGGTTCTCTAGCACTCAAGTGAAAAGCAACGTTGAACAGTCGGTTTCTTTGGAAATATGCTCTCAGAATAACGGTAGTGGTAATAGTAATACTAAGGGAAAGGAAAACAACAGTAGTGGAGAGAAAGGGTTGGTGTTGGATCCCATTAGGGGTGAGGACGTTGCTAGTGTTATTGATAATTTGGGGAGTCAGAGAAAGAGCAGTGTTGTGATAGTGGGAGAGTGTGTTACTAGTCTTGAGAGTGTAGTTAGAGGAGTGATGGAAAAGGTTGATAAAGGGGACGCTGGTGATTGTCTTAGGGGTGTCAAATTTATATCTCTTTCTCTTTCTTCTTTTGGGAACGTTTCAAGAGTGGAAGTTGAGCAAAAGGTTGAAGAGCTTAGGAGTCTTGTGAAGGGAGGTGAACATAGCAAAGGGTACGTTTTGTATTTGGGAGATCTTAAATGGTTGTTTGATTATAGGGCTCGTGGATCACAAGGGAGAGCGTGTTATTGTTCTGTAGATCACATGGTGATGGAGATTGGGAAGCTTGTGAGTGGGGTTGAAGAGAATGGTGCAAGGTTTTGGGTGATGGGTGTTGCCACTTTTCAAGCTTACATGAGATGCAAAAATGGCCATCCATCGCTGGAGACTCTTTGGGATCTTCATCCTATTACTATCCCTGCCGGAAGCCTGCGCTTGAGTCTCATCACTGACAGGTAAATCAGTTTTGGTTGAGTTGGATATAATTACAAGGTGTTTGATTATTCGTTACATATATATATATATGTGTGTATATAACTTTAACACATTTTCTCATAATTTTTATAGTTATGATTTTCATGTTTCAGACATGATTTCTTCCTTCTCAACGGTTTCCAAACATGCTTTTAATTGTTGGGTGGCTCTAATTCAATCTTCTCTATTCCATTTCCCGAACTGTTTTTTCATTTTATGAATAGTTGAATAGCTGGAAACGGGCATCGGAAAAGGGAAAAAATGGAATTAACTTTTGCTTTTTAAAGATTGAAACTGGAAAAGAAAAGTTGGAGTGGAAGGAACACATGGTAAACAAAATTGGGAAAAACTGTCTTCGTTTTTTTTTTTTTTTTATGAAAATTTTCTTCTTTCTCACTTGTTTTCTCAAGTTACTGTGTATTAGAAGAAAAAACCCAATGGGAAAAGAATTTTGGTTAAAAGTGTATGCACTGAAACGAGTAACACGTCAGGCGTTATAGTGTGACTTTCTTTCGTTGATTAGAACTAACAAAGGAAAGATGTTTTTCTTCTTTTTCTTTATTTTTGCTTGTTTTCCTTCAATAAACATCGATAATCAGTTTCACTTTCAGGCCCTTTTTTTCCAAAAAAAAATTTTCTGTTACTGTTTTCTGAATAACTTTGAAAGTGGAATATGACCTGAAATAAATGAGGCGAGTGATTGATAATCTTATCTTATCGTCATCTTTTCTTTTTCCCAGTGGTCTACAAATTCAGCCCACAAACAAGAAAGCTGACAACAGAACTAGCTGGCTCTTACTCGAAGGAGAGGGGGATGATCAGAAACAACAACCTTGCTTCCCGGAACCTTCCACCAAGAATGAGACCGAAGTTCGAAGCTTGCAAAACAGTACTTGCAATAGTGACTCCTCAAGTTCAACCCTCCCTGCATGGCTCCAACAGTACAAAAATGAGAATAAAGGAATCACCTATAATGATCAGGTCTTCATTATCCCAATCAAACATACACGTTGAAAGGAACATATATAGGATTCCACTCATATTAGTATATTATATTAAGATATCATTTGCATTAAAATTAGAGAAATTCATAGGTATCCTAAAATTTTTAAAGGATTTTGATACTATTATTATTACTAAAAAATTCTCTCTCCTTCTTTTTCTCTTTTGATGCGTTCAAACTCATTCATCTGCTCACTCAAAAAATTATTGTACCAAAACTCTCAAACTTTTCCAAGTACTATTCCAACTCTCTTAAAATTAACTTACAATTCTGTTTTTTTTTTTTTTTTAGTTGTCCAACAGACAATTACATGTCATTCAATCATCTTTTCTTTCACATAGTTAATACTTTTTAAAGAGTTATCTTATATTGGAATATGAAAAAAGGGTAAGATAGGAGAACATTTGAGCCATTATGTTATGTAATAATACAGACACATGATATTTTAGTCTTGTATTTGAATGTAGCGTGTAATAGTTGCAGTATAATCGTATAAGATGAAAAATAACTTTTTTTCCGTATATTCCAACAGAATTGTGTCCCAGTTGGAGAGCTTTGCAAAAAGTGGAACTCTATGTGTAGTTCAATCCAAAAGCAACCTTATCCTTCAGACAAATCCCTCACATTATCCTCAGTATCACCCTCGTCCTCAACCTCAGGTTTCTCATACGAACAACAACATTCTAATTTGCACCAAACCCATCATGAGTGGCAAGTGGCTTCACCCAAAGACTCATTGAATAATAACCAACATTTCTGGATCTCAAACAATGGTTGCAACAACCCCAATGAACCCACTTTGCGAGTGTACATTCCAGAGAACAAGGACAGCACAAAACAACCATTCTCATCTCCCAACCCAAGTTCCAACCCTAATTCCGCTTCTTCCAGTGACATCATGGAAGTGGAGTACGTGAGCAGGTTCAAAGAGTTCAACTCGGAGAACCTGAAAACACTGTGCAACGCGTTGGAGAAAAAGGTGTCGTGGCAGAAGGATATGATACCAGAAATTGCTAGCACCATTTTGCAATGTCGTGCTGGCATGGTGAGAAGAAAAGGAAAAGTGAGAAACAGTGAAGAAGTGAAAGAAGAAACATGGTTGGTCTTCCAAGGTGTTGATGCGGAAGCTAAGGAGAAAATAACAAGAGAATTGGGTCGGCTTGTTTTTGGGTCCCACAACGACGTCGTTAACATAGCATTGAGTAGTTTCGCGTCAACAAGAGCAGATTCGACTGAGGATTATAGCAGGAACAAAAGATCAAGAGAAGAAACAAGTTGCAGTTACATTGAGAGGTTCGCAGAAGCCATGATGAACAACCCTCATAGAGTGTTTATTGTTGAAGATATAGAGCAAGCGGATTATTGTTCTCAACTTGGTTTCAAAAGGGCCATTGAGAGAGGAAGAGTTGCGGATTCAAACGGTGAAGAGATTGCACTTTGTGACGCAATCATCATTCTAAGCTGTGAAAGTTTCAGTTCAAGGTCAAGGACTTGTTCTCCTTCGGTCAAACAAAAATCGTTGACTGAGGAAGAAAAGAATGGTGACATTGCCACTTTGGAGGAGACAAGCCCTTGTGTTTCTTTGGATTTGAATATTTCCATTGATGATGAGAACGAGGTTGAGGATCGATCGGTGGATGAAATTGGGCTTCTTGAATCCGTAGACAGAAGGATTATATTCAACTTTCAGGAATTTTGAGGAGAATAATTTCAAAATTAGCTAATTTTTTTTCCTTTTTAGTTTAGGCTTCTTTTAATTCTCTTTATTCATCGTGTCTTTGTATTCTTAGACATTTCCTAGGCCAGGGTTGAAAAACAAATTGCATCCCCTTTAATTTTATCATGTAACTATATATGTATATTATTACCAAGTATATCCAACTATCACTGTCACAGAATTCTCAAAAGTTTTTTACACTCATTGTAAACGGAAACCTAGAGAAGAAAAAACTTTTGTTATTTATTATTAATTTTACACTATATTTTACAATACCTTTATTCAAATTTAAAAATAATGTTAGGGATCTTCCAACCGAAATAATAAAAAATAAAATTGAAAATTGATAAAAAAAATAAAAATCGTTTTTTTTTCTTTCTATTTTTTAGACTGAAAAAAATTAAACTCGATTGATTCGGTTGGATTTTTTATTTGATAATAAAAAACTAGCACGAATCGAATTAAACTTAATTTATAATATATACTATTAAAATTAAAATATAAACTATGCTTAGAGTGAACTAATTAGTTTTTTTATGATTTAAGACATGTATTGTTATATTTTGAATTAACGTGGTAACATCTCGAAATAAATTGAAATTATGAAAATTAAAGAATTATTTTATTATAATATATTTACTAATTTTATAATAAATCAAATTATAAAATATTAATTTATTTACTTTAGATTTTTAAAAAAATAAAAAACAAAATACTAGATAATTTTTTACGTATAAATGGCGTCTTAATAAAAAAAATGTAATGTGAAATGTATTTAAAAATAAGAATAATAAAATAAATTTATCATCAATGTTAGTATATTAATGTCTACCTTGGTAAAGGATATTTGAAGCATATTAGACTTCTTGGTAGTTCAACGTATGCTCATATTTATTATTGTTGAAATTACGTAGTAGGTCAAATGTTATGTGTACGAACGTTGAACTAGTAATTGAAGTTTTGATTCCCATTTCAAAGGATGCATATATGGGATATGTTGGGTTTGTGGAAGTGAAGAAAGAATATAATTTGAAAATGAGACGAGAATAGTTACACGCCAAAGATGTATTTGGAACCATCTGTGGTTGAAAGAATTGTATTGAGGGTTCGTTAAAATTCAAAGGATGCTTAATAACAATGAATATGAAGGCATGAAATTCATTTCAATAAATATTGGAAATAGTTTAAAAGTTTAAGTGTGGCTGAGTTAAATAAAAATAAAAAAGTTAAATAATATATAAAAAAGAAGAATGAATAATCTAATATCTTAATATTTTATATTAAATATAATATTAATCTTTAACATGGATTAAAATCGTACCTTATTAATATTATTATTTTCTATTAAATCTTTCTCGAAATACTCATCAATAACAATAGAGTCGATTATTTGTATTTATAGTCTTTCTACTTAGTGTTCTAATGAAAGATTTTACAAGAAAAGTTTATTATTGTGGGATTGTTAAGAAATTTAAGTGAGTGGGATTGTTAAGAAATTTAAGTGAGACTCATAATTTAATGTTTAAAATTTTTAGTTAAATTTAATGTCATATTTTTTTATATAATTAACTTATTTTTAATTATTAAGAATAATTATTATCGTTGAAAGTCGCACATCGCCTACCTCATACGTCATTTTGTATAGTTTAAATACATGTTAGATTACTTCACATATTGTCAATTAGTTTTATGTTAGAACCTTAACATGGTATCAGAGTCAAAACTTAACATCTTTCCTGTTATTGTCATGGGCCAAAAGTTATCATTTTGTTGGGTCAAAAGTACCATTTACCTGGTCCGACAGACTTCATTGGAGAAGGTGTGTTGAAAGTCTCACATCGCCTATCTCATGTCATTTTGTGTGATTTAAATACATGTTAGACTACTCTACATATTGTCAATTATTTTTATGTTAGAACCTTAACCGTTACTTTCCTTTAGAAATACCTATCATAAAAGATAATAAATAGTAATTGAGTGCAGTGTTGAGATAGAAAATGACCAGATATTTAGAACAAACAGAGAAGGAAAGAATAAGTTGGATGAATTTTTTTATTTTTGGGAGGTTGATTTGAAAACTCTAAAGTACGAGAATCTCTTTGAAGAGGAATTGGAGCTAGTTTATCACAGAAACAATGAGGTTTTTGAAGAAAAAGTGAAAGAAACATGTTACAATGGTGTGACAATTTACCCCATGAGAGTGAAAACTCCTGACATGTATTATTTTTGGCTTGCTCTGTACTCGAAGTTACCACCAAAACATGAAATGGCATATAAAAAATGAATGGTGTATTTATGCAGATCCATTGAAACAAAGTAGTGAATATTTACAGTGGTTCATGACAAATTCAAGTCATGTTGGTCATGTCTGTTGCCTCAACACAAATACAAACAAATGTATAAACAAGTGGCAGGGTCTTACACTACGAGCAAAGAATGATCCAATTTGCATTAAATAAATTAACAATCAATAATGCATGGATTTAGTAAAAGGCACTTTTTACTCTTTTACTTTTCTATAGTGGATTAGTATTATATTATTTTCTTTTTTTTATGTTTTTCTTTCCATTTTCTTACTTTTTTTATTTAATTTATTTTTTTTATTTAATTTAGTTTTCCAATCCGTCCAACCAATCTAATAAATATAAAATTAATTTTTTTATCTTTTTATAAAATTCTATATCAAATATTATTTTATATTATTTTATTTTTAATTAATCTTTATTAGATATTATTATATAATATTTTTTAATTTTATTATTCTTATTTATCTTATAACAAATTTTATTTAATAAAATAATTATATTTTAAAATATAAAAATAATAATTAAATAAGAATTAATTTAATAAATAGTTTCTTGTAAATTATATATTTTATATATATTAATATTTTAAAATAAAAACTTAACAAACAATTAATTTATATATATTACAAGTATTTTATATTCGTATAAAAAATATAATTAAATATTATATATATATATATATATATATTAATATAAATATAATAAATTAAAGTATTTATTTAATAAATAATAATTAGAAATTATAAAATTATCAATATTTATTTATATATAATATATTAAAAATTATTATAATTATATATATTTTTTAAATAATATAAAATAAAGAAGAATCGAGAAAACCGAAACTTAACGAGAACAAAAGTAAATACTTAATTTTTAATCAATCATGATTAGAAATAGAGACGATAACAATAAAAAAAATATGGAGAGGAGGTGTCGACACAAAACCCGTCTAACTCCAGCCTCGCCAGTTACCATGCCTGTATAAATTCTAATATATGGAAAACAATATTGATTTATTTTTATGCTTTAAATGGAATAAATTAAAAAAATGTGACATAGTTATTCAAAAAATAATTCATCACTTCGAAAATGTCAACAAACAATAAATAACAACAAAAAATAAATAAATAAAAACTTTATCAAGGATAAAAATGAAAAATTAATTAGTAAAGACTAAAAGTAACAATGTTCCTCCGGAATCAAAAGCTTGTTTAAGAAAGAAATAAATAAATGTTTCAATCTACATGTCACTTGTGAATAAATTATCACTTAACAAATACATTAATAAGAATAAAAAGGAAAGTTGAGTTTTAAATGCAATTTTAAAACATTCATTTTACTTTGTTTTCAATTGACAGATTCATCTATAGACGTGAAGAAGTGTGGAAAATGAATAAGTATATATATATATATATATATATATATATATATATATATATATATATATATATATATATATATATAAATTAATTAATTAATTACATGAAAAACTTAATTGATTATGTGATAATTAAAAAAAATATTATTATTACTATTATTATAATAAATAATTTAAAAATATTAAAATAATAAATATTTTTTATTTACTTTTTTATTATTTAAATAACTCATTTTTTATTAATTTTTTCTTTTTTCTTTTCTTTTTCACTCTTCAAAATTTACTTTCCAATTCAAACAAGGCTAAACATAACAAAATCTGAGCATTTATGGGAAATCAAAAGCTTGTTCAAGAAAAAATAAATAAAGGTTTCAACCCTACTCAATCGTTGATATCTCACTTTATGAACAATTTATCACTTAATAAACGTTAATAAAGACAAAAATAAATATAAAACTTTATCGAGAACCAAACCGGAAAAAAATTTATTAAGAATCAAAAACAAAATTTACAATTTTATTGGGGACCAAAAACTTATTTGAAAAAAATAAAAATAAATAAATAAATATATATATATATATATATATATATATATATATATATATATATATATATATATATATATGTGTGTGTGTGTGTGTGTGTGTCACTTGGACTCAGTTGTTGACGTATAACTTAGACAAATCATCACTTTAACAATTCTAACAAACAAATAGAAATAAAAATGACTAAGAAAGAGAAACTATGAGGACAATAATCAAAATCCATAAATTATTATTTAAAATGGCCATTTAAACTATAAAAAACTATCCTAACTTCAAAGCCACCAGAACCTTATTTTCACGTGGTCTTTTAAATGTTATCAGCATGCTACATTCAAGAGTAAATTGTACCTTCTTCGTATACCTCGTTCCTATGTAGGTAGCAGCTTGTTGTTTCTCATTAAAACACTTGCTTTGATGTTAGATTGTTTGATTACCAACTTTTGGAAAGGTATTGACACTCGATAGCAAGTTACTCTTAGAATAAGTTCCCACTTACCAAAGCGGATTCTTGACACAAAATAGCAAGTTTCCAAGTTAATTATGATTTCGCGTTTTTACCCGTTTTATCAGTTTCAAAATCCTTTTTTCTTTGGTATATACACGTTTCCAATGAAGTTATAACCGTTTTCTCAATCTTACTTTTACATTTCTAACGATATTTGAAGATCCATTACATCAGTAAGTGCGTCTTACAGAAGCTTGCATCTGTTGCTTATGCTAATGTTGTTCCTTTTTACACATCTTTAATGTTAACGCACATATAGAACATAAAAGGCAAACACACCCCAACTCAAAGGGGAAGCCAAACCGCGATGCAAGAAAAAACAAAACCTATGTTAACATTAACATGGTAAAGTAAAAAGAAGGTATGTAAAAAGACCCACCAATAATCTATGTGCACAAAAAACATGCAAAATTAGCGAATTACATAAACTAAGTATTATTGGAAACGACCACATTGATACATGATAAGAAACTACGTATCACAGAAACCCACGTATTAATATATACTACCAAGACATACTATTTACTTTATATTAACTATTAAACAGTATGCTTCACAAGTTGTTTGTTGGCGTTAATAGCATAAAATAATATGCAAAACTGTAAACTCTATTCCATATATATAACCGAAATATAAATAAAAGAAAAAAAAATCAGTAAAAACAAGTAAAATAAAGAGAAGGGAGAGACAATAATTAAAAGAGGAAAGAACATAACTAACCGTGAAAACCGATTCTAACAACTTTTACTACCTCAGTTTTCAGCTAATCCAAAATCATCCTCAAGTAATGGAGCAAGCATATACTTCACAGCTGATCTCAGCTTGTCTATTTCATTCAGAATCGCAAATTGAGCTTCCTCACAAGCTTTTGCATTTGGAAAACCAAGGGTCCATCTGCCATCTGAAGAATGATCAGGCATGTTCAGGTGGTTTCCTCTAGCTTTGATTGAATAAAACTGTGGGTCAAACTCTCTAATTCGAAGATGCAACCATGAGGAGTGGTCCTCATCTATCTTAGGCTGCATCAAGCAGGTAATAGGGGTTAATGAAACACAGTGAAGAAATGAAAACACGATGAATTGATAAAAATATATCAACCACTCTGCCTAACAGCTAAAAATTTATTGATTTTCTCGGTTGCTTGATCTTTTAAATTTTAAAAAACAAAACCTAACGTGGCAAAATTTAAGTGTTTATAACATTTTCCTCTTTTAGTTTACATTTTAGTAGAGTTATAGTTCAATAAAACTATCTAAAGCCTTGCGTGCACACTCAAACAACACACAAAGTAGAGGGAATAAAACGCTAAAATGTCAACGGAAACCATAATGCATGACAACACACTTACATGTATATCTCTGCCAAAAAAAAAAAACGAGACAACAGCAAGTATCTTCGCATGATTATTTTTCTTAAATAATCAGACTAACATCATCAAAAACTATAAAAGCCGAGCTCAGCAAAAGGTCAGAGCAATATTTACTTACACATAACCCTGCCAACGGAGCAATTGCAATCACAACTCCATGTCGACTGCGGAATGGGTGCTTCTCTGCTAGAAGCAATTTTCCAATTATTCCACTTGCAACTGGAATGACATATATGTCCCTAATTTCAGAATTTGAAAATGCAATTCCACAAGGTATTCCAGACTCTGCAACAGTTACATATGATTAGAATTTACTAAAGATAAAAAAAAAATTTAAAAATGCCAGAGGTAGAATCAAGTATAAAAATACTGATGTCTACCCAACGAAACATTGGACCCAAAGCTAGCAGATGAAATATTTGAAGCCCGGAATACTCCAGAGTCATTAGAACTGGAAATCATGTTCAATTTTGGCTCCTCAAACGATGAAATATTGAAAATAAATGTCTTCAATTGGAAGAAGAGAACAAAAGCCTGAGTAAGCAACTGGTATTAGAAGTATGCTTGATGAGTATTAAAGAATGATAGATAAACCATGAAATAATTAATAGCAACAACTAAAATCGTGGAACAATAGAATGTTTTGGCTAAATAAGAAAGTTTATAAACTGATTAAATACACACCAAAAATGCAAGAAACATATGCATTAAAGATAATTTTTTTAAAAAACCAAGAGAGAGATGCATGCATGCATACCAGAAATCATATTGAGGTTAAGCAGAACTTCATGCATAGTACAAGAAAATAAGTGATATAAAATTTATCAAGTCAACTTTAAAGCCTCGATGGCGTGGTGTAATGTTTCATGTCACAATTCATAGACTTAAGTATGGAACTCTTGGTTCAGTATAGGGGAGGGGCGATACTTTAACGGAGGCGGGAAAGGAAAGGGAGGCGAGGGATTCTAATTAGACATTTATGTTTGGTAGAAAGGAATATTGACAGCACCTTCACTGCATCAACCATCCTCTGCCAAGCAAAATATGAAGATGCTTGACCTGTCACAGACGTATATTTTTATGAAATCATAAACAGTACTTGCTGCTGCTTAACATTAAAAAGTAAAATACCATTGAAGAGGCTATTTTTTGTGTAATAATGACAATACCATCGGTCGGTTCTTGGTGAAGAACAAGCTCCAACATAAATAATGGATCTTTATGTACGGAAGGCTGATCAAGAACTGCATGCAATAAGACGGATGTGCATTATAGGAAAAAATTGTAAACCGTTGCAAGATTAGTTCATAATAGTGCAACAAGGTAATTTATAATTGTAGTATAACAACCACCAAATCCGGTCGTAATCCCATCAAAGGGACTGAGCTACCTGAATCAAACATAGCATTGACTCTACCAAAAACCAAAATTTCTATGATTCAAAAAGAATGACCTTCCTTTTTTTCAATTAACTAGAAAAATATGTGTGCACTCTCTTGATATGTATTAGGCATATACTGGACTTCTTTTTAACTTCAAATACCAAGTTACTCAAAACAATGTAGTAGGCTCGATCTCAAAGTAAACAAAATATAAGTACCTCTTTTACAGCTTGCCCATTCTGTTATTAGTGTATCTGGAATATGATCAAACCAAACTCCATCAAGTTCTTTCAGAAACTTTACACGGGACTGATCATAGGAAGTCTGCCGATGGAAACTAAAAACTATAAAACTTTAGAAATTTTGAATGCATAAATGCAATTTTTTAATTGGTAGTCATGAACTTATATAATAACATGAATAAATCAATTATTACTCCCGTTAGAAGCTTGTAGAAATGTTCGAATATATATATATATATATATATATATATATATATATATATATATATATATATATATATATATATATAATAACAAATGATATCAAGATCAGTTAATGATATTAGGATCAATTAGATTGATTATATATATACGTTTTTCGCTCTGAAAATTCTATATGTTTTCACCTCTATGAATTGAATAGCTTGGGGACGGGATCTTGACACACGAAATTTATCATATCTCTTTCTCTCTTCTCAACATGGTTTCAAGAGTATATGGTGAAGGTGAAGGTGAAGGGAATTCTAATCTGTGCTTTCCCCGAGGTCTGACTATTCATACCCCGTGGGCAGATTACTCATAGGTGTAAATTGTAGAAACCGTGTACGTTTTTGGGTTTCTATTTTTCCCCCCACTGCCATCACTATTCACCATGGAGGTCACTGTTCACTAACGGTGTAACTGCTCACCGTTGGCGTTACTAATCACTGCTGGCGACTTCCATCGAGCTTTCCCTCTGCGCTTACCACTGTGTTGGTTCTGGATACTGTGTGGCTGATATCCTTTTGTGTTGGTCGGTTATTATCTGTTTGGTTGATATTCTTTGTGTTGGTCGGTTATCACCTGCTGGGTTCACTATTCTCTTTTTTCTTGGTTATTCTGTCTAGTTGTTTTAAACATTGTTTGATTGTTTTCCTCTATCTCACATTATCCATGACCATTCTAAAACCTGACGCGCCTTATTGCACCAACTTTTTCACTACCTCACTGTCAACTGACAAATTGGATGACATGAATCATGGTTCTTGACTCTCAAACATCAAACTTAGGCTCAAGGGTCCAGGTTACCATCATCATGTCATTATTAAAAAACACTGGCTGAAACTGACCTGGTTAAACTAGGGTGGCAACGGGCCAGCGGATTGGGTTGGTATCCGTTTTGCACGTTCCGTCTAACGCGTTAACCTAGTAGACTGAAGGTATGATAGGACGGACAAACTACTTCGATGGTCTCTTTTAAAAAATATATTTATATGTTAAAAATAAAATAACAATTAAATTAATTTTTAATTATATTATTAAAATATATATTATAATTTAAATTATACCTATTAATAAATTAAATTTAAATTACTTTTATAATTAAATATTTTAATATATAATTATATATTAATTTTTTAATTTGGATAATAAATAAATATTAATTAATAAATAAATATTCTAAAAGTATATTTTTTTTAAAAGATTAATGCACTGATCCCTTTAATAAGACGAGTCAGGATCTGAAACCTGTACGGTCAACCCATGTGATTAGGGTGGAAGTATTAAGAAATTAACACTCGTAAAATGTTAATAAATTAGATGAAGCTGTTGAATACTTACCGTGAATAGGAGAAGATTATCAGCGTCAAGCCCCCTTTTGTCGAGGAAGAGTACCCTTCGCATACACCACCCCGCATGCCATAGTATCATTATGGAGAGGGGTTGCTGGAAGGCTAAAAGCAGTGCATTTAAAATCTGTCAAATTTAAAAGGACATAGTAATTTTCTTACACTGCATGCTCTGTGGCACCCAATTCTACTAAAGCTACATAACACTGATAAATAAAAAGGATAATTTAATCTAACACAAAAAATAATGTTAGGTATACCTCGGGCGTAAATATATCGAAGATACTTTCATCCTCAGCTTTAGATTTTGATGTGCGATCAGTCTGCAAAGTAGAGACAAAGAACGAAATAAAAAACATAAAACATACAATGGATGTGAAACCAACAGGGTTCAGCTATTTAGCAAGACATTTTGAGCCAGTTCAGCTGTTACATATTCCAAAATTATAAATATTTTTACAAATGATTATTTTTTTGTAATTTTCTCAATAATAAGCGCACTTAGTCCTAAATCGGTTTTAAAAGAAGTAACAACAGACATCAATTAGTGATTTATGAGGGCTGGATCATGATTATATTTAACTGGAGGGTAGCCATGAGGAAGACCAAAACTATGGGCAAAACCATTGAAAAGGATTTGAAGGACAATGGTTTGTCTATAGACGTGATGCACTCACTATAGAACATTATGGAATCATTTGATCAATGTAGCCAACCCAACCGAGTAGCCGGAGAAAGACTTGTTTTGTTGGTGAATCTGACACTTTTTGGGCAAAATATACTTTGTTTTTAGAATAAACGATCCTCAACAGTTTACAGTGTCAGTAATAGATGTGCCACAGTATGACATTCTGAAAATTGATGATCCTCGTCGATTTAAATGAATGTGTCCATCAATACTTACCATCTCATCCTCGCTCTCATATAGATTACTAAATAGAGATAAGACACCATCAAGGTCTGAAAAAGCTGCATGAAATTGAAAAGACCAACAAATAACTCAGTCATTTACTAAAAGACAACTAACTGTAAGAGTACATAAATGATCAAAATAACACCTCCTCTATTCTCAATCAGAACAATAATGAGAAATATTGAAGCTAACAATTGGCTTTGATCCTCACAGAAACCGAAAGAAAATATTCCACTCCTGCAACAAGGACAATTTCACTGTATAAGAATATTTAGATACATCGAATCGTGAACTTACACTCCTTAATACATTAATGATTTGTCTCAGTAAATGCTTCCTCCTAAAGTCAGAAGTTGTATAGCAAAGCCATGCTGAAGAACAAGTTCTTGATAAAGATATAAAAGCATTACATCATATACAAAATTGAAAATAAATTCAAATTGGAAAAAGAAAATACAATCTTCAATTCTGTGATCTAGCTTTCTCATGCATCTCTATTGCTTCAAAGCTCAAACACAATCATGAACCTTGTAAGAAAAGAAGGAAAAACAGAATAGATTCCAAAAGAGTAAGTAAATAATCATTTATTAACACAAAGCTGATCATCATATATGTTTCAATCAATTAATGCACACCGAAATCCAATTAAAATAAAACATGACATCAACCACCAACACATTTTTCTAGCATTATTTTTATTCTGGCAAAGTCGTTTATCAACGATCAATATCTTGATGCTTCTAACTAATAAGGTTTTTCTCCTGTGATCCCCCTATTTGTCTTCTTAGTGGAACCCATTATGAGAATCAAAAGATGAATAAGAGAGAAGGTAAAAGGAAAGTGTCTGAACATTGTGGAAGTCTACAATGAAATTTAGACATCAAAACAATGACAACCTAAATAACCAACCTTTTGGAACAAGTTTCACCCCTTGAACTGACAATCTTGAAACTAGACATGAAATCTTTCCAATGAGCACCAATATAGGCCCCATCCACACTGGTAGATTCTTGACAGAGAAATTTTTCCAAGAACTTTATAAGGATTTCAAGTTTATCATGGAAATCAGAAATACACCTTTTACTCGAACTTCTGACATTTAACTTCACAAAATGATAAAGAATAAATCCAGCGGCATTGTTAGTCCCACTTCTTCCCCAGACAACCTGAAGAAGGCGGGATATGATGTATACCGAAGTGACAGTGGACAAATCAGATCCCTGGGGCAAAGATTATAGTTTTAATGAGTATCATGTGACAAAAAACTGGAATAAAATGCAAGTATGACGAGCAACTGAATTGCTGGAGTTTCCAAACGAGATTTTTTACATTTTTCATTCCTTTCATTACAGATTTGCGTTCAACCTTTCAATTAGCACACTTTAAGAACCATGTAAAATACAAGCACACGGGAGAAAAAAATTTATTTAAGTCTGATTGATTGACAGTTAAATCTAAAAAATGAATGAACTAATGAAAAATATGAGGTGAGACTTTGTGGTTAATTTAAATGATGACTTTCTTCTGTCTTTCAATTACATGGAAAACAAAATTCCCATTTTATCATACATAGATTAGATATTGGATTTAGCTCCTCTGGAGAAACAAGGGGAAAAAAGGGAGAAAGTAAGGATGTGTTCACCACGATTTTAAGTCTAGTGTCATTATGCTTAACTCATTTCAAATCAAGCATGGATGCATTGATATACTCTTACTTTCTCACGTTATACACCTCTCTAGAGTCAAATCACTAAGCATTCACAAATTGGAGGGCACCACCCTATCATAATTAACATACCTGAACACTAAAGTTTAATATATATGAATTGTACAAACGCAGATAGAAACTAAAACTAAAAGGGATGCTAGTCTGCAGGAAATTTTCTCATCTCACATTTTTATTCTTTGAAGTCATAAATGAACTTAGTAGAGGACACACAAATCCATTCAAAAGATTTTCCTTAAGCAGTCTAGTCAAACGGGGTTCGCCAACACTAAGAATGTCTTTGAAGTAATACAATTCATCCGCAATTTTGTCAGATTCAAGAATAACCCCATGTCTTTGAGTGTCCATTTTCCTGCTTCAGTATAAGGCAGTTAGCTCCATAAGTTAAAACTATTTGAGTGCTTATAAAGTACCCACAACTATTTGATGAAAAGAATATTCGACTTAACATACCCTTTATCATAGAGAAAAGCATCTAAGCGAAAACATAGATCTCTTAATCTACAAACCAGATCAGAGAAATATTCTGAAACTGGAGGAGTTGATATAAATTGTAAGACCATGTCATCCTTCACTGTATAATAAAGATAAAAAAATGACGCAAAGTTCAGAAATATATTACACTAAGGCATGCTTATAACTTGTTAGCTATCAAAGAGAGAAGTATACCATTGTAGATGTTCAGAACTACTGCACGTATAGCTGTCTGAATCATCTTTTCTTCATGCTGAGCAAATCTTAAAGCTTCTGTGTACAAGGGAAAGGAGACTACAGCATCCTGCAGTCAAATGTTGAAACAAAGAGAATTTTAAAATACTTTTGCTGAATTCTTCTAGACTAAAAAAAAAAAACCCTTGTATGTACAGTAGAAATAAACTGAAGATGATTGTTCCCCTTCATATTGAATTCACAGGTGATAAAAGCTTTCCCAAACCACTGATTCATGCTAGAGGCAAGTATGTAACTTAATCCAATATCTTTTCTCAACTAAAATAACATTACATTATCTTTGTTAATGAGGTTATTAATTGACTGAAATAAGTTAAACAACTGAGCATAATAAGTGCAACCATAAAATAATTAAAGCGTTATGTTCTATCAAAATTAGGAAGATAATGATCTTAATTTAACAGAAAACAGCTAACTGTTACACTCGTACGATTTACACTTACCCCCTGCATATTCACAAGAAGGCAAAGTGTGTGCGAATTTACTTTGAAGCTAATTGCCCTGAATGAAGAAACAAACAAAAAAATAATTTATTCTTTAAATTACTGTAACTCAAAAGAAAGGAATATGTGAAACAAATAGTACAAAATTGCTCCCTTCCCAATACTATTTAAAATAAAGAGAGAGGGAAAATGTAGAAAACATAACTGCATGTCTTCAAACAAGCAGTGAGAACTTGTAATAAATGTTGAAGTGATAAAATGAGATACAAAGGAGAGGAGGAAAGGAATATAACCTTAGGAAAGAAACATAGTATGGAGCTACGTCTCCTCCATCAAATTTGAAGGGATGTGAAATAATGCTGTTTATGTAACCATTACTGAAGCAATAGTCTGCACCATGCAAATAAGAAATACCAATTTATACTTAGTACCAGAGTAGCAGTAGTAAGCCAAAAAGCCAAGAACTGAAGACTATAACACTATAGTTTGTAAAATTAATACACCATGCAGATATGATCAAAGTATGCATAAACAAGTAAACTAGGGAGTCAATGAGCTTAATCAGAGGCATCAACAAATATTATGTTAACCATCTTACAAATTGCATGGTCAGTGTTCATGTTTAGAATCATTATGCTCAGAAACTGAAGTAGCGGTGCCTCAATTCTGGAATCTTGACTGATCTTAAGAATGTGAACAAAGTCCGCCAGCACTTGGTGCTCCATAAAACACCTAAATAATGTTTACAATCAGTCACAATAAGAAAATCCTCATCCAGAAAACAAGAACAACATAAGAAAGAAACAAGATATTTACTCAAAAATGTGCGGATCTTCTCTATCGCCATAAATCACAATCTCCACAACAGACTGCAATAAATCCAGCACAACCTCCTGCAATAAAAGGCACGAATAAATACATTGCAGTTTTCTCATGCCAAAGACAACGGTCACACAAATTGACGCTTGTTACCTTGTTATGCTTGTCCACCACTTTGATCTTCTGCAGTTCTTCTATTACATATCTGTATGCACATCAAGGACGTAAGAAATCAGTTTGCAACAGAAATTTTCTAACAATCAAGTTAATGATAAAAATAGCTGCGGAATCTGAAGCCGAACCCTAACGACGCGAATTCGGTTAAACACTTACTGGAAGTGTTGAATGGAGAAGCGATCAACGGATCGCCAGAAATTGCGCAACATGGCAACGGAGATGGAATGAATGAGGATGAAGAGAGTGATGAGGTGCGGGTGTGGAATGTGAAGGTTGAAGAGGCTATGGAAGAAGCGGTGATGGTGTTTCGCATCGTAGAACGAAAACAAATGGTGCAATGCAATTGACAGTGATATAGGCTTGGCTGTTTGGTAGTGTGTCGTAATTCCTCCCAACAACCTTTCAACGTATGAAACTTTCAAGTCAGTCTTTAGCCAAACGAAGCGTTCCGAGATGCGTCTTTTGCAACTCCGAAAACACTGTAAAATTAGTCTCTCGCTTCCCATGCAGTATTGCAAGGAAGATGCTCATTTCTTCCACATCCTGAAAAATAAAATAGAATTTTTACGTCCTTCTTCTTCCATTATCATTTCTATGTCCTCTTTTATGCACGTTTCTTTTCCAAAGTTTAAATGCAATTTCGGATTAGGCAATTTTCGAATTAAATATTTTATTGTTGCTGCTATATAATATAATTTGCATAAATCAAATAGTCAAAGACACGTCAAATTATCAAATTCACTGTGCACCTACTTCTCAAACAGATGAGAAATTTATACTCATATTATATATGTACTCTGTTATTAGTAGTGACAATGTGTCATTATCTGTAACACAATCGTTTAAGTGATCTAAAAACTAGCTTCTACTAACAATTTTTAATTAATGACAAACATATTATCTATATGTTTATATCTTTTTTTTTTCTTGTCTGTTTTTATTAAAGCTTGTCCTTTTTATCCAAAAAATAAAAGAGTACCTTTCTTTTGGACAAATAATAGTCCATGAGAAAGTAACGACTAGTAATGTCAACTGTGTCTTTGTTATACTTAATATCGATTTTTCATCACCATAAAATAAATAAAAAATTAAACTTATTTTTTTATTAAATTTAAAGATAAATTAATTAACTTTTTAAAATATTAGAACGAAAATCAAGTTTTATAAAAAATAAAATATAAACATCAAAAACATATATTACCTAAATAAAATTTATTAGATTAAAATCTATCATATTAAATTATATTGTTTCTTTTAATTAAATATTTATGTGACCATTTTATCTAAAATTTTATTCATTATAGATATGATATAATAGCATTTCTAAAGGAACCTTTTGATAATTATTATTTAAAAATAAAATTAAATATTTTATTATAAATCTCATAAATAAATTATTTAAAATTTAATTAAAATTATTTGTATAAATAATTTTTTCAATTTTAAATAATGTTTTTATTTTTAAATAATTTAAATATAAAACTTATAATAAAATATTTCTTTTTATTTTTAAGTAATTTATATTAGCAACTCCATAACTAAAAAAATAAATCATCTCCGATTAAAAACAATTAATAAGATGTGCTAATCGTGAGCTAAGCAGATTCATAATTTTACGAATAACAATAATTTGATAACCAATTTTTTTTCATATATAATTATTTGAAAATATTATTATTACAAGTGGATTAATAACTAGTTATATATACAAAATAAATTAACAAAATATCATTTCTCTATTTCTATCTACAGCTGAAACAATTACTTTAAGAAAAATAAAAATTATTCATTTAAAATAAAGTTTGTATGTAAAAATGGATTAAAGTTGAAGATTATTAGCCGCAAAAAGTAAACGCACGCCATTCGAGTTCACATGTAAATTTGATATAATTTAAACAAAAGAAAGGGATTGCTTTTTGGGAGGAATATTTGTTTTTTGACATGATTTTAGTATCAGTAATAATAATAATAATAATAATGAGAGTGAAATTCCATCGTTGGTTTCAAGTTTGGTGAAATTCAGATTCTCTGCTTCTCGTGGGGAATATGTATGTATATATAAGAATGGAGCACGATTCTCTCGAGACTCGTACTCTTTCATTATTATTTATACTTAGATATAAATAAACTCCCAAATTGAAAACTGTGAAATTGATCTACCCTTCACAATCTAAAATGCCTACTCCTGCTTCTGCTCTTGTTTTCTCTGTACTCTGTTTCCTCTCTATCATCATCATCATCACTGCATCATCTACACCCAACACCATCAACCTCCCTCTCTCGCCCTTATTCACCACACACCCTTCTTCACACCCATTCCAAACCCTCAAACTCGCCGTTTCAACCTCCATCAAAAGAGCCCACCACCTCAAAAATCACCAACCCAACCAACTCAAAACCCAGATTCACCCCGAAAGCTACGGAGGATACTCCATCGACCTCAATTTCGGAACCCCACCAGAAACCTTCTCCTTTGTTCTCGACACCGGAAGCACCCTCGTCTGGCTCCCATGCTCTTCCCACTACCGATGCTCAAATTGCAACTCCTTCCCCAATACACCCAAATCTTTCATCCCCAAAAACTCTTCTTCCTCTAAGTTTGTGGCCTGCACAAACCCCAAATGCGCGTGGGTCTTCGGCGCCAACGTCGAATCGCATTGTTGCAAACAAAACAGCGCCACCGCCAACTGTTCACAAACATGCCCTGCTTACTCCATCCAATACGGGATGGGCTCAACCGCGGGCTTTCTCCTCTTGGAAAATCTCAACTTTCCCGGGAAAATCCTCCCCGATTTTCTCGTCGGCTGCTCCATCGTCTCTGTCTACCAGCCCGCGGGAATCGCCGGCTTCGGCCGCGGCCCAGACTCCCTTCCGTCGCAGATGAACCTTACTGGATTCTCATACTGCTTACTCTCGCACCAATTCGACGACTCGTCGGAAACCAGCGACCTCGTCTTGCACACTTCCTCCCCCGGCAACGAAAATACCAGCGGCGTCAGCTACACGCCTTTTCAGAAAAACCCTTCCACTAAAAACCCCGCGTTCGGTTCGTACTATTACATCAGTCTCATGAGAATCATCGTTGGGGAGAAGCGCGTGCAGGTTCCGACAAGATTTCTGGAGCCTGACGTTGACGGTAAGGGTGGGTCTATCGTGGACTCGGGGTCCACCTTCACCTTCATGGAGAGGCCAATTTTTTATTTGGTGGCACAGGAGTTCTCGAAGCAGGTGAACTACACGCGCGCCAGGGAGGTTGAGCAAGAATCCGGGTTGAGTCCGTGTTTTGTGGTGTCTGGAACGGCGTCGTTTCCGGAGCTTCGGTTTGAGTTCCTGGGCGGCGCGAAGATGAGGCTACCGCAGACGAATTATTTCTCGTTAGTCGGAAAGCCCGACGTGGCATGTTTGACTATTGTGACCGATGACGTGGCGGGTCCCGGCGTGGCAAGTGGGCCCGCTGTGATATTGGGGAACTATCAGCAGCAGAATTTGTACGTTGAGTATGACTTGCGAAACGAGAGGTTCGGGTTTCGGAGTCAGAACTGCAAAACGCGCGTTTAAAGTTCAGTGGTAGAACTGTAGTAGCTGGGTGCTAATTTTCTTTTATTTTTCTAAATATATTGTTTTTAAATTTCTCAAGATTAATAAGCTAATCTACTTTAACTACTGGTAGAAAATGTCAAGGCTTTTTATTTTTAAGCCTGTCACGTTTTTGCAACTGTTGTATCAAACGTGATCAATTATGATATGTGTGATTTTCTTTAACGTGCACATCAAGTTGCAATTGATTTTCTTTTCCAAAGTCTCTTTTAGCTGTAACTCATGTTAATGTTTTTTTATATTACTCACAACGAAGTTGGAGTGTTCATCAGAAAGGATATTTTGGAATCATTGTTATTTTCATATATTGTGATTTCTTATATTTATTTAGTATATTTCTTTTTTATTTAAATACATTTAGTTATTCTAATATAATTTAAATAATATTTAGAATTAAAGTTATTAAAATTACAATCACTAGCAATGAAGTTTTTGGTCATAATAATCATAATTCTCAATAATTATTGTTGGTTAGGTCGTTAATTAATGTCACAACTTGATAGTGTAATGAAGGGATTTTTTTTTTGGCCATTAATGTGTAGTTATAACACACTTATTTTCTATAGATATGATTTTACCATCAAGAATTCATGAAAAAATCATTAATGCTGATAGTGATTGTTATTAATTATGGCTTTTGACTGCATGAAATTTCTTGCAGTATAAGGATGCTCATTGCTAGACTATTGAAAATGGATACTTTAATTCGAAATTTTAATGAAACCATAATGTGTAAGTTGACAATAAAAAATAAAGAGATTAAGGGTTCATTGGGGAATAAGAAGTGGAAAAAAAAAGACAAAATAAAATGAAAATTTTATTTATTTATTTATTTGAAAGAAAATTGGCATAAAAAATGTGTATTTATAATAATAATAATAATAAATAAATAAATAAAAACATATACTTATATAATTATAAAATTTATTTATATAATTAATAATTACTTTTTATGAAAATTATAACTTTTTAAATTAATACTTTAAAATCACAATTTTTTTAATTGTATATATTTTGATATATGATTATAAAATTATATTTTAAATATTTAAGTTTAAATTAATAAAATTATATCATATTTAAATAAAATATGAAATTATTTTTCACATTTTGTCGTGTTCTTTTTATAAATAAAAATTATAAATGTAAAAAATAATAATTCTTTATTAGTTAAAACTTAAAAGATAATTTTATAAAATAATACTTTTTAGTTTTTGTTTCTTTTTTTCCCTCATCTCTGATGAAATCTTATTGTTACAAAATCGTTCTTTCAATAAATTTTAAACTTGAAATAATTTTTTTGAAAACTAAGTTTGAAACATGGACTACAGTAGTCACTCTTTCAAGACATTTATAAATTTGTTTAGTGTTGACATTATCAAAATAGTTATTATTTGAAAAAGTTATATAAATAGGGATAGTTGCGAATTCATTTTAAAGAAGTAATGATGCCAAACATGACTTCACTTTATATTTATAAATTATTGAAATTCTGGTTTAAATATGTTTAACAACAATAATTATTATTGTTATAATAGTAGCATCAATAATTTTATTATTGTCTTAAAATAATAAAAATTTAATGATTATTCAATTTATTTAAAAAATAAAAAAGAAAATTGTGTTTGCAATCAGGTCTCTCTATATTTGTCCATTTTCCATAATTGTTTTACGTTCTAGTTATTGTAGTATTTTCAGAAAGACATTAAAGAGATTTGATAAAAAGAAATGAATCTGTTCACATGTGATTTGAATTTATGCCTAGAGTGCTTTATTAACTTTGTTTGGAAAATATATTCCTTAATCACTTATTTCGTTCTTCCTTTCTCGTGCGAGTTAAAGAAAAAAAAAAAAAAAAACTTATTTTCGAAGGAATCGATTCCTATTTAATGTTGTTTGGGAGGAAAGTTTTCTTTTCAAGGATTGGGAGGTAAAGTGTTGGATTTTCTTTATTCCTTGTTCACTTTTGCATTATTTTCCTTTTTTTTTTTTCTATGTCCTCTCTCTTCCACTCAAAGAACCACCCCCACTTATTTGTTTACCCAAAAGCCATGTCGTTTTGTGCCTATCCATCGTCACCAACATCACTAAAACACTTAGTAGTATTATTGCTTATGTTGTTGGAAGTGCTTGCTACCATATTTACATTTCTTTATATTTTTATAGATTCATTTTTAAACAGTAAAAATAAAACAAATTTAAATTATTAAACTCGTTTATTAGTCATATATGTGAATGTTTAGATGTAAAGATAACATTTTTTATAATTGTTTTATTAAAAAAAATGTTATCAATGAAATAAACTCCTAAAAACACACTTAGATATTTCTAATACAATATTGTAACTAAAATAGAATTGCCAATGGAAATGGAGGACCAATGAATAAGGCCCAGTAATTTAAAATATGGGCTTCTGTTTCTTCCTTCAAGGGATAAGGCCCAGCCGCAATTTGGAAACCAGTAAACCACGACACAGAATGTTCAAGATATAGTAAAGAAAGAATGCAATAGTTCTTTGACAGAATTATTGAACATCCGGTTCTAAGCGAAAAATTAAACATTCTGAAGTTATATAAATGTTTGAAAGATAATTTTTAATAATAATGAATTTAATTTAACGTTTAAGGATAATTAAAATTTTATGAAACAACAAGTGCAAGATAAAAACTATTTCAAAAAAACTTGTGGTTTAGTAGTTAATTAAAAAAAAAATGTAGCAGATTGTACATGTGATGTTCCATAACTGATAACTGATCATTATTTATTTTTTATAGATCTGGTAACTGATTTATATCTATAAATCAGAAGAATCGTCTGATATCGATGAGGATAACGTTGAAGAAGATCCTTGACGGTGGTACACAGAATATAATATGTTCTTCACCCGGGCCATTCAAAACTCAATTCGAACATGGCAAAGGAAAAGTGCGTCAACAAAATCTAAGTTCATCGTGGGAGATTCATTGAACATGTCTACGTGTGTTGTTGGATATGATGCTTACTACAGATTGTCGTGTAATTTTCCCTTCATTGTCTTTTGCATTCTATCTTCAAACCCTACATTGCTTTCACTTTCTGTATATGGCAGACAACAATTGATACGTTATTTTCAATCTTAAAAATAATTCTTTAAATTTTTTTCGGATTTAAGGTTTTCCTATAATAAAAAAAATTATATATTCATTCATAAAATGGAAAACTTGGACCAAGGATGTGGTAAAGTCAAGTGAAGGATACTGTGTTGAAGTAAGAAGATTACGAGATTACGATGAAACATGATTAAGATCTTCAAAATCGTATGCTACATATATATTATACAATGCTTGCAAAATTTCTGTCTGCAAAACTAGAATAAACAATTTATAATGAATATAGGTGGTAAAACAAGTCAATATATCTTGATCCACCACCAAATCCTCTTAAACATGGATGAGACAAATTCACATGATGATGAAATGAGTTGAAAAATATATTTCACTCTGTTTAAAAACAGGTTGACTCTTCAAAACTTGCTTAAAATGTTTAAATAAAAGAAAAACTATCAATTTAAAAAGTTTTTTTTTTTTGCAGATTAGTCCTTTACGCCAAAAATGCTTGAGTGCGAATCGTAATTGAAGAAAATAATCGATTCCGAACGAGAATTGTGGAAGAGAGGATTTGGGCGTCGACAGTGTGCAATCTGCAAATTATTTATAAAATAATTTGTCGGCAAAATTTACTTTTAGTATTCTGAGAAATTAATATTAAAATAAAACAAACTCCATGTTGTAAAATTAATATCCAACCAACTATATATACTTCAAGATTAACTTTAATAATTTCAATATTAAGTAAATTGATAGTATTGTTTTATTTTTATTTTTTTATTTTTCTTATTATCAGTTCAGAAAATATCTCACTCACCTGAAAGATGAAGTGAAAATGCAGAGTTGATATAAATCAAGTAATATAATTGTTTCTTCTCAAACGAATAAGTGGAGTTCAAAATTGACATATGAAAGGAAAGGGACACGAAAAGTGACAAGTGATTGAATTGTACTATTGTTGAACTATTACACACTAAATTTGAAAAAACACTAGAAATGAAGTGTGATGATGACTATATTGTAATTATATAAAATTGGATATTAATATGAACAAATAAATAATGACTAATGCATCATCATGGACCACTTAACAATTGGTTCATAGTAAAAGATAAACTTTGAATAATGTAGTTGGGGGACAAATTTTTCACAAAAAATTAATTAGCACGAATGTTATAAAGGGCATTGCATGTGCATGGGGAGCAAAGCGATATATGTTCATTTCATCATAACATGTCAACTTGACACAATCTCATGTGCACAAGCCCATGTGTAGTACTCACTTGTCTATAACCTCAAACAAGAAGTTACGTGGGACTTTAACACCTTTTTGCAATTCGTGATGAATATTTTATTGAATTATTTTAATAAAGATCTTGTTAATTTGATGAAGTAAAAGATGAAGTTAAATACTACTTTGTGGCAATCAAAGGTCATTTAAATAAAAGGGTAGTGTGATTAGTGAGTCTGCACTTCTGCTAGGTATAATCATTTTTATCTCTCTGTTGCATTGAGGCTTATTCATTTAAAAGATTTTGCAAATGCCTCTAAAAAATGTTTAAACGGTTAAAAACAAAACATTTTGTTAAAAGATTTTTAATTAACTATTTTAACTAATAGTATATAAGTTTTATCAACTAAAATGTTCTTAATACTTTTGTAATGTGTTTTTAACTGATATATTTTAAAAATAATCGATTGTTTTCATTAAAAGAATTTTTTAAAACCTTCTGTCAGTATTTTAACTGATATAGAAATGATATAATCGATTAAAATGACTTAGAATATTTAAAAAAATGTTCTGGCAGAATTTTAATCGATATAAACTCAAAATAATCGATTGAAATAACTTGAAGTGTTTTAAAAGTTGTTCTGTCAGTATTTTAATCGATACAAATGCGAAATAATCGATTAAAACAACTAAGAGCTTTTTTCATAATGTTTTAATCGATTAAAACAAGTTTTCTATCAGTTAAAATAACTTAGAAAGTTTTATGAAATCTTTTGGCAGAATTAAAATCGATTAAAATGCGTTTCAATCGATTAAAATAATTAAGTGAACTTTTTTCAAAGTGTTTTAATCGATTAAAACAGATTGTTATCAGTTAAAATCACTTAGAAAAGTTTATAAGAATGCTTTGCAGTATTTTAATCGATTGAAAGACGAAACAATCGATTAAAACAATTTGGAAGATTTTTTACAAAGAGTTTTAATTGATATAAACGGTGTCGTATCAGTTAAAACAAATTTGGAAAATAATCAGGAACATTTTAACAGATTAAAACAAGACTTTTAACATATTAAAAGATTATTTTAACATATTAAATAAATCAGCAGTTTGAAAAATCTTCTATATAAACATAATTGCTTGAACACTTTAAAACATATCTTTTGGCAATCAATCAAGCAATCATAAGTGTTACTTTCAAGAGAGAATCGCGCTAGTTTTGTGAAGTTCATAGAAGTTATTTCTTGAGGCAAAATTTGCATTCTTTTGAAAATAAACTCATTCTGCAGAACTGCATAAACCTGGTTTGGGTGTTCTAATTTCTTCTCTTTGTTTCTTTACTTTATTTACTGTATCGTGGGTGTCTAGAATTGTGGACACTAGTTTCTGTAGCTGGAATTTGGCCGCAGGATTGATCAAAAACTGGAATTTGGTTCTTGGTGAAGGGTTAGGTGCAAGGACTGAAATTTTGGTTCTTGTGGTAGATTGAGTGTGAGATTAAAGTTATAATCTGTAAAACGTTCAATCTAGTGGAACCCAGCTGGAATTTGTCTGAAACTGGATGTAGCCCCGAGATTAGGTGAACCAAGTATAAATCTTAGTTGTATCTTTCTAAACATTTCTCTCTTTTAATTCATCACATCGCTTTTATTTTGATTGCTTGGTGTGTGTGATTCAAGAATTGGTCAAAATTTTTAATCTTTGAAATAGATAATCATGAAATTACGAAAATCTTTCAAAGATCAATTCACCCCTCTTGATCTCAGACCTATATTTCTATCATATTATGGAAATAATAATCTCAAATATTTTAAAAATTTAAAGAAAACATTTAAATATAATAATATTTCTCTACCTATTGTTAGAGTTATGAAGTTTAACTTCATTGTCGACCTACTAACTATTGGTTTTACTAATTGATCTTTAAGTAATTACACGATTGTCAAGTACAAGCATCAAATGACGTAAATTCTCGAATATTTAGGTATGCTGAGATTGATCTTTTAGATTTCTTCAACTGTGTTTTGGTAGAATGCGTAACAAGATGAGTACTCTCTTTGTTTAAAATCACATAATAACCAAACCTTCTATGAAATATTTGAACATATTTTTCTTGAAATAGTAATATACTATCACACTTTCTTATCACTAATATATAACATACTACAAATTAAAAGAAAAATTACTTAATTTTTTAGGACATAAAAAAATAAATATTTTTTGTTTTAGTTTCAGATCTTCCGTTTTTTTTTTATATATATATTTTGAAATTTCAGAAAATAAATACATTAAATGACAACAATTTTTTTTTTCACTTTGACTAAAATAGATTCCTCGTCCTTGAGACACAACCACACAAGCCCTAATAATGCAGAATAAAAGTTTCTATGACATGGATTTCTGCCTACACCGTAAATAATTAATTTCGTTTATTTAATTTTAAATAATGTTATATAATATATCTTTATCTATCTATATACATATATTAAAACTAGTAATGATCTGAGTGAATCATTAGTTTAAGTTTTAAAATGAGAGAAAATAAAAAGAATGTAAAAGTTGAGTTGAGGTTGAGGAGTTGCAGGTCTGAATTGTGGCGAATGTCCAATCAAACTTGATAACATTGCATTACATCTCTTCATCTTCCTTCTTTTGATCGACACGACTACTGATAATAAATGTAATTTTATTGACACAGACGTCTTCTGCACTTCACCTCCATGTTCATTACTCTACTCTAAACATTCGTCACAAAGGATAAAGAGGAAAAGGGAAAACAAAATTTAAAAGTCGCAAAGTAAAAAATAAAAATAAAATCTGAAATAATCAAATTTTCACATAGGATTGAATAACATTGACACTGTCGGTATATATGTTATTATTCAAACTAAATGAGTTCTCTTCCTTATTCTTATGAACATATATATATATATATATATATATATATATATATATATATATATATATATATATATGCATATGCTTGCATTTGATACAAAAACATAAAGCTTTGCAACATATTTGACAAGTCATCTTATCAACCATGAAAGTACCCATGAATTATAAAAACAAGACACCATGCTTTGAGGACTAGCAGAAGTTAATGATACTTTCTGCATTAAACTTTCATGTTATCTGTGTTTTTCAGGTAAAAGGACTAGACTTAATCTTAGAAGCAAGAGAAAGACTAATATAAAACTTATGTTATCTTATCTTTCATATATGTTTTTCACATTTTCTCTTTCAATTATTTTTTTCAATGTTTTGTCTTAAAAAGATATAATTTCGAAGATCGCATACACATTTCAGCATAACCTTACTGTCTACATATGTTTTCTCTTTACGTTTACAAAATATTTGAAAATGAAATTATTAAATAAGAAAATATTTTTTATTAAAAGACAAACTTAATAATACATTTAATTTCCATGTGTTTAGCTTGTGAATAATTTTCATCTTTTTAATTCAATTGCTTAAAGTTAATCATCGTTCTTTATTTTAAAATTTGTCTTCTCATAATTTCTCATTTCATATAATAATTAACAATACGTAACAATAATATATAGTATATAAATATGAAGTAAAAAGTGATATATAGATGAATACTTATGCTTTCCCTGTCTCCACGACTCCGAAGTCCTTAAAGCAACACGACTTTTGCATTTTGGAAACAAGTGTGTTTGTCTTGATTGAAAAAAAACAGGTTGGTCCACAAATAACCAAATCAAAACACAATGTTGAGTAATACGAATACAGGAATGGTACAGAGGTTTTTGCCTGTACCTTTCTTTATCTCCTCTACCATATTCACGATTGTTAAATCCCCACCATATAATGCATGTGAAATGAGAATAACGACCAACCTTGTTCATATACTAAAATCTTATTATTTCATATACTTTTTCAACGAAATTATGAATTTTTAAAGTTTAAGAAAATAATTCCATTGCTGATAAGAAATATATCAATGTACTGTTATTTTTTATTGCTAAATATATTTGAGTAATGTAACTGAATTTTTACACTAATGGTATGTTATTAATAAAAAATAAATGTAATGCTTAACATAAATTTCTTCATCACATCTTCTTTTATTATTATTGCTATAAATAAGATGAGAAAAATGAAGGTGAAAGAAGATGATGAGAAGTGGAAAGAGGATAATAAGATGAGAATGGAAGAACAGAAAGAGCGAAAGAGTCGGTGGCGTTGCCGGCGCGTCATCGCACGTGCGCATTATAACCGTAGCTTCCAACATCAACGTCTGATAGGTCCCACGATGTTCCTTCCGAGTTCTGAGTTTGAAGACACTTTCCATCCATCAACGGCCACCAATCATTCTTCTTTCTTCTCAACACATCCCCTTCTTTTGTCATCAGCGTAGCCTACACCCTCATCGTGTCGGCAAACACATCATAACCAAACAATTTTTTCATTTTATTTTCTTTCTATTTAAAATCAACATCTTCTATAACTATAACTATAATTATTCTTTTATATATATTTCTTTGTAATTTAACTTTAATGTTTTGCTTTTTCTCATTCATGTTTTAGCTTATTTTTACATTTTTTTTATAATTTTATCTTAATATATATTTTGGTAATAATTTAATAATTGAATTTATTTAGTTGGATTAACTATTTTTTGTTATCATAAAAAACATGGACATATAAATACAATAATACTTGTGTATTCGACAATTTAACGTATATTAATTGTTCTTATACTGTATAAATATAAAATATATAATCAGTATCTTAATTATGAAGTTAAACATGCAATTGTACTAAATGATCGTAAGAAGTTCTAATTATAGAATTCTAGTATGCATAAATATTTTTTATTCATTATTCAAAAATCAATTATCTGCTAATATTGTGATTCTTATTAATCCAGTAAATTTTGAGAATCAAAATCAAATCCAAATTTCCATCGTATATAAATTATTTTCACATGTCATGAATATAAAGTGTTTAAGACACATGTAATTGTTAAAGTCTATAGTTTTATAAATACACGTCTATTTTTAATAAACACCTATTAGATATTTCCCTTCTTTTATATCTTCTACAAATTTATAAATTTTAAAAACTTTTTAATATTTATTTTTAATAAGCACTTATTATATATATATATATATATATATATATATATATATATATATTACTTTTTTTTCTCTGTTTATCATATTATATATCTTTTATAAGTTATTTTTCTTCTTATTTTTTTTATCATTTTACGATATAAATCAGCATTTTGGGTATATTTTATCTTCAATTAAACATTTTGCTTAAAAATAGTATAACTAAATTTCCGTTTTCAAAAAGTGAGACAGTTGGTGTTTTGCCTCAATAAAATTAATATCTTCTAACACTTCCTCAGTTTCAAAATAATAATATTTTTTAAAGTAACAATTAAAAATAATAGTTAATATAAATTAATAACAAGTATTTATAAGTTTTCAATTATATCTTCGTCTCTCTTTAACATCAGTGATTTTTGTTAATTAGTCGTAATTACATGTATGATATTGTTGGAAAAAACTATTTAAAAAACTTGAAGGATTATTTATTTGTAATTTAAATAAAAGTTTTAATAAATATTATTTTTTTTAATAGAGATAACACTATCATAAAAATGTTTTATGAAGAATTGTCTTCATAAATGATAGGGATAGACTTGTGAGTTATTTTATTTTATTTTATTTTTACCTACAAATATAATAAATAATTAATTTAATATGTGTCACTTCTAAATTAGAAAAACTAACATAAAATAAAATGAAATAAAAGAAAGAGAGTATAAGATTTAACCGAATAAAATAATGTTAATTCATATGTTGAATTTTGTTTAGAATGTTTTAATGGCTTCTTTCGTTTTTTAATTTATTAAGTTTTTAAAATTTATATTATTATTATTATTTAAATTCTATTTATCTATTTTGTATATGAACAAATATATTACTTTTGTTAAAGGGAGAGAAAAACTTAAATGTTAAATATTTTTCATGTTATGTATTCACATAATTATTCTTATAGATGAAAAAAATACATTTATTTATTTTAAAAATTTAATATTATTTATCAGTTTTATATAATTTAAGAGTTGGGAATATATATATATATATATATATATATATTTAATTTATCAAAATATTTTTTAAAAATAAATTAAAATTTAAACATAAACAGTATAATTTTATAATTAAAATAATAATATAATAAAAAACTAATAAATTATATAAGCAAATGTGATTGAATGTTGTAATATGGACGCAACGCAAGTAAGGAACGTGAACGCAAAAGTAATAAAACATTTCATTAATGACTAAAATTCCACTTTTGTTTGGAAAATGTAAACAGAGTTTTAACCCTGTTCGGTTCTCTTTGCTACTGCACTTCTTTTCTTAATAATCATTTCAACTGACTTCTGTACTCTCACTTCAGTTACAGAAGTGCATGATAAAGGTAGTTTTTTTTTTTTTTTTTCAAGGGTATAGTGAAAGATTGTGAATTTGATATTTTAATTATATATGATTAACTCAAATATTAGTTTTGTAGTACTAATTTAGATATTTAATATATTTTGGGACTTTTTTTGTTATATATGTAAAAGAAAAAAGTGTTGGATATAGAGAACGTTAACGGGGATCCAATCCACTTGTGAAAGAAAATGAAAATGAGAAAACGTGTTTCCCGAGAGGAGATGGAATGAATGAAGAAAGAAGCATAAATCAAGGAAAAGTGTAATGATTACCCGCCAAACCGATTGATCGAAGTTGCATTCTGCGTTCTCTGCATTCTACCTGCAAAGAGTATTCACCACTTCCAATGCCTTCTTCTCCCTCCACTCCCATCACTCTTTTTACAAAACCCTAATTTTACCATTAATCAATCTTACCTCCTTATTTTTAACTCATCATTACTTTTATCTTAACTATGATTCTCTATAACTCTATCATGCATTATGTATCATTATATACATTTCTCAATGGATTCTGAATAACTTGTTGACAATTAGTATTTTTTACATATAAATTCATTACAAATAGTTGAAGAACATGGTTTTCCAAGAATCTCAGGCAACAATAATTACATGCATTAAGAATAAAAAGAATTGTCTAATCACATAGAAAAGTCAAATTTGTAGTGGTAATTCCCCCCACTTAGGATTGTTGCTTGGAGTTGTGACTTCACTGTACTTGTGAATATGAATTTGACATTAACATTAACATTTAAAATTTATGATTTTAAATAATATTAATGTATTCAATGAATCTACTTATTTAATTAAATTAAATGGCACTTTTCATAACAGCCGACATCATATTTATCCAAATTCATATAAAGACCACCCAAAAAGCACACAGGATAAAAGAAATGTGTCTCCTTTAGAAAAAAAAAGTATAACATATTGTCTGATGTTTATTTTTTAAAACCTTGTATTGTAAGAAAAATAACTACATATAATAATCTTGAAAATTCTCAATTTAATAAATAAAGTAAATAATAGTTAAAATAATCATAAAATATAAATAAGCTAGTGCTATAATATAACCATGTAAAATTTATTGTAGGGTCATTGTGAGTAACTTTAGAAAGTTGATTCAATATAAAAAAATAAATGTGAAAATTGTTTGTAATAATAAATAAATAAATAAATAAACATTTATATTTAGTTCCATTGTTAACCATTTTAGTGAGTTGATTCCATAATTATTTTTTACATGCTTGATATAGGATAGCAGGTTTGTCTAATTTATCTTAGATTGAATAATTTCATCGTTTAAAATCTAGGAGATCTTTAATTTAGTTTTAAAATTGAAATTAATTAAAATGTAATTATTGGAAATAATTTGTACTTCTTATTACATCTATATTTTATTTGGTATAAATCCTTATAAATTAGTATTAAAATATAATTTAATATTTATATATTATTATATAATACAATTTAGTTCATATATATATAATGATTTTAAATTTATATTTTAATAAAAATATATAAATTATATTTTTTTTAATCCTGTCTATTTTTATTTAATAAGAAAATAACCCCTTAATAGCTCACCTGATTAATATTATAATAATAAATTTTTAATTTGTACCATATATTATTAAATAAGAATTAAAAGATAGATATTTAAAAGCAATTGACTTGTACTTATATATTCAATAATAATAAAAAAAATAGAAACATAGAGAAAAAGGATAATATACACAATAGACATCATCTTTGGTTTCCCTTTTTCTTGTTGGGTCAATGACTCAACGGGAACAACAAAACAAAGCGAACTCTTTAAATTGAAAAGACCAAAAGAGGAAACCATTTTTCTATTTTAATAATTCCAATTGACGAAAGGTTTGAGTTGTGTGAACTTGAAGGGCCACCACTTCTATCTATATATATATATAACAGACACCCCACTTCTGCATTAACAAACACTCACTCTCTTGTGATCTCTCGTTCCCAATCCCTTTCTTCTCTTTCACAACTCCACATCTCTCACAACACAAATGGAAGAGACAAAATCCAAGTTCAAGAGGATTTGTGTGTACTGTGGAAGCAGTCCCGGTAACAAAGCTAGTTATCGAGAAGCTGCAGTGGAACTAGGCGAGGAGATGGTAATTTTATTTCAACACTTTTAGTTTAAACTTGTACTTCTAGCTTTAAATGTATATCAATATCACTTTCATCATGTTCAGTTCTTCTTCTTTAAAACATGTCCTTTTCAGATGAAAAAGACATCCTCTTGTTTTTATCAAATTCTGCATTCTTTCTTTCCTTCATGGCCACATAGTCTGAAGCTCCTTTGAGTAAAAAAAAAGAGAGTAAGAAATGTTAGTTTAAACTTAAAAACAGGCTTAAACTGCATCCATATGATTTTGTGTACCCTAGCATTATTATTATTTTTGTCCTATTTGCTATGCTTTCACTAAATTATGTTCAATGAACCTGCTTCGTTTGAGGGTATTTGAAGCCTCTTTTTCTTCAAGGTCTGCCGCAGTTTCTCCTCCTTGTAAATTTATTTTATTCATAGTTTTCTCCTCTTTCTGAACTCTGATAGTGTTTCCTTTTTTTTTTTGTTTCATTTTCTGAATTTATTGGTAATAAATATAATCTTCGCAGTCTCGACACTAGGTATGATAGTTGAGGAATGGTAATGGTTTAGGTTAAGAGTTTGTCATGAAAGAGAGAGATTGCAAGCTGGAACCTGCTGTCAGTTGAGCAGCCTTCTTGCATGATCTATGTTTTGCCTGTAACATGTTTTTGTTTTTGTTTTTCTTCTTCTATTTCTTTTTCTTTTGTGTCAATAATTTTCCAACTGAAAAGAAAAAAAAATAAAGAAAGAAATGTTCTGTGCGCGTTTCAAGGAGGACGAACGTGCAATTTTGGTATCATTACACTATGGAGCGTGCTCTTAGCCTTTGGCATTCCCCACAAGCTTCATCACCTCCATGATTTTTCCCTGTGGTCGAGGGGTAATTTATTTGCACCCTAAAATGATTTTTCCCTGTGACCAAACTTTACCATTGACCACTATTGAATATACTATAGTAAAATATTAGTATTTTATTTTAGCTTCTGTCCAATTATTTTGCTTCTTTCTTCCATGATGGTGATTAATTTAGTACACGTGTCTAACTGGTTTGGTTTTCAATGTATTTCTTGTAGGTTGAGAGAAGGATTGATTTGGTCTATGGGGGTGGTAGTGTGGGGCTGATGGGTCTAGTTTCTCAGGCAGTTCATGATGGTGGGCGCCATGTTCTGGGGTTTGTTTTCTCTCTCTGATAATTTCATTCTATGTCTATGTTTTATGGCATATAGACCAACTTAATCATTTTGTTGATTAATACAACAAAGTGGGTTATGATGTTTTATCCTTCTGTTTTGCCTACTGACCCATGCGTGTATCCCTGTTTCCTAAGAAATGAATCATGTAAGGGACATCATTAGACAAAAAACTGCCAACATTGGACATTAATTTTCGCCCCTTTGGTTAAAGCATCTAAATGTAGGATAAAAGGGAGCATTTTGGGTATAAATAAAATATAATTTCACTATGTTGTGGTGATTAATGTATCTTTATGTTCCATTGGGGTGTTCAAACAGGGGGAAAAGGTGTCAACCTTTACCTATGGTTAGGAGCCTTTTTAGCAGCTTTGCTCTGTTGGTTAAAAGTTGAATACCTTTTAGCCCTTTTACAAAAGGGACGGTAGAAAGATCTTGCTCTGTAATTGGCGCCACACCATTGGCTTCACTTTTATTGAACTTTGTATGCACTTTGAAAACATGCTTAAAATGAAAAAGGGGAATTCAAATTGGTCTTTGGTTTCTTTTGTTATCAGCTTATTGTGATAATCATTTTCCCTCTCATAAAATATTTCCACTCGTATCTTTTGACTGATGATGTGCATCATTGACTTGCTTTTGCAGTGTTATCCCAAGAAGTCTCATGCCAAGAGAGGTAACCGCTCTTGTCTCTTGCCACTATACTGTCTTTTATGAAATAATAACATAGCATAGGTTTAAAAAGGAAAATTAGTGTGTAACTCGATTTTGTGTTGTTATCTAATTATATATTATGTTACCATAATTTAAGGTGTTTGTTGGGAATGCAGATAACTGGTGAACCTATTGGTGAAGTGAGAGCAGTATCTGATATGCATCAAAGGAAAGCTGAGATGGCTCGTCAAGCTGATGCATTCATTGCCCTTCCTGGTATGGATTATAACTGATAACTTTAACCACATAAACAGTCACAGTGAGGACTTTTGGTGTTTGATTAGTAGCAAGGACATTAACACATGTTGCTGGTACTCATGTCTTGTTGTTTTCAAACTCCAGGGGGATATGGAACCCTTGAAGAATTGCTTGAAATCATTACATGGGCTCAGCTTGGAATCCACAGCAAACCGGTACGAACTATTCCCCCAGTGTTAACATGTGCTTAGACAAATTATATGACGTAGTTGTTCTTGTTATTTAAGAATTTCGGTCACTAAAATCTTTGTTAGCATCTATTGTCATAATGTTAAAGCTAAATAATTATACAATATGTTAAATAAGATTAGACGTTTTTATTTCGGTCAAATAAATAAACTTCGAATTACCAAACACGAATAAAGAGCCTAAAGACACCAGAAAGGTGGGAATGGTATATAGTATTGTAATGAAACCTATAGCTTATAAAAATAACGAAAAAAGTGTCACTTGCCTTTTGTGATATCTCTGGAATCGAATTTCTGTCATGTGAATATAAAAATGAAGAAGTCAAATCTCATATGATTTGTCTTAATCAACCTTGCTTCCACATGACGCATGATATTACGCATTCATTCACTATCGCCATATTTTAATTGCGTTCTAAGTTGTATGGATTAGATACGCGTTTTGTTCTTAGTTAAATACCCTGCTTAAGAGTATATACTACCAAGTGAACAATTTTTTTTCCCCTCTTGGGACACAACACAAGGAAAAGCTTAGCAATGGAACCAATACATGTGGGGTATATAATTCATCATTCACATGAGAAGATATGTGAGATTTTGTCTAGTTAATCGTTGTCACGTTACATTATTTGATGGTTCTCCGTTTGAACGGGAGAAAGATATGGCATGATCGAAAAACATAGAAAATGATTGAGAGAAAGGATCCATATATTAAAGTTAATGGTCAAAGGAAAAATTTATTATTATTTGAACAAATTTTTGTGGTGCAGGTGGGCCTCTTGAACGTGGATGGATTTTACAATTCGTTGTTGTCTTTCATTGACAAGGCCGTTGATGAAGGCTTTATTTCTCCAAAAGCACGTCGAATAATCGTGTCCGCACCCACAGCCAAGGAATTGGTTAGGGAGCTAGAGGTGTGTGTGTGTGTGTGTCAGCAATATTTTTTAACCTCACTTTATTATTATCATATGAGATGATGATAGTGAACAAGAACAAAGTTTTGTGGTTCATAATTCAGATCAAATCATAGGTTATTTAAGAATTAAGATGGTGGCTATCATTATTAGTTAATAAGTAAGAGTGGGTTATTCAAGTTGATAAATCAAGTGGGCCATATAATCATTTAATGTTTTGTGAAGCAGGAACATGTACCTGAACGAGACGAAGTTGTATCCAAGTTGGTGTGGGAAGACAGACTGAGTTACGTGCCTGAATCAGAAGTTGCCATGTGACCACCATCTATGTCGTAGTGTATGATTGATGAACACCATAGTTTTGGGGTCTTCTCTATCATTTTGTTGTTTTTAATGTATTTTGGTACATAATAGTCAATATATATGGGCATAGGAACCGTAGGATCATACATCATCATCCTTTTGTTTTGTCTTTTTCCCCCCACTTATGTTGATGCCCCTAATATACAGAAAACGAGTGTAGTTCTAAAATATTGAAAAAACATCAATGGAAGTTCATCTTATCGATCATTGCATTTTTCTCATTTTTTTTCTTTTATCTTGAACTCTAACCATCGTTAGTGTCTTGCTGAAGCAACTTTACGTATGAGTTTGAGTTCAGCTTTTGAAAGAATTCTTGAAGAAAAAAAAGGTTGTAACAAGTATCAGCGACAATAACCGAGTCGCCCAATGCCACAAGAAACACTCCCTTCACTAATCCATAATTTTTTCATTATCATGTCACTGTAGAGTTGGTTGAACCCAATAGAAATGCCCCCACCAAAACTACCCAGTAAGAAAACTTTTATGTAACAATTGGATAAGATCAAACGTAATCCAATCTTATTGGAAAATTGCAGTAGAAAAAGGGTGTTACGTGTACAAAATAATGCTTTTGCATAAAAATGTGATAGAAAGTAGTTCATACAAATATTTATCTTTTATAAAGAAAAAATAAGTTTCAAAGAAGATTTGATAAATTTTAATTTAGAATATTAATACAGGGAAAAAAAGAAGAAGATTTGAGATCACTTTTTTACCAGTAATTTTTAAGATTATTTTCACATCTTAGTTCTTGACTGAATATATTAAAAATCTCTTATTATTTAGAAGTTAAAATTAAAAATAATTTATAATATTATCTTTATCTGACTTACATATTTTTAAAAACAAAATAGGTTTGAGTTCAACTTATGCAAAATTATATTATAAATAATAAAACGTGGCACTATAATAAATCATTTCTTTACAATTTTATAAAATAAATAAAATTATAATCGTAAAATGAATTAATTTTCTTTTACAAATTAAATAAAAAAAGGTTAATCTGTCATAATATTTTAAGGGGAAGAAGTATACATTTTCATAGCTAAGAAAAAAAAAAACTCATTAAATGAACCAAGTATATATAAACATACTCATAACATTTTATACTGCAACATTGCGGTCATCAAATAAAGAAGGTGTTAACTTGTATCTCACGATTCATCATCTAACCACCTTATTATTTTTGGATGTCAAAATTCCAAAGATTTAATGGAATCAGGAGGAGAGATATAAAGAAATAAAGATTCCCTTTTATCTTAATTTAGTATTATTCTTTAAACAAATCCTTTTATCTTGGCTTGGAAATTCTTTAATAGTAATGTGAACATTTAAATTCTAAAAATCTCCTGAAAAAAAGGAAGTTGAACTACTTATATAAGTTGTGATGCTTACACCTCTTATTAGTTGACTTGTTGTTTTTGTAGGACACAGTTTAACGTTGTAACTACCCAAATTTGGTGCTTTGTTTTTTCTTTCAAACATGTGAAGAAGGCTCTTATGTTTCAGATATGGTCAAACTTTCATGAATAAATCCAAAAGGGTATATAATAATGGTGATATCTACATGTTTCAAATTTGAGATCTTTCATGAAAGTGTCAAGTTTTAAAGTCCCCATTACTTTATATTAAAGTTTTTATAAATAATTTGATTTTTTTTCTTGAAATAAGTCAAGAGTATATCCCACATAAGGATATTACCATGAGTCTTAAATTTAAGATCTTGGTGTTACAAAAAAAAAAAATCATTATTTGGCAAGGTAAAAGTACTGTTGTAAGATCTGGATCTTATAACATAATATTAAACTAATATTTAATTAGAATAAAAATTTAATCTTAAAATTATAATAAAAGTGAAATGAAAATACAAAATTACAAAAGACGTGGATGTTATGACAGTTAATAAAAAAGATGTGAAATGATAAATTTATTTAAAATAAAAAAAAATCTTATAAGAATTTAAAAGATGTTCATATGAGGTTTTTGTTAAAAAAGAAAATCTATTTGGACTACGGGCTTATACAGACCATGATGGGCCTTGTGGATTTAATCTAAGAAGCCTTGTAATCTTAGACAAATAAAATTATTGACAAATTTATTATTATTTTGACGTAAATTAATTTAAAAAATGTAATTATTCATTTTTATACTAAAATAATAATGATAGTGTGGGAATAACATAATTAGTTTATATTGTCTTTATAGCCTTTGTTTCGATGAATGTTCCCATGCCACATTTTCACAAAAACATGTCAGATTTATTGAAACAATAAAAACCATCAAATATGATTTTCTAATAATAAAATTAATTATAAGGTTATTTTAATTTAATGATAACATTATAAAGTTATTGTATACACAAAACAATAGATTTTTCAGACAAACCTAATTGTTGTACTATGTTAACAGTAAACAAGACATGCTATAGTACAAAAATAATTAAAAGCTATAGAAAATTTGAAACTGGTGGTACTATTTTTATTTTTATTTTTATTTTTCTGATAGATTCTCCAAACTTGTCAAAATATAAACAAAGTTGACTTGTATTTTACTGTCATTTACACAGTTTATAGCAATATGAAGTTATGTCAAATAGAATTAAAATGTGTTTATTCTATTCACATAATTTTTTTATACAAAAATTCACATTAATATAAATTTATTTAATATTTTATTTATATAAATCAAAATTAATATAACATATATTTTTTAAAATGTATTAAAATATAAATTACTTTGTCATTTTATTATTGTTGTTCAATTTAAACTAAAATTATCATGGTTAATTATAATAATAATAAAAAACAATGTACAAATTTGATTACTAATTTTTTATATCAAATTATTAATAGCACAACGTTTGATAAAATCTAGATTGTATTATTATAATTTGATGCTTTTATATATATATATATATATATATATATAATTAAAATTATGTTTTATTTTTATAATTTTAACTAAAATAAATACGTAGTCTACATTTTTCTATTAATCTTAAAATAATCATATCATATTATTATTATGAATGAAAATACATACACATGCTATGTTGATGTTTTTTACATTATAAAAAACAATCAATATATAATTACATATATTATTATTTTTATCTAAAATAATTATATTCCTTTTCTATTTTATTTTATTTATTATTTTTCAACTACAATATCAAATTATAATCAAATATTTAGGTAATAAATAAATATTTTTTATCATTTTAAAATATATAATATATTTAAAAAAATTATTATAATTTAAAAATAAAATAATATAAAATATAAAACACATTATTTATTTTTTTAGTTAATTGTTATAGGTAAAAAAAAATTGATATTTAATTTATTTATTTGGCAAAAAATATAATATAGAGTAATCAGTAACACGGTGAAGAAAATAAAACTTTTAGCAGATTCATAATCAACAATTGAAAAGTTAAATATATCCAATTTATATAATATATAAAGTAATATAATATAACATTTTCATCATTTCACCTTAAACACATGATAATTTATTGGTTTTAACTTCTCTATAAACTTGTTTAAATTGTAATGCAAGGACATAATAGTTAATACAATTAAATTTATTATTTAATTTACTAAAATTATAAGTTCTTAAATTTTGTTATGTTTTAGTAAATGATTGAATTTAAAATAAACAAGAAGGAACAAAGAATTTTTTTTGTAAGATTATGTTGATGACAAAAATTTAAAAGTAAAAAAGAAAAGAGAGTGTAAAGTGAAAAGATGTGGAGGTTGGAACAGTAATATTTGGGGAAATAAGTGTAAGACTTAAAAATTGTTTATTAATTTGTGAGCATGCAGTTCCCTCCACATCTATCCGAAACCAAATTCCCTCCTTCCCTCGTTTTCTGCTCTCGCCTCCTCTACGCTCCTAACTCCCTCTTTTCCTCCAAACCCTTTTCCCCCACTCTCTCCCTCTCTCTCTCTCTAAAACCCTATTCCTCTCCGGTGCATCCCTCTCCCTCTAATTATTCTCCAATTCTGCCGGCTCCCTTGTCCCATGTCCACCGCTGCCGGACCTCCCGACTGCCGTGCCTCGCCGCCACGGGGGACTGCCGGCGCCCCCATCCGCCCGCCGCTCAAGCGCCACCTTGCCTTCGTCACCAAACCACCCTTTGCCCCGCCCGATGAGTACCACAGCTTCTCCTCCATTGACTCTCGCCGCGTCCCCGATGAAGCCGTCGTGGTTAGATCTCCGGTGAGTACTTCGTTTTTCATCTTGTGTTTCTAATTCATCTTGGCGGCTCCTGAATTTGGAATGTCCCGTTCTGAGTAATTTTAAGTTGATTGTGATGTCAATTTTACTTGTTTGTGTTTTACCTCTTCATTGATGGAGATCTCCTTCCTGTTTTAAAGTTTTTTGTGTTGTGATATTATTGTTTTCTTTGGATCTTTTCCATTTTTCCAGTGAATGAATGAGTTGATTCGCTTTCATTTGGGTTTGATTTTATTTTAACTGGGGATGCTGTGTTGTGTTTCTGTTAATTTATTAGTTTCTGGAGAGAAGTTAAGTTATTTTCTCAGCCTCGAACTGGTTAATCAGTGCTGGTTAGTGCTCAGTGCGGTAGTTCTGTGCAATATTTAAGTGGGATGGGGGGTTTAATGGAGGTTGATGGAGTGGGAATCTAATGGGTCACTTTTGAAGTGATCAGTTGTCCATACATGGTTTCTTCTTGTGGTTATGAAGACAATGCTTGATCATCTTTAGTTGGGGGATTTGTATGGCTGTTTATACTATCTACACAATTTTTAAATCAATCCGTAAAGTTGAGTGATTATGAGTTAAGTTTGAGCTCTTTAAGGAAATTAAAACAAATATGGGAAACAAGAAAGTGAGGGAAATAGAATTAGGACAACCTCAACGTGTTGTCTTCAAGCAGGGGGGTATATATTATATGCATATAGCTTGTCACGTATCTAAGCTATATAGGGTCTCTGCTAAGACTTAGAGAAGATGTCATAAAGTTGATCCTTAGAACATTTGTGGTCTTTGTTTGCTGTCAATGAGCTAATTCTTGATTGCGTTCGGCACTTTCAGTCCTGTATATGGGATTTGTATTTGTTAACATACATTTTTGCTATGCATAGTTCGTCCAGTGTTACTGGATGGGTAATGCGGACTCGGGAACTTCTTCATTTGTGACTTAATGTGATAAAATTGAATTGCTTTTGTAAAAGTGGTTTTCCCCTTCTTTTGTTGATATTTTAAGGAATGTTGTTTAGCATTGTCGTCATCTATTGTAATTATGGAAGGATGAATTCTTGATTGGTTACATTTATCTTCTCCATCTCAACCATATGTTGTGTGTGTATGTATCTTTGATCATCTTATTGATGTGCTATCTTATAATTTATTGAAACTGATGTTGGGTGCAGTACATGAAGCGGAAGGGTGGAATGAATGACAGTGAAGGAGAGGCGCATGCAATAAAGTGGAGTAACAGCCCTGGATACACTAACGTTAGTAACATAACGAATAATAGTCCTTTTAAAACTCCAGTGTCTACAAAAGGTGGAAGGACACAGAAGGCAAAGGCTTCCAAAGAAGGCAGATCATGTCCTCCAACACCCATCTCAAATGCTGGTGTGAATATTTCCTTTTATTTTTATTGTTCAACAAATTCAATATAGTGTTTGAGAAAAATTTAGTGCTTGGAAACAATTAATGTCTAAAATACAAATTTTGGTTCACCTTTTCATTGCTGTGCTCCAGCCATGATATATGCTGTTTAATCACGCAGTTTTTTTTATTCAGGTTCCCCTTCTCCTCTTACTCCTGCCAGCAGCTGTCGTTATGACAGTTCCTTAGGTAATTTTGGCAGCAATCTTAATCAATTGACCTCTTTTAGTTTCACTTTCCTGTTATGTTTAGATAATGGAGTTATTTCCATGAGAAAAGAATGACAAAATCCACAACATCACAGGTCTTTTAACCAAGAAGTTCATCAATTTGGTCAAGCATGCGGAGGATGGTATTCTTGATCTAAATAAAGCAGCTGAGACTTTGGAGGTCCCTCTTTTTTTTTTCAAAAAAATTATAACCAAACTATCTTATTATAATGTATGAATTTTAATTTTTCCATTGTTATAGGTGCAAAAGAGGAGGATATATGACATAACTAATGTTTTGGAAGGCATTGGTCTCATTGAAAAGAAGCTCAAGAACAGAATACATTGGAAGTACTGTGACACATTTTAATTTTTTCTTCAGTGTATGTTCCTTGAAATTTAGACATGTATGTATTATTAGAGAAAATTTCTTACATCAAACCTTGTGGATCCTAGGGGAATCGAATCTTCTACATCTGGTGAGGTGGATGGTGATATCTCTGTGCTTAAGGTAAGCGATATAGATGTTGTATTTTTGTGAATGACCTATATTGACATCCAAGTAACTAATTGTTATAAAATGGCAAGTGTCGCAGACATTTCTCATGTATCTTTGTTTTTAGCAAACAAATTTATTGGATTGAGAATTTTGTTGGTCAAGTTCTATATTTATCCAATTCACGACATGAAGATATTTGAGAGGATTAAATGATGAAGTAGTTGGCCTTGTGGTTGTCTTGCAGGAAGAAGTTGAGAAACTTTCTTTGGAGGAGCAGGGGTTAGACGATCAAATAAGGTTATATGCTTGCTTTGCATTAGAAAAAACAATTTTCTATTTCAAATCTGTTGGCCAATGCTGCTTTTATCTAAATATTTGGCAGGGAAATGCAAGAAAAATTGAGGAGATTGAGTGAAAATGAAAACAACCAGAAGTAATCTACGCCCCATAGCCATTCATTTCTTAGCTTTATTTTCCCTTTGCCTTCCCTTACAGAAGGAAAAACAAACTGTTCTCACTGTATTATAAATTTATACCAATTTCATTTCTTTTTAGGTGCCTTTTCGTGACTGAGGATGATATTAAGTGCCTACCTTGCTTCCAGGTCATTTTTTCTTGCATTGCTCTCCCAGCTTATGAACATTGTTTTTGCTTTGTTCTCATGTTAATTCTGATTATTATTAGGGTTTTATGTATATTAATACTAGTGCATTTCTGCAAACAGAATGAAACTCTAATAGCAATTAAAGCTCCGCATGGAACTACTCTGGAAGTCCCTGACCCTGAGGAAGTAAGTTTAGTGCATAAATTGATGAAAGGTTCGCACACTTTATAAAACTGATATTCTGATGCATGATAGAGAATTATTGCTTCTATATGCATCAGGCTGTAGACTATCCACAGAGGAGATATAGAATCATTCTCAGAAGCACAATGGGTCCCATTGATGTCTACCTTATCAGGTATGTGTCTTTACTTTTTGTTCTATGCTGTCCATCCAGAAGTCACATTAGTCCGTATTTCCGATTCGATGTCCAATACATCCTTGGTTTTGACCAAATATTCACACGACCATATTTGTCAAGATTAACCCTCATGCTGGGGATGGTGGGTTTGGTAATCCCTTCCTGCAGTGGTCACTGAAGTAATATTTCTCTACTTATATATTAATCTATCTGATTATGCATTTTTTGTTTATTTCTTGGAACTTCTGAACTCTTTTCAGTCAATTTGAAGAGAAATTTGAAGAGATTAATGGTGCTGAACTCCCCATGATGCCACTTGCTTCCAGTTCTGAGTCCAATGAACAATTAATGACAGAAATGGTTCCTGCTGAATGCAGCAGAAAAGAATTTGAACCTCAAACTCAGCTGTCTTCTCATGCATACTCTGATCTAAATGCTTCACAGGAGTTTGCTGGTGGCATGATGAAAATTGTCCCTTCAGATGTTGATGTAAGTATTTTATAATCTAGATATGAGGTTCCCCCTCCCCTTCAAAATGGGCTGGTTAGTGAGTATGTTCTTCTGATGATATTATTTTAAACTCAGCATTAATGATTGGATAAGAGTGATTATTGCTGGAATCATTAAATGACGTTCTTTGTAAATTTTTGTAGAATGATGCAGATTATTGGCTTCTATCAGATGCTGACGTTAGTATAACAGATATGTGGAGAACAGATTGTATCCTTTCTTAATACTTTTATTCTCTCGCTTATTTTACTTGTAGTACTATAGTTTATTCCTTAACTCCCACTAAAACAGCTACTGTTGATTGGAATGGGGTGGAAATGCTTCATCCTGATTTTGGAATCATTTCGAGGCCTCAAACTCCATCATCTGGGTTTGACGAAGTGCCAACACCAGGAGCAAACTCTAATCAGAAGTGATTTCAATTTGCCTATTGGCGCAGTTAGAAGGTATGGATGGCCTTCATCCTCTACTCAGAGGTAAACTACTTCAATGGAGCGATTGCTAGCCTTGAGGATGTCAGGAGTTGTTGAATATCAAGCTGAGAGTGGCTGCTCTACTTACGTTAAATCATTGACTCTGACAAATAAAGTTAGTTACAGTAGACATACTATGCTGATGGAGGATTTAGCTTGGAAGCTAGAGCAGTAGCCATAAATTTTATTACAGAAAATGTTGTTACTGTATGAAATGTAAACGAAGCCAGTCTCATAATCAGTGTATATTGTCATATGATTAGTCATATTTGAAGTCTGGAATCGTGGTTCCAGTTTTTTGAAAATGAGAGTTGCTACATATGCTGACTGCAAACGAACTACAAGGGTGTACGGGATAATGTTAGGACAGGACCACCTCGTTATTGAATTATCATTCATGTTGCTTGTAAGCAATTTCATAATCATTTATCAGTCTAGTGATAAAATTGTCAATTATTCTCCTACGTTTCTTCTCCATGTTTTCTATTATTTTCTTCTTTTTACAATGGATAATGTCATCTTAGTTGTTCATTTGAATGAAGCTGGACATACTTGGGCTTTTGAAAATTACTAGAAAATAGAGGAGGGCACCATACAATTAGAGTAAAGAGATAAATTGGGATATATGAGTGAAAGCAAGAGACAACAATAGAGAATATATGAAGAAAAATGGTGAGAAGGGAGTTGGAAGAGAAAATGTGTATATGTAGTATTTTCCATATGTAAGTAGGAATACAAATTCAGTCTTACGCTGATGAAAGTACCATCGATAGAGAAGGATAACTACTCTATCACTTCTCCTGATTCTACAACCCAAAGAGGTAAAATTAACAATTCTAATTCTTCGTTAGGATATAATATGTTTATAGCAAACAAGTACACTCAAACAAATTTCTAATAAACTCTAAACTCTACATAAATGATATATTATCAATATTTATCTATTATTATTAAAAGATAAATAAAGCATATTAATGGTAACAATATATGGACTAAAAGGGCAAAACACCATTAATTTTCTCTATTATGCCTCAGAATGGTAGATAATTCGTAGCAAAGATAGTCACTGAGTTTTGTTCTGGAGTTTTAGCCATTCATTGTCTGAAGTTTCCATTTTAAGGATAGTTATTCCGTAGCTGATAAAAGAAGCTGCAATTTCAAAGTTTTTATAGTAGTATTAGTATACCTTTTGTGTATTAAAATAACTGAACACTACCAAAATCTTTTTTAAATTAAAGATGAATTAAAGTTTCATATAAACTTTAAAATATTGATTTGTAAGCTTGTATTTTATTTAGCAGTTGCAACCTACACAACATTTTCGACTAGACAATGGCGTAAGTATCTTCATTTCATGACAAGACAGCTTCCAAAGACCCGTCCCAGGCCATAACTTCTTTGACTATCAACCTCACCGTCATTAATCTCTCCTTGGTCTGGTTTAAGAATCACAACAACACAATTTTAACTAATAAGAAAAAAATTGTTCAAAATAATGTTATTTATATTTTACTTTTAAAATTAACCTTAAATCATCAAAGTAATTAACATGTCTGTCTTAATTAAAACTAAGTAATGTAATCTTACATTTATAAATAACATATATTTTACAACAAACATATGCATGACGTGAAAAAATGATTTTATGATGTAAAATGTTTGATTAGTAATAAAATGGTGACGCATTCTCGTTTCTAAGGTTATTATTGGCATGACCACGAGTGCAATAAATGTCCACTGAGAAATTGTGTGCCTCTTTCCGATTCAGAAGTCATTTCAATTGAACTGGAACCACAGGGGACCAGTTTATGATTATAAGCTCATCCCAATCTCCAATTTGAAAAACCTATTTAATTTTTTCTTTGCATTAAAAATAATAAAGGAAAATGCTCTAATGTACAAATTATTTATTTTCGTTATAATTCTAAACATTGCATTGCATGACCCAAATCAATTGTTATTTTAAAGAGATTGAGTTTGTGGTCTTTCATCATTTATCCACCAAAACTCACTTTCTTCCATTGATTAAGTATACATCACAAATTCCAGAGCTAATATGATACTCAGAACATAGCAAAAATCATGGTTGTGAATTAATAAATTCTTTTCTTTTCTTTATTAATAGGATAAAACAATTTAAAAATATGTATTACATGATAACTTTATTTCTTTTTATAATAGTCTTAATGATATACTAATAGAGATTTTTATTAATTGAGAGTTTAGATTCAACTCTAATTATGCATACTCATTAAACTTTGTTGAATAATCTTGCACTTAAAAACTTGAATTTCAAACTATTAATTGAATTTTAACATCTGCCTATACAGTTGACTTAAAACTTTTTTTTTTTTTTACTTCATTTTCAAGATATGTAAAATTTTCATCACTTAATTTATCCGATGCAACAGTTAACTCCGTGGAAATAAATATTTGCAAATTTTAATATTGTTATTATTTTTGTTTCTTTTGGTGTTTTATCTCTTCTTTCATAATTTTAATTTACTATTTTTATGATAAAATTACTGCAACTAGGAAATAATAAAAAAAAATTGAAAAGTTAAAGCATTAATTTTGTCCACATAAAATGTAAAGATTTTATACTTAAATGATGCCTCCCTTGCGATTTGAAAGCTCCACTTTATTGCTTTAGACTTGGAGTGCAAAAAAAATGATTCTTATTCTCATGATATGAACATAAATAAATAATTCAGAATTTGGACTAAATTTATTATAAATCTTAAGGAGGATTTTTTGTATTCAAGATATCCCTTAACAGAAAGTGAAAGATTAAATTCCTTTTGTGACACAGAAATTATTTATTTCTAAACAATATTTTCTAATAAACAATTAAATAAACCTTAGTAGATAATTTAATAATCGTCAACTGTAATTAATTTTATTGTTATTACTGAAAAAATATATACTCTTCTATCCGTATTTCTATTACATTAAAATAATATAGTTCTTAAAAATTAAAAGACTTGAATATTTTTATAAAAATTATGCTAAATAAATTGTGTGGAATTTTTTTTTAATAATGTAAGAAAATATGTCTACAATGTAAAAAATAATTATAAAAAAGTGTATCTCTTTTATATAATAAATTAGTGATGTTTTCCTTGAATGTTTGTTTAGGAAAGTTATTTTGCTTTTTACATATAAGTTGAAACAATGTAACGCTAATTTTTTATTATAAGAATATTTTATTATTTTTAATAGTTTATTTTATATAAGATATTAAAGGAAATAAAGATAAATATACGTAATTATATATTTTAAATATATATATATATATATATATATATATATATATAATATTTTCTTTATTTATGCAAATGCTGGTGACAAAATCAACATTTGGGGCCTGTTTCTGCTTGTGATCTTCCAACGTGGTGTCAACTTTCGTCTCTTCTTTCTTTATTCAATTTTATGGCATAAAGTTGATTATAAAAATTAAAATAAAAAATACTGTCGTTGACTTTCTTTCACTTTTTTTTATTGTTTTCACATAGCAAATTCTCTATTTAATATCTATTTCTTATATTATTTTGTTTTAGTTTTGATAATAACCTGATTTTTTTGTTCATATTAAAATGCCTCTACGTGTTTGTATGTAAGCATCTAAAGGACCATGTGATGTGTTAATGATAAGATAGAACATAATTTGATAAAAAAATAAGAAGTTTGAATTCAATTCTTATTATTGATCCTCTTTTTGATAGATTATCTGTTGATTATTGTCTTATATGCTATTTTGATTTTAAAATACACACATTCTAGATACTACAATGTGTTTCTATTACAAAATTTGTCTTTTAATGTACATTGAGATGTTACAATGATTAAAAAGATGATTTTTATTATCCGTTTTGATCTTTTATTAAATGTATAAAAAAAAAATCATGTTTTGTGACATGCAAATTTTTTAAACAAATTGCTTCCTTTGTTCCTTCTTTCTATAAATTGACTATTTTTGCTAAACAATAAATCTTGTTTCTTAATCAATGTTAAGATGATTAAACTTGATAAGATATTAAGAGAGATTTTTACGAGTTTTTAGTTCATACAAGGATATAAATATTATGAAAACTATTTTGATATGCATGTGATGATGTAATAAAAGAAATTGGAGGCTTAGTAAAAGAAGCATCTTTGGATGCTTAAGTATTCAGAACATAGAATGCTTAGTTTTCTGTGTCTAAGGATAAAACTTTGTTCTTCTTTGCTTTCGAATGTTATTTCACATTTTCATACTTAACAATTTCGATAAATACTTCTAGTTTAAATAATACTTATTGTCATCAAAATAGTGAGAAGTTGAATATTTGTCTCCAACAAAGAAATCCAAAATCGCATTCAAAAATTAACTATTGTAATAAAAAATAAATCTAAAAGTAAATTATTTCACTTTTTTTTTTTAATAACTTCCATTCAAAATTGTATGGGATTTGACTCATAATAAGAAAGGAAACCAACTTATCAGACTCGTTCATTAAAAAATGTAAGGGCTTGAGACCAAGTACTGAAGAAGTGAAAATTAGTAAAACCATAATTTAAAATAAATATGAAGAATGAAAAGTTTTAAATTATAACTTTAGACAATAAATTTCTTAAAACACTATTATTTTCTATATTTCTTCTACTTTGATAATTACATTCCATTATAAATTAACATTAAATATTATAAATTTTTTTCTATGATATTTTCTTCTTACTACTAAACAAATTAAAACTTCAATATTTAAAATTGTCAAATATTCAAACGGTTGATCACTTAATCTGATGACTAAATTTAATATATATTCTTAAATAGATTATATTTTTTTCTAACCTCATCCTATATTAATTAAGTCAATATTTTAATTTTGACCTGATTAATTAATTAAAAAATTAAAAAAATAAATAAATTATATTAATAAAATTAATTTTTATTTTAAATATAATAATTTAATATATAAATTATAAAAAATAATTTAATCTTAAAATAAAAATTACTCTTTATTATAATAATTTAATTTATTTATTAATTTATTAATATAAATTATCATAGATCATAAAATAAATAAATGATTAAGACTTCTTCTTATATATATTCATAAAAAAATATTTTATAAATTAATTTATAATAATATATATATATAATAAAATAATATTATTTTTATCTTTATTTTAAAAAATATCATTATTTTATAAAACTGCATACTACTCTATTCTAATAGTATATAAACCATTATTGGGCCGGGTCAAAAATTAATCTGTTACACGTTTTTTAATCTATTTTATATCTCCAACCTTCAATTTCGGATTAAACATATTTTCACAATCTCCACAGCGCATGTGCAATGTCCCGTCTTCTGAAAATTGAAATAGACTCCTTATTTTCCACAAACGTGTAGGTTTCTTACTTCACCAAAACCCTTCTTCTTTCTATCGCTCTGTTAAGTGTTCCACACCCATGGATATGTCTTCCTCCACCACTCTCTTTCCAATCCCTTCTTCATCTTCTTCGGGTCAAAACCAGACTCCAATAAAACCGTTTCTCAACTTGGATTCTCTCTCCGTGAAAACCCCCTCTTACACTTCCCTAAAAGACGTGCTTCCCTACTCCGCCGCCGCCGTCAACTCCCCCGCAGCAAACCACCACCAAGTGTCCATCCGCAACCGCCTCGTGAAGCAGGCAGCGTGGGCCTACCTGCAGCCCATGTCCACTTCCCCGAGCGGCCCATCAGGCCCACACTTGTTCCGGCGCAACCCTGTCGCCGCATGTCTCTCCTTCATATACCAGCACATACTACCGTCCCTCACCCGAACCCTTCATCGAATTCTCCGCGTTATCCCTTGCTTCCTCCCTGTAATCCAATAGCATAATAATAAAATAGCTTTGGAGATCACTATTTCACAGTTTCTCTCTGAAAAAGATGTTTCTTTCCAACTTCAAAAAAAAAAAAAAAAAAAAACTTGGTGTTCGGATTTGGAAACGTTGTGAACCTCCACGGTTCTGGTTTGGTTGTTGGGAGGCCAGTTCTTGGGCTTGCTTAGGGTACTGCTTTGCTTCATGAAGGATGGTTGGGCTTGGGCTTGGGCCTGCGTGGGAGGCGCTTCTGGGGCACGTTCACCCTGCGCCTCCTTTTTCTGCAATGTGTGATCGTACTTTCCTGTTATTTTTTTCCCACTATTTCCAAATCTATATATTGTATTCTAGCTAGATCACACAAATCATGATACAATATATTCTCACACAAACTTTCTTTTAATCACTTTTTTTTAGTAAATTCATTCATATTATTTCCTTTTTTTTTAGATTTTCAACCGTTATCTATTTTCATATTATACATATATAATTTTTAAAAAACGTGTCAGGATAATTTTATTTTGAGATTTATATTTAATTTGATTTTATATATTTTTTTAAAAATGTCAAGGAATATATATACTCGAATAGACTTATATTAAAAAATAACACACAGGAGGTATACATTGCCGTGAGTAATGATTAGCTAGAGGGTTGAACGTGAATTTGGGTTTTTATTTTTAGTTATTTTTGGTTAGTTTTGATTAGTTAATTTTTTTAAATACGACGTGACACGTGGTTGGGTATGACAAGGACTACTTTGGTACGAGACATTACTTAATGCGTATAGATACATGTTACATTCAACCATGGAATTATTATAAAATTTTTAAACAGTTAAAATTAATGAAACAAGTGTTTTGAAAGAAGAAAATCAACATTGACGGGTAATAATAAATAGGAAATACAAACAATTATTTTTATTAACAAAGATTTGTGAGTATAGTATGAAGAGTTGTGTTAATAAAAATTGTTACTAGCATTTTGGTAACATATATATTTATTCTTAGAAATAGATATACGATAATATACAAGGAGAATGCTAAAATCTATAGCGAACTGTGAAGAAAAACGAGGCTTTGAGCTCGGATTTGCAACTTAAACGAGGTAGAAAGAAGAAAGGGTTTGAGAAGGAAACAGTTCCTAATCAATCAATCATCTCGAGACTTTACCTCTGCGTTGGGGTTTGATGAAAATTTTCCAGACTGAGAAGCCAATTGCTGAAGAACCTGCACAAATGCAGTTTGCCCAAATTTGGCACAATATTGCCAGTAAAATATCACACAATCCCATCCTCTTGCCTTCCACTCCATCAATTTCCTGTCAATCTCAGTTTCATGCTTTGACACATATGGCCTCAAAATTGTCTCATAAATGTAACCACTCCCCTGCAACACCAACAACAACAACATCATACAACTTTTCTAGATCAAATAAACACTCACACACCACTGGAAGTCAACTAGATCATGTTTTTAAAAGGGTGTTTGTTGTTGTTGTTGTTGTTGGGTTCCTCACATTAATTCTCACCATTATTTTAATCACATTAGGTCATTTTTTATACCCAATAATAAAGCATAACAGAAACGTTCAATGGATATATTATCATCATTCTTTTCCCTCTGGAACAAGAAAGGTGAGATGGCAGTGTAAAGTATGGCCTGCAAATAACATTATTAAAGAGAAGAGAAAGAGGCTTACTTTAGTTTTGGGATACCACAAGTAGACAAAGAGCACCAGCTTCATCTCTCCATACATTGGCAGCCTTCATAAAATTCAGAGTCAAAATTTGTTTCTCCATGCCAAATCAAGAGGAAACAATATACGTAGTTAATTGTCACAATATCTTTCTTCACTTACCATCCAATAAATATATCTGTAAACTTTTCCATTACAGTCAAAAGTGCCACAATGATCCTGCAAATAATCCATTCGATGAGTTATTCAACAAGATAATATTTTCATTGTTTTTCTCCATTCAATAATCAACCTTTTCCAGTATTCTTAACCCCACATGCATGCACTCAAAAGGGTAATTTCTTAGGTTCGGCATTGAGTATATCATACAGATTTTTTGTAAAATCTGTGAGACTAAAAATAAACACGGTAATAAATTTCTTTTGCATCATAATTAATTTCGGTTTTAATTTTTCCCAATTTTGAAATCAAAATACCATTCCAAATTGGTAGTGTTAATTGTAATTATGATTATTAGTGATAGTAATAACAATTTATACAATTTATACAATATATTTCTCCATTATAACGTGCAATAAATGAACATGAAAAAAATAGACAGAAAGATGCTTGTAATTTGTAAAGTAACATTTCTCTAAAATAATAAAGTTTTATTAGAATATAATGCAAAGAATGAGAGAGACACGTTTTTGTACCAATATTTACACCAGAAGCGAAGTTCTTCAATGTCTACCCTATTTTTCTCCACAGTTTTATAGCATTCGAATCCAGGGTATGCATACCCCAGAATGAGACTGCAATTAATAAAAAAAAATTTGCATTAACATAACATAATGATTCAAAAAATAAACGGTGAAAGATGGATGTGTCGTCTATCTATATTAAAAAAAAAAAAGGACTTACATAAGGATTCTATTGATGAAATCCCCCAGCATTTTGAATCCCCAGGAATTAAGTCTGAAAAGCAAAAGAAGCAAACCATAAAACTGTTATTAAAAATGAGAAAGTAATTGATATGTTTACAAAGAAGAAAAGAACGTACAAGTTGGACTGGGAGTCTTTTGGTTTGAGAGATTCAGAGGCACAGAATTAGGTATGGGAATTAGGGTGCCTCCAAACCTAGTTCCTAAGGAATATTAACGAGTTGATATTTTATTCTTTAGAAAGTTATGTGGTTTAATCCTCAGGAAGAATGGCCTCTGATTCCCTCGTTCTCTCAAACAAGATGTGGAACAAGAAGCCTTAGATCACAGGCAACACAAAGCCCTTTATCCTCACCATATAAATAGTGTTGCGGTTACATTTAACGACGTGAACAACAGCAATGTTTTTGTTTTTCTATTTTTTTAATGATCCAAAATGTTTTCTTCAATAATAGAAAATTTTAGGAATTTCTTGCCACAAAAACTTCTCTTTAGTTTTACACGCAACAATTTGCATTCCAGGGATTTCTCGGAACCGTTTAGCGGTTGGGCACGCGCGGAATCGTCGCCATTTAAGTCATTTCGATGATTATAAATAGTTCTGTTAACAGAAGCAGAATTTTGTGGAAGAAAATATACAGATGATGAATGGTGGTGGAATAGTTAATGCTTAATTTTAGATGATTTAAATGATCTTGGATAATCCAAGACGCACACATATTTTCCGTATTTATAAAAAGTTATTCCCTTCATTGAAATGGGTCAAAGCCCAATGTTAGTTCAGGATTTCCCTATTCCTTGTAGAAACTATTGGGCCAAGCCCATCATGTAATATTTCTATCAAAAGATTTTAGTTCAACAAGTTTGAAATTTGCAAAGAAACCCTCATTAGACACTCATAAAAGAAAATAAGAAATGTCGATTAGAATAAAATAAAATTGAATGTGGATGTACCCCAAAGAAAAATTATAATAATGAAAATGTGCGGTCCAGGTAAGTCTGTCACGAATAAAGTTTAGCAAAGAGGGACCCTCGTAAGCTCACATGAAAAAATAAATTGTGACCACCTTCTTCTTTTTTTTTTCTTCTTCTTCTTCTTCTTCCTCTCACACACTCCCATAAAACCCTCTTCCCATTGCATCACTTCACTGCAACATTAACAATGTCAACTTCCACAAGAAAACTAACCCTCAACACCGTCTCCGTCACCTTGGGCTGCGGCACCTGCAGAAGGCCCAAGCTTCTCCGCCACATATTCCACCCAAAACGTCGCCCCAAGAGGCCCACCTACCAAGCCCAAACAACCCATCACTGGGCCCATGACAGAGACGACACTACTACCACCGCCACCAGCACCACCAGCACCACCTTCTCTCCCTGCCACATCGACTCTTCCGCGCAGTTCTGCGACTACGCCAAGAGCGTGCGGGGGTTCGGGCGCGTGGGCAGCGAGGGCGTCGCGGTGGAGAAAGACTCCGACGACCCTTACTTGGACTTCCGACACTCCATGCTCCAGATGATACTCCAAAACGAGATTTACTCCAAAGACGATCTCAGAGAGCTTCTCAACTGTTTCCTCCAGCTCAATTCACCGGACCACCACGGTGTCATTGTCAGAGCCTTCACCGAGATCTGGAACGGCGTTTTCTCCGTCAGCTCCGGCGCCACCGCCTTCCACCGCAACCGTAAGTCTCGTGACTTCTAACCGCTCCCACGTGCCTCGCCAATCGTCCGTTGTAACATTAAGGTAGTTAGTTAGTTAGTAGTGCTTTGTTTGGATAAATCTGTCCCTCACGTGAGAGTACCCGAAGAAAATAAGAAATTCTCTGGTAAAATCAATTTATGCACTTTTTTTTTATAAAAAGATAAATTCTTAAAAATTTAGTGCATGGCTTGATTTTAAATTATGAGAACAAAATTAGATATTATTTTCTTCCATTTATCCAAATATAGGTGTTTTCGAAATGTTTAGTGCACTGCTACATATGTTAGTTAAGATATTTCTTAAGTTCCTAACGTTGTATTTTGCGGCGCGTTTGGTTCACCCCCAACGTACTCTCTTTTGTTTTCACCTTTGTACGAGTGGAATTATTCTCGCATCCATCGAATTTATTTATTTTCATGCACACGCTCCACCACTCTGTAGTGCCATTATTTTAACCCCTTCTTTATTTATTTATAATTATTAATTTATAAAAAAATAATTAACGCTAATTAAATACACGGTATTTATAAGTAACATGAAAAAAAGGGGGGATGAATTATAAAAGTATTTATTTATAAGAATATGTTATATATGTGTCGTTACCGATTTCTTTTATTTGAAAAAGACAGGTTCATCGTATTTGCATTTTATTTTGTTTATGACTGAAGTAGGCATAACAATGAGAAGCAAGAAATAACTTAAAAAAAAAAAGAGTAAACTTTTAGAAAAATAACTTAAAAGATTAAATTTTAACCCAAAATATTTTTAAAATGCATATTATTTTTTTTAATATAATTTCTGCCAAGAAAGTTATAGAATTATTATTCTGTTTCATTTACTTGAATTTACTATATGCATGTGGTATAAATACTGTGCTATCAATAAACGCACATACTTAGTATTTGTTAATTTTTATAATAACTATTTTAAAATTCATATAAACAGCTACTTTTAAATGTTATATTACAATATACAAAAATTAAAGGTTATAACTTAAAAATAATCAGTATAAAAACCAACAAACTTATAACACATAATTTGAAATTTGAGTGAATGTAAAAAAAAAATCATTATTCAATATAATTTAATTTGAGATTAATATATATACATTGTCGTCATAAAAAAATTACACAATCAACCATTAAAAAATATGATGAGTATCCAAAAAAGGTCTTATGAAAAAATCTCAAGAAGAAAAACAATTTAATCTTTACATCAGCACTGAAATTAAAATTCAAAATATGGGAATATGATTATGATTAACGGGACTAATCTTTGTGTACATTATTTATAACCCAATATTTGATTGAGGGTGTGTAAAAATCTCTCTCTGGATTTTCCCCTTCCTAGTAGCGAATCCATTGCGTGTGTTTTGGTCAAAAATGGTTGCCAGCTTTTGAGTGGCAATGCCAAAATATAGGCATTGGGATTTGAATCACAATAATTTGAAGGGTCCAAGTCGGGAGAGACAGAAGGTTTTAATGCCTTTCTGCGACACCAGAATAGAACGAACTTCCATGCACCGTTTCCCAATGTTGCCATTAATCCTTCTCTTCTCCGTACTCTTTGTTTTTAGTATAATTGCCAGTTGTGTGAATCAATACTTTTTTGTTTCCATTCAAGTACTATATTTTTTCCCTTCTCTTCACACGTTTCCTCACCCTTCCATGCATTTACTTCTTCTTTGTATTTTCTTGGCCATTCATGCTCTGCTTGAATTTACAACATCTGAGGGAGGTAGGTTCCTAGCCTTCATCACCCTCACCCTCTCACACAAAACACTCTCATCATTTCTCAATTAAATGCCTTCATTCAAATATCTCTCAATCTTCATCTTCACTAAGCAAAAATTACAAAATCCTTCCTGCACTTTACTTTAGCAGAAGGTACCAGATGATGAAACCCTCCAAGATACAGAATGTATCACTATCATGTCAGTCAAATAATTGGATTGGATATCACACCTAATCTAGCCTTCTAAATCATTAAATTTATAGCTTTTTTTTTTGTTATATATTATTTGAGTTGTCCATTCTCATGTTAAGCTGTTAAATATACAAAACATCTTTTTTTCAAGCATTTGGGATTAAAATTCAGAATGAAAAGTATAAACTTAGTACTTTTCAAATAGTGTTTAGGGTGTTATATGATATGTTTTTAGTTTAAACTGAAAGACACTAGTTTTAGAGAAAAGAGAGTGTTTCTTTTGTTTGTTGCATTGTCCACATTGATAAACTGAAAGAAGAGAAAGCACAGGTGCTGGTTTTCAGCTGCAGATTTCAGAGAGTTCAATCTTCAAATGACAAAAGAAAACCCACATAAATATGTGCTTTCAATCTCTGTCTCACTCTAAATTAAGATTCAGGATCAGAAGGTAGATTTAAATGTGGCCTACTTTCAAGGGATGGTCAACTCTATAACATGGTAGTGGAAACATAGTGGACCATTATTAAAAACAAAATCCAGAACATAATAACTTTGGCTAAAGATATGCAACTAAATTAGCAAGTTTTCCAACTCAGCCCTGTCAGATACTAGCTGTGCAGAGAAACATGTCACTATTTTTCATAGCATATGTTTCATGAATGTTGCAATTAGGAAATTATGGTCGATTACACTCACGAGAAACATGTAAATTTTATCTCAACAACATGATTTAATCTTGGGAAATAGTTAAGCTTGAAAAAAAGAATTTTTTTCTGGGCGCTATTCTTTTGGTAGTGGGAAACATATTTGTACTTATGTAGGACAGAGTTAACATGATTTGTTACCTGAACATAAAGAAAAGTTATGTTATGAAGTTAGACAGAAAGATGTTGATCTTGTCTTGACAAGAAAAGGTAACTGACTTCTGATATATCTTTTCAATGAGTTGGAATCTGAAAAAAAAAAAAAAAAGATAGCCAGGATATGCATGCATGCACACTGTTTCTAAAGATTAATCTTAATCAACTTTAATTATTCAATGATTTATTATAAACCTTAATCTCTTATCTGTGACCAAGTCTTTCTTAATGGATTGATCAATTATGTTCCATGTTCTTCTTTTATTTTCATCCAAGGACAAGACCAACTCTTACTACCTTCTCACCAGAGTTAGATTGCTCAATGAGATCATAGGAGATCAACGTTAAGGAAATGCATTTAAAAAAAAAATCTTAAAACTTAAATATTTTAGTCAAGAAATAAATGTATGTGAATTAAAATTGAATCAATAATGCAAATCTGTACAATGTAAATAATAAAATTACAGAAAATAAAAACCTTGGGTTAATATTTAAAGAAAAATCAGAGTTTTAATATTTAAAGAAAAAAAATATAAATGAAAAAAATAATTATTCGTCACAAATTTTAAAAATAATAAATAAAAGTAAAAATCATTTCAAAGAAAGTTAAATATAAATATTAAGTGTTTGATATATAAAAAGAAAACCATTTAAACTGAATTAATGAAGCTCACAAAACAAAAAATCAAATAAAAAAATGTTGATTATATAAAATAAGTAATTATTTAATTTTTTTAAAAACATATTAACAAAAGTAAGTGATTAGTTGATTATTCTTGTATCGGAGACTATTTTTTCTAAACTAAGGAGTGACTGGTTTTAATTTATACTATGGGCGCTCCTATCTATGGGCCCATATGTAAGCCCAATGGACAATTCGTTCTGACAAAAAAAAGGAAAATTAGAAAACGAGAGTCTCGTCATAAAAAAATATTAGTAATTATTTATGGTAGAAATTAATTAATAATATCATAAACATGTTCAAAGCATTCAAGATAAAATTCTTGAGTTAATATAATTTATTTGATATTTAATGCAATATTTAAAATTCTACTAAAGTTGAGTGAGTAATTTATTTTGTGTGTCATGGTCTAATTATTACTTTTATAAATGAGCATTGTGAAGTTAAAAATGTAATATTTTTAGTTTGATTTGTGAAAAGGTTGGGCAATTTTTGTGACAGTTGGATGGTGTGGTACATATTTTGGCAAAGAAAAAGGACCAATAACGTTGTGAATTGGAGACAGAGCAGTGGAATAGAACAAGTCAGGGTTATCGAGGAAGTAAATTTTCTTGGAAGATGAGGGTCTGAATGTTAGGTCATTATCTCACTAATTATTTCACAGAAATTTATTATTGTCTTAAAGTTTGGATTGACACTCCAAAACCTGCACTCTGTCTATTTATTTGTCTCAGTGGAACCAAAATCAGCATTTTTTATTGGCTACACTACTTTCCTCGTTTGAACTATGATTTGGATCTGTGCCACCAACAAAAACACTCATTTTCTTTTTTCAGTAGAAAAAAAAACTACAATGATTTTTTTGTCATAAAAAATAAGTAAAATATGGTTAACACAATTTTATATTCAAGTGAATGAAGATAAGTAAAATAATTGTATTCAAATTTAAACTGATTTATATATATTCTAAATATATTTAAATTTAGACTTATATATACTTTTAAATTAATAATATGTAAAATATACTTCTGAATATAACTTTTTTCTTTTATTAAATTTATGTATTTTATCTTTATATTTTTTTCTTCTCTTGGGTCACATATTATTAGTTTAATTTTAGTAAATATATCATTAATTCAATTAAGATAAAAATAATATTGATTTGAATTCTCTTAGTATAATTAGACTTGTCTTTATTTAGTAGAATAAGTTTCTCCAACTCTTATAATTATAATTTAATATAATTTGACTTGATTTTACATTCTCATATTTGTCATCACTGCTTACCTTGGTTCCTTTATCAATAAAAATTAAGTCTTATGAATTAATAATATTAATAAATTTAATAATAATATTTTTTATATTTAATGATAATTATATACTCTATCCAAATAAATAATATTTAAATTTAGAGAAATTTTACGTTATACATATCGTCATATAAATACTAACAAACCCACTACAAGAAATATTAAAATTACCGACGGTCAAAATCCGTCGGTAATAACAAAAATCCGTCGGTAAATGAATATTACAGACTGAATTCAACGACCAAAAATCCGTCGGAAATTCGATTGTCGGTAAATATTACAGACGGATTTATCCGATCAGTAAATGTGTTACTGAAATTACAGACGGATTTATCCGATCGGTAATAATTTTATTAATTATTAAATATTTGACTTATTTATAACATATTTTTTTTATAGAACTCCTCCCTCTTATATTCTTATTATTTATTACTAATTATTTCTCCATATTATATTTTTATAGCTTTGAATTATTGTCAGATTAAGAGAAATGTCATTGGCAGGATTGAACCCAGATCTTAGAATGTAGAGTCGATACTCCAACCACTAAGCTACTTAGAATTTCTTGATAACAATTTACAAATAAATTATATTTATATACAAATATACAAATACATTTATATATATTTATATATATTTATATATATTAATATATATTTATATATATATTTATATATTTATATATATTTTTATATATTTATATATATTTATACATATTTTTATATATTTATATATATTTATATATATTTATATATATTTATATATATTTTTATATATTTATATATATTTATATATATTTTTATATATTTTTATATATTTTTATATATTTATATATCTATATATTTATATATTTTATATTTATATATTTTTATATATTTTTATATTTTATATTTATATATTTTTATATTTTATATATTTATATATTTATATATTTATATATTTTATATTTATATATTTTTATATATTTTTATATTTTTATATTTTATATTTATATATTTATATATTTATATATTTTATATTTATATATTTTTATATTTTCATATATTTATATATTTATATATTTTTATATATTTATATATTTTCATATATTTATATATAATTAAATATTTATTTTTAAAATTACTTAATTTAATAAATGATTATAAATTAATCTAATTATGATTAAATTAAATTATTAAATAAAAAATATTTATTTTTTAATTAGTGAATAATTAAATTATATTATATAATTTTACAGACGGATATATCCGTCGGTAAATAATTTTTAATTTACATATGAATTTACCGACGGATATATCCATCGGTAATTAATTGTTAAATTATCGACGGATTCTACGACGGATATATCCGTCGGTAAATTCATCAATAAATTACCGAGCGGATTTATCGACGGATATATCCGTCGGTAACTAATTATTATTTTACCGACGGATATATCCGTCGGTAACATCAAATTTCACAAATATTCTATATCCGTCGGTAATCTCCGTCGGTAATGATTATTTTCCGACGGCTACAAATCCGTCGGTAAATATCCGTCGGTAATACGCGATTTTCTTGTAGTGAACCGGGTATATAATTCTAGTCTCATAAAACTCTGTCAAACATATTATCATATTACTTACTTAAACATCAAAATATTTTTACTGTACTATAGATCACACCGACACCAATTTATTATGAAAGAAAATATGGAGACCGATTCTCATTATGGTTACTTATATATAATTCTTGCCAAAACATTTCCATCTCAATAAATTTGATTAACATGTTTTTCACGCATAAATTGAATATAACTAAAAGCATTTACACCAAATCAAAATATTAAAATTAACATATACCACTTACAAAACTAACTAATATTTTTTTTATTATTATATCAGAATCTGGATATATACTTAAAAAAGGAATTTTGCTGGTTTAGAAGCTTCGTTGGTTGGTGATAATCATATTTAAATGAAGATTCGTTTATATCTATATCTATATATTTTAATCTTTGACTCTTTGGAAATTCAAGTGCATGTGGTTACAAAAATGAGGATGTGCTAAATTCATCAACACAAACCTATCTATGAAAGTGAACATGATGTTTTACCATATACAAATGGCAGAAGGAATCTTTTGTAGGTCACCACAAGCTAAATATCATTAATTACTATTAGGTCCAACTCTAAATTAACTTTATTTAATTAACTCTAAAAAGTGTTCGGATAGATTTAATTTATTTTCATTTAAAAAACTTGTTGGAAAAGATTTTATTCCTTAGAAATTAAAAAAAAAATGACTTAGGATTGGAGGGATTTATAGAAAGGACCATTTCATTGTTAATATAAATTTTCCAGGGACCATACATTGAATGGATTCTTAGTGGTGAAATGCTGCTGAGTCTTGTTTTTTCTAACAACCCTAGTCTGCTTAAAACTTGAAAGTGAGTGACAAAGATATAATGTCGTATGTGTAATTAGGTCGTATACCGACATAAGTGTCCTACCAAATTCTATCACAAGTTAAAAGGAAAATACATATAGAAAATTTTGAAACTGTAGCAAATACGAAGAAACTTCAAATATGTAGCTCCAATTTCAATCTGAACACTCTTTTTGGAATTTACAAAGCTGGAGAGCAGTTTTTTGTATTCTTGCTTGTTGGATTTTGCAGACAGAGATAAATAATAGAATTTGTAACCTTTATATTCCAAGTTTGACATACTTAAGTATCATATGAAGACAATATTTTTTAACATTACCATTTGTGTAAATAATTTGATGTGGTACTTTTCTTTTTTTTTTGGCTCAAGACCATGATAATGCTCCTTATTTTCTGCCCTGGATTTGAATCCATCTTTTGATAATGACTACCCAATTCAAAACCATCTACTTTCATGAACCCACTTGTGTACCATATCATAAAATGGATCAACTGTACATATACGTGCTTTGAATTTTTCATGTTTATAGTACATTATTTTCAAATATCTCAATATACATATATAATTTTTTAAAAATTTAAAAATATTTATGTGTTAACATATTCATTAACCTATTTAATATTTTAGTTACAAATTAAAATACACAAATTTATAAAATAAAAGATTAACTATATCTTAATTCTTTTTTACATGCAGATATATTACCTTACAAAAAACCACACAAACCATCTTATCACATATTTGACGGTACAAAAAATGAAGTCAAGGTCACATGGCGTTTCTTTTCGTCAGCTTTTGTCCACTTACCCTCACTTTTTTTGTTTACTTTACTCAAATTAATAATCATTTGAAAAAAAGAAGAAGCACAAGTTACCCACATGAAACTCTCAATGTCATAAATGACAGGATGCCGTAGAAGCAAGAACACTAAGACCTAACCAGTTATTTTCTTCTATAATCAAACTTGGTACATTTATTAACAATTTCTATAAACTTTGTAGAGTTTCCTGATAAAAAACTAAACTTCAAATTGAGAAGGAGAGTTAAACTGTCTATAGTACTGAAAGCAACGCATGATTTAACTATCCTTTAGGTATATAGCCGCATAATATTATATATGCATTTGGATTTGACAATTGATAATTAATTAATGAGTTTACCAACTCCAAGAACACAATATTTAAGACAAAAATAGGAATTTCTACCGTCATGTCCTAATATGTTCATGAGGAAATGTAAATTGACGTTCTAAGCGCCCATATTTTGAAAAATGTTTCTATTTCTTTTTTATATATATATATAAATACTCACACAAAGTGGTTATTATTTTTAAAAATATATTGTAAGATTATTGCAAATTGTTATTCATTATATTTCTCAAAAAATTAAAATGAAAATATAATTATTGGATAGAAATGAATTAAAAACATAGATACGAGGTGGTCCCGAATTATTTATAACTTCTACTTATAAGATGAAGAACCGAGTTTCAAATTCTTATCCAAAAAAATGTTCATATTTCAAACGGAGTTTAAGCACGAAATAAAAAAAAATTAAAAAAATAAACAGGTACGTGAATATCACCGGTTTTCCTCCACACGTGTGACCTCCGCAGAGATTGCGTAAGGGAGAGGAAGAAGGCGAAAACCATGGAAGTAAACAAAAAATGTAGAGAAAACAAAAAGTTTGATGTTACTTTTAGACTCTATGATATCATCACCATTGTTTAGATACAATTCAGCAACATTACAAAAATCAGAAATTTGAAGATGAAGATGATGCTGGTGTAATCTCTTCTTCAACCTCTTCTTCTTTTTCAAAACAAAAAGCACAGCGACTGCTACAAGAAGAAGAGAGAGAAGAGTTACTACCACTACTACTACAAATGTCGTTAGAAGAAGAAGCAACTGCGAGAGTGAACAACAAATCAACAAAAGCTCGGAGGATATAACGGTGAGTGTTTTTTGCATTGACGTTCAAGAACCAGTAGAGAAGGTCCTCGAGATCCTCCCAATCTTTGACGTTGTGCGTAGCCATCATGTCCTCCATGGACCTCCGGAAATCCACGTAAGGGTGCTTCGAATCCACGGAGAAAACTACGCTGTTTTTGAATGGTGCAAGGGTCGCGAGTTTGGCCTCCCATATGGAGCTGGTCTGGTCCGGTTCGAAGAAAAGTCGGTCCGAATGCAGGCCACGAATGACCGTCTCGGTGGGGTCCACACCGTGCGATATCTCGGAAGCAGTTGAGAAGCTGCCGGAGTTAGGCGAGTCCGTGAAGAACGACGTGGTTGACTTGGTGCCTTTGAAAACTTCGTCCTTATTGATGTTGGAGGCTCTAAATGAGAGGGTTCTGGGTTGGTGGCAAGAGGGCCAGGGCCATGAGGACGAAGAGAATCTGACATCGTTGTTGTTTTTCAGAAGAGAAAAGAACTTCATTTTTAAGAGGTGGTCGGAGAGAAAGTTCTGTGAAAAAAAAAAGGATTCAAATGGGTTTTGATGTTGCAGTTAAGTCCTTGGAGAGAGAGGTATTAATGGCTGGTCAGAAAATGGAGTGTGTGGGGAGAAGATTTTAAAGAAGGAGAGGGACAAGTTGAGTATACGTTTGGAACTACTTGGTGGGTCAACTCAATATACGTTCATATTTATGTTTTTCAGGCTTAGAAATAAATGTAACTCAGGAAATTTATTACACTCATTTAACTATCATTATAATTATAATTATAATTATATTCAATACTAAGGGTGGTTAGTTCTATATTTTGGGCTTCAAAAATGTAATGAAATTTAATAATATGAAAACAAAAATGTGGTGTAATAATTACTCATTATTAAAGTAAACAAACTCTTGTAACATTTAATAGGGTTATTATATAAATGTAAAACTGTTGATTGAGGATGATGTCGTTGGTACAGGGATAATAAATTTGAACTTTGTAAATAAAAAAATTAGTTGAAAAGAAATGCTTTATTAAAAAGAAGAGTTAGTCGGATTTTTTTATAAAAACTATGAAATGAAATCTTTAATGTGATTGAATGCGAGCATGCATTTGTTTAAAATTAGTTTATTTTTCAATGATTTTTTGTTTATTTTTACTTGTACATGTATCAAAAATATTCTGCTATTGAACATATATTAATTAGTGTGATGTCTTAATCCATAGTCTCGAATTCAAACTCTAAATACAAATACGGTTACGGGAAATATTTGGAGGAGTTACTATGTTGTCAATAATTATCTCTTTTAAAATATATAAACCATAAATTAAAAACAGGTAACATGTTAACATTTCAAAATTGAATAACTCTCGTCAATTTTGAAATTTGTTATTAAATGTGTTTGACTATGGCAATGAATATTTCACAAGTTAATTTTTGACTATTTTAATAATGACAATTTAATAATGTAAAATATAAGTGCAAACAATAAATTTAAATAGAAGCCATTTCAAATATATATTATTTAATGTATTTAATTTTCATGATTTGGTGAAATGTTTAGGGTTAATAAATTTGTTCCTAAATTTATATTGAATAAAGATAAGATTTTAAAAAATTATCATTTTACTTAACAGAGTTGAATTAATAATCTCATCATTTTTAACATGTTATTAAAATTAATTTTAGCTCTAAAGTCAGGGAATGTGTAGCGGGAGCTACGGGTGTAGCGCTATTAAAATTAATTTTAGTGATGCTTGAATATTAATTATTGTGGATTAAATAACTCATTTTAACTAATATTGGACTACTTATTCTTAATGTGAGGAAATATAATAATAAAAAAAATCCTCGTCAACCGGAGGAGTGTGATAAAATAATTTTTTCAATATGAGAAGGTTAATGAAAATTTCTCTTCATCTGATAAAAAAAGTTCTACTTAAAACAACGATGCACGTCCATCTTAAAAAAAGTTACATACTTAAATTAATTCTATAAAATCGATTCATCAAGTTTTGGATTATATTTATCTATACACTATAATGTTATTGTATATTTAATTGATGTGAATTTTTTATCTTACCGAATCAATTATGTATAGTTGAATTAAATATCTTATCATTTTTAATATAATGCCAGAATAAAAAAAACTAACTTTTTTTTTATTGTTATCTTAGATTAAGAGTTTATATTTTGTTGTAGGTCAAAAATATTATTTTTAATTATCTTGTGTCAAAAGTTATTTTTTTATTATAGATTAAAAGTATTTTTTGCCTAGTCCAACAAGATGGTATACTAAAAATATAGTATAATCTGTTTTATATTATATAATATAATGTGGTGTAAATAATTGTTAAATTATTTTATATCTTCTTAATTAATTTAATGTTAAAATCTTAACAAATTCGTTCATTCAAATAATTGCGTAGAGTTTTGTACGGAGAAATGAATAGTTTTTTATAAATTATATTTTTTTGTCTTTTAATAGTTATTTTTTAACTCGTTTTCCCCGGATAAATTTATATTTATCCCAAACAGTTATTTATATTAGTTTATTTTATTATTCAGGAGTCTATCTAAATTCATTGATTTCACTCTTCAAAGCATATATCTAAACCAGTTTTGAGATTAAAAATAAATCAAAATTTTATCAGATTAAAGTGAAGAATATTTTTAAGAAAAACTTATTTCAGATGAAAGATAGGATATAATAAAACAGTATCTTGATGAAAGTATTGTAATTGCGAGGTTAATATGGAGTTTGTAGTTTTGAAATTATTGTTTGGAGGTGAAGTACGAAAAGTTAATTTGATGTTTATGGTTTTTGTAATTGGAATCAAATGATTAGTGGCGGATGTTGATATTTAAGTTGGAGGGATTAAATAATATATTATTAATAAATAATAAATAAATATAAAATAAATATATAAAAAAAATAAAAAATAAAATAAAATTATAGATATATATTTAAATATATTAAATAATCATTAAATTTAAAGAAATAAAATCATAAATAAATTATATAAGAATTACAAAATAAAAAAAACTGACAAAATAGAATTATAAATATATTAATAAATATATTAAATATTTATTAAATTTACGTTCAAAATCATCATTTACATACAAGATATAAAATCAACTGTCATGAGTAATACTATGAATGTTTCTCACTTAAATCTTATGCAGATGATATGCAACAACTATTTTAAATAATATATCTTCTAAAACGATCATTAACATCACTCATCACTTTGACAATTTCATTTGAATCAAAATAATAATGACATTGATTAATAAACATTAACAAAAAAGTGAATGAAATTTTGAATCGAGTTTGTCATATTATAGCAACCAAGTTCTTTATTACATAACATTTACGTTACATCTGACATATCATGCCTGATTCATTAATTGATTATATTTACGATAATCTCCATCACTGTCTCTTCTTTCTCAAATTGAAAAAAAAAATGAATGATGCCATTCGTAATTAAAATAACTGTAACTGGTTCGTTACCGTTTTTGCCACATTTTTTAAACAATTATTTGAGCTCATTGACTTATATTGCTTGTTCAAGAAACTCACCACCCAACCTTAACTAAAGTTAAGATCCAGAATATTACAAATCTCACTTTTTTTTTTCTTTTTCTTTTTTGGGTGCTCACTTCTACTAAATTTGAATTAGACTAAGTCCTTTCTTTTTTTTTTTTGTTAGGTGAATTAAATGAATTATTTAATTAAAAAATCAATTTTTTAAAGATAATTAACTTTTTCTTAATCCAGTTTGGTACGTTATATTTCTGTTTCATTTTTTCTACCAACAGTTATAGAAGGTTTTAAATAATGTGAAAAAGAAACATTAAAAGAACGACATAAATTCAAAGGAGAAGCTATTTTGAAAATTGGCACATTAATAGCCTCACCTAATAATATGTTACATCTTATTGTCTCACGATTCTGTGGAGTAGATTCAAATTCATGTTGTGAATGAGATAGTAAATGATGTAATTGTATAAGATAAATTCGAGTGGGAGAAACTTTTTCAGTTACTATGAAAAATTTAAATTTTAAAATTATAATAACAGGTATATTTTATATAAAAGTCATATGAAATTACTAACAAAACTTATTCTAATTTATTACGGTTAAATAATTTAACAGGTATATTTTAAAACATAAATTTATTATTTTTATTATTATTATTATTATTATTATTTAGTAATAATTTATTAATTTAAAGTCTTTTATCAAATTAATTTATAATATATATATATATATATATTTATAAAATAATATTATTTTTATTTTATTTAAAAAAATATTATTTTATAAAATAAACAACTTATGAATTTATTAATCAAAATTTATATAAATTATAACCTAAAAAAAATAGGAAAAAAATAGATGGATTCAATTTAAGTTATCATTATTTTATATAACTTAATTTATTTTTTAAACTTTTTGACGTATCAAGTTAAACTTACACCAATCATTATGGAAAAATTTTCACTCCTCTCACCCAGAGTTTTTTCTTGACCATGCCAATTGTTTGTTTTGAAGAAAAGAGAAAGCCGAACAAAAAAAAAATGAAAGTCAGAATAAACCTATCTAATTTTACGATTTTAAATATATTTTTAATTCTTACAACTCAAATTATCTCCATTTTTAATCTCTGCGTTAATATTATCTTTTAATATTTAACGTCAACTCTAGTTAATTTAATTTATAAAATAAAAAATATTAATTAATATGATAATGTAAAGTAATGTGTTTGGAGTGTTTCTATTATTGAATTTTATTTTTATTTTTTAAATTAGTTTAAGTTGATGAGTGGAACTTTACTTAGGTCAGGTGGTCAATAAATTATGTTATTCTCAAATTACACAAACATACCCTAATTATTAAATATAAAATAGTATAAAAATTAAATTTCATACAAATAAATATAAAAATATATTATGAATTAGATATTTCAAAATGTTTGTAGAAAGATCAATTTAAAAATACATTTTAAATTAATTTTTCGAAAACATAGTCTAAAACATCTAAAATATATTTTTGGATTAATATTTTTACAAACAAATATTAAAATAATTATTTCAAAATATATTTTAAAAATAAAAATAAAGAAAAACTAAAATTTAATTTAATTATTTGGATGCAGGAAGAGCCTAAATAATTTGTCCTCAATTAGTAAAAAGAAAAAAAAACTGACATTATATTATGGGCTAAAAGCCCATTATGATTTTTAAATGTATTTTTTTGGCACGACGAAGCATGATTTTAAATATCCTAGAAAAACTTTTTCTATCGAGAAAGATTTTATATGTTGGGCTCTAAATCTTCGTTGGATACTTATTGGAATTTTCTTGTACAGTGTTTTAGCAAAGATAAACTTACCAAAAAATCGATCTTTCATGTTATTTTCAAAAAATTCCAGAAAAATTTATACTCATAAACATCCTAAGTGTATTAAAGTTGATTAAAAAAAACAAATTTTTTATCTAGTAGTTATCTATTTTTTAAATAATTTAAAAATAAGAATAAAAATAATCTTTATAAAAGATAATTTAAAGTGTTTTTAAATATATTTTAAATTAAGAAAATGCATTATTTTACTTGCAAGATCAATAACTAATGAAAAAACACACAACTTGTATATTAATATCACAAAATCACATAGCTAATTGATAAAAGATAAATAATAAAAAAAGAAGATAAATATCTTTTAATCTCACTATTTATTTAGAGCTTTAATTAATTATTTTTTATGCAATTCCTTTTTTAAATTGATATAACTAATTCCTTTTATATTGTGTATTTGTGATACAATATATCTTATCTAATATTTATTATAGATTTTATTCTTATAGTTTTAAATATAATAAAACAATTTATTTTAAAATATTTTGTTGATGGATATATTTAATTGAAAATGCATTTTATATAATCAATCATAATAATAATAACTAATTAAAAAAATGAATGAAGTTAGAATTATTACTATAATCATTATTATTATTTTGATGATTAATTTTATATATTATATATATTATATCGTTTATCTTATCTTAAGGATGTAGATTATATCTAGATAGATTATATTAATGATGACATTATTATTTTTATAAATAGTATTATTATTTATTTCTTTTTTCAATCTTTGCAATAACTGATTGTATTTGGATGTAGATATATTTAAATGATAAATAATAATCATATCTATTTAAGGTTATAGTTATATTTATATGATAGATAAATTATATTAACTTTTTTAGAGATTTATTATATTTAAAACGGTAAATAGAAAACAGACAGTAATACGCATTTATTAGAAAATATATTAGTGATGAGAGAGATGACATAATAATAAGAATGGTGATATTTTGACAACTAGAAACTATACAACCCTTCAAACAACTCACTTTTATTAATATAATAATCAATAGACTGATTTAATAAAAATAAAATAAAACTATTATTATAATATTAAACCAGAGTTGTTTACAGGAGTTGTATGGATTTGGGTTGTCAAAGTATCATTTTCCTAATAATAAACTACGAGATAAATTATCCAATAAAATAAATAAATTTAAGGAATGTAGAAATGAAAATTTAATAAACTGGTATAAAAAAACACTCCAAGTTGTAATAGTAAGAGGAAGAGAGACTAAAACGTAAAATAATTTTTTTATCAGAAGCAAAATTATTATAAGAACTAAAGAAAAATGGTTCGCATTGCAAATATTAGAAATATATTTAAGTAATTTATGTATATATTCAATCATATTTTAAGATTTAAAATTGAATTTATAGAAGTTAAATTTAAATCAGAAATAAAGTGTCACTAATAAATTAATTTGGGCAAAAGAATTAGAGGTTCCTCCAAACCAATAAATATAAGGAAATCTGTTAAAATTTCCAATTATGCAATAAGTGTATTCCATTGTATAATTGTAAATTGTTTAAATACATAAATTGTTAGGATATTTATTGATAATTTATTCTCAATTATTAATCTGTAATTCTTTTAATACATTTAAGTAGAATAAAAATAAGGGATGGAAGATTTTGATATTGAAAATAGAAATGTATTTACATCTATTATAGATATAATCTATAAAGAAATCATTAAAAACTTTTAAAATCGTTCAAATGTTATATTGATCTATCGACATCAGTATAAATACTATTAGAATTTTATAAGTATGCAGTAATTTACAAGTTATTTTTAATTTAATATAATTGTAAATTATACTGTTGCAAGTGCAGTGGAATGAAAGTGAAATAAAATGTGTATACAAATACACAATTTATTTTGTAACATCTTGAGATTTGATTTTGAACAATCGAAGTGCAATGGTAGAGAATTGGGGAAATTAGCATTGATACCGCTCAAAAATACAAAGATCCGTTTGTGCATTTCACAAAGAAAAATAATTAAAAACATATCTTTAAATTATAATAATTAAACATTTTCAAAGTTTATTTAAATTTATTAGTTTTCAAGAATTATAACATTTAAAAACTCCAAAGTAAAATCAGTATCATAAAAAACTATATAATGTTTTTTAGAGCAATATATAATGTTACGTTGAACGTCGCTTAATTGTTTTTTAATTGTTTTTTTATATGAAATATGATTCTTAAAAGTAAAATAATCAAACAAATTTCATTAAATTAAATAAGTAAGAAAGTAAAAGTAAGATCAATTTCAATAACATTTGGAAAGGTATTATGCAAAATATTAACTCTAAGTTTACTATTGATAAATATTTATTGAAACAGCAATTTTTTTTAATTATACAGTATCCACGTTTACACCATTTAAAAACTCACATCAAATTTGTCACCAAAATAGGTCTTTTTTTAGAATTCAAGTCCGAGAAAATAAAATCAACAAAGACAGTTTTGGCTTCCGAGTTCTACAATATTATTTGGATTTTAAAACACAAATTCACAATTGTAAATATTCAATGAGTAATATCAGTGTCCTAGTAACTGGGTAACTTTGATTTAAATCAGAAACGTGATTAAATTTATGTATTTTCTTTGATAGCTGACTGGTTTATTTGAAAATGATGTAAAAGTGAAGCAAAAGCAAGAGAAAGCACATCCATTGCGAAGGCAGAAAGAAAATAAAGCAGAGCATTAATCGAAAGCAGCTTTGTGATTAGAAGGGAAAATACTAGTTAAGAAGAGTTGCTTTCGAAATATTTGACACACAACATTTTAATCAAACAGACCCCCTTCAGTACAGTTGACAAAGACAACAAAACAACTCTGAAGCCATGGAGATGGAAATATCTTTTGGGGCATTCCCCTATATGTTCTTGAATTCAGAAGGAAGGATCCACAAAGCATTACACACTATATATTGCATACACCATATGCAATACCATCTGACATCTATACCCTTTTCATTGCTAAAAGTAGGTACCTTCTGGGGGCTGAACAAGCTTCCGGTTATGCGGAGCTGCCATTTCCTTCTTCAGCTGGGTCAGTATATCCTCCATGGTGTACTCTCTTTGCCAATTTGCAAGAAGACCAAACTTCTTTGGTTCAACCTGTTTCATTTGCCACACCGATAACCAGTTATTAACATGCAAGATGAACAGGATTTCACGTCAACAAAATATAACAAGTGTCACAGGATGGAACCTAGTCAATCCATGCTTTCAAATAAAGCAAGAATGAAATATATTCCATTATTCCCTTCTTCCCGAAAACCCATATCAAACATGATTAGATATCTCTTTAGTAAAAGAGATCTCAAGTTATCACAAATTGAAAATATTGAAGTGAAAAGCACAGTTTAATTACCCCACCACGCACTGCAAAATATTTATAAAATGAACACATGTGGAAAATTATAAATGATACCACTCCAGTTTCATGATTAACACAGGTCATGTTGATCCGTGAATGAAACCGAACACTTGGGGGCTTTTCTGGGTAGTCTTTATCACAAAACAGCTTCAGTTGATAGATTCTTCCTTCATGTACAGTCTAACAGAAAAGATAAATGAGAAGAACACAATTATAGGACCTGCAAGCAGCCTTTTAACTATAAACAAAATAAACAAATGAGAAGAACACAATTATAGGACCTGCAAGCAGTCTTTTAACTATAAACAAAATAAACGCATATGAATTATAAATTATATAGAAAAGATAAATTTATCACAAACTTAGAGATTTAAGGAAAACCAAATTTTCATAACACAACTTAAAGTCAACAATCCAACAGAAAATTGTAAGGCATGTATGTTCAAATTAAAGAAAAGCAAAAATGCGCCATAGCAACACACAACTATCAACCTCTGCACCGTAGCAACACAAGTTTTTTTTTTTTCACACTAGATAATGCTACTCAAATCCTCACTCACTGTTAATTATGAATAAGACTTATTAATAATGGATTTTTTAACTGTTCATATAAATTATTTAGGTTAGATTATAAACTTTGGAACAACAGTTCCCTTTGACATTATTGGAGCCAGCCTCTTTGTACTGCTACAAGCTATTGTTGATTATGGTTAGACACACATTAATGAAGATTAATATACAGAAGTTACACAGAAGTATTTACATTATGGGGGCCAATTATGGTGCCAGTCCAAGAGCGCATGTAAATGTCGTCACCATCATCCATGCCATAGCTAACTGTACCGTCTCCAATACCTTTTTCTCCTCGTTCAAGCTCCTCCAGCAATCTGAAGTTCCTTGGAACTGCAGTTAAATGTACAAATATTTAATAAAACACGAACATTTTTTATTTGAAAAGCACAATGTAACTAATTATTGTAGGATCCATGTTTGATAACAATATCTTCAAAAATTGATAAAATTCTTTAACCATGAAAAATGGTACACCATACTTGAACCATGATTCATTCATTAACAGTGTTATTAATGGACAAGAGTAGAATGTGTCAGAAGGCCAAAATTCTGCCCTATAAACAAGTCATTGCAGCCAATAGTGCCACAAGTGCAGCTAATGGAACCACCATTGCAGGCCTCCTTTTGACAAATTGCCTATGGTGGTTGGAAAAAAATCCACCATGGCACCACCACTTGAACAATTTTTCACTGATTTATTTTACTAGTACACCAAATAGAACTTTCTACATTCACCAGGCATTTGTTAGGACTTAAGCACAAGAGGAAAGCCTAACCAAAAAGACTAGTCCATTAGGTGGGAGAGCCTCAATGCTTAAGTACCACACCAAGTATCTCATCCTACTCAATGTGGGACTCCACATCATCAATAATGACAACAACAAAAGTTTTATCCACTACCAGCCAACTAGAACAATAAGAGGTTATAAGGTTAAAATAACAACAGCCTGTGACGAGACAATAGTTTTTAGACTCTTCACCATCCATGCATTTTCTACTGTAAGAGATCAGTATGCTTTAGTTCCAAATACACTTTTAGTTAACAAGTATATGCATGCTATTGACAGAAAAAGTTGACAATAAACTTAAGTCACCACTGTCAATCCCACTACTTCAATTCAAAAGGCATGCATCATAAAACATGAAAATTATGGACAAGTGCAGCTGCAAGTTGGGGACGTAAAAAGCCTCGAAGTTGCAGCTGAAATCACAGTCGCGGACAGATTTTTAAAACCTTGCTACAGGTTTGCTACAGGTTTCAAGGATACAGGTTTCAAGGATACTTTTTCTTCACGCTCACCTAACTTCAATGAATGAAGTTTATGAAATATGATCAGAACGTTCCATCTGAAGAAAAGACGCAGTAAAACGATTCTTTTAACAAGAGCAAGCAAACAATAGTAGCAACAAAACACACATTCCCCAAAAGAACATACCAATGCAATAAAAGAAACCGAGGTTACAAAACATTGTATTTAACATGATCACAAAAATTAAAAGCACCCAAAAAAATTCTTCTCGAAAAAGGAAAACAAAACACTGGACTAAAAACTCCTAGCTAGGAAAGCGCAGCCAATGATCCAAAATTCCTACAACAAAACACAACACAAACAGAAAGCCCCAAAAAGAAACAAATAAAAAAGAATTGAACAAATAAAAAAGCGAACACAGAATGTTTTAGGTCAACGGAAAGAAGAGGAAAGAAAAAAATCCGAAGACCCAGAAGAAAAATTTGGATAATAAAATATATGGAAAAGCGAAGGGGCGTGGTTGACAAGCGTAGAGAAAGATGAGTGAGGGACTGACCCACGACACTGGATCCTCCTGAACCAAGCGTCATGGATGGGTGGCAGAGGGTTTTGGCAAGATTGGGGTTGCGGATCTGATAGAAAGAATCGAAATTTGGCGAGGGAAGAGGGACGCGGCCAGGAAGAAGAATCTGGGTTGGTGATGGAGGCGATGAATGATGAAAGGGTGGGAAATGGGAATAAAGAAGGAAACAAGGGATGTCGTAAGAAGAAAGAACGATAAATACTTTCGCAATAAACAATAACTATTGGTCCCCGATTGTTTCTCTATGGACCAAATGGGCTCGTTCTGTTTCGGCCCACTGGTTAGTCATTTTCAATTTTTATTTTAGGAATATGTTATTGTATCCTTATCCTTTTATTTAATGCATTTCTGAAATGTTTTGTCATGCTTTTAATTTAAAGTGATAAATGATTGATTCAAGAATAAAAAGCATTCATTGTTAATCTTCTTACTTTTATTTATTATAATTATAAAAATAGTATATATATATAAACTATTATTTTGATATATTAAATATTATACTTCTACTTTTAAATCTTTAAAAGATGTTCATATTTGTTCATATTATTAATTTACTGAAAATAATGTAGTCTAAGTAGAATAAAATATAAAAGTAAGGACATGTATTTAACAAAAACTCATATAAGATATTTCTTATCTTGAAAAATATAAAAAAATATTTATGATGCTACATCATCATTTTAAAGTAATTATTGACTTTATTTTATTATAAATTTTTTTAAAAAATTTATTCTTTCTTTATTTATTTTTATAAGTTGCTTGATGAAATACTTATAAACAAAATTTAAACACTACGTAGGATTTATATTGTAAAAAATTATTTTGAACAACTAATATTTAATTTAAGTATAATATAATAAGTAATTCTCGTTAGAGATGCTCTAATAATATTATAAGATGATAAAGTAATATTATTCTTATTTCATGTTTAATATAAATAAGTTTTTAAAAATTAATGAATTAATGATGATTAAGTCTTTTAATGTATCTTTTTAAGATGATATAATGATTATTATTAATTTTTTAATTTATCAAATTGATTTAAATTAAAATTAAAATAAAATAGATAAATCTAAATTAATTGTTTATTATATTTAAATATTAAATTATAATTTTATAATTAATTAGCAACAAATAAAAACATGAGTATGTTTTTTAAATGTTAACTTTAAAATATTATAATAATTCTGTAGTGTAATATTTAATTTATTTATGAATTTGAAATAAAATTTAATTATGATATGAATATACCAGCAATTATATAAAAAATTATAATTATAATAACCAAAACTACAAAAAGTTATTAAACAAAACAACAAATTTTATTTATAGTAAATTTTAATTTATTTATGAATTTAAAATAAAATTTAATTATAAATATACCAGCAATTATATAAAAAAAATAAAATTATAATAAAAAAATTACACAAATTTATTAAACAACAAGTTGCTGTAACATAGGAGGCCCAAAGTCTACGACACCGAGAAGACATTTCTTAAACAAGTTGGTATAACATAGGAGGTCCAAGGTCTAAGATAATGAGACTTCAAAAATTAAATATTTTAATTTAGTTGGCGATGATATTTGAATATAAAACCATAAACCTAGAATTTACCTATTTATAACATTTGGAGCAAACTACTTTGCTTATAAAATTATATTATTTTATTTAATTATAAATTAAACAACACACTAAATATTAAATCTGCACTTTAAGATTATGAAATTTAAAAAGAGGTAACAAATAATTTTTTATAAGAATATCTCTGCATCATAATTTTTTGTTTACATTTTCTGATCTTATGAAAAAATTTCCAGGATAAAAGAAACTTTAAAGAAGAAAAGAATAAGATTGTTCTTGAATCTTGATGGTTGTAAGTGTTGTATGAGGGGTTATGTTTTGTTATTTATAGTGATTCTATAAATGGTTTTGGTGGTATTTATGGTGGCGTTTCATGAAGGTTCACAGTTGTTTGGATGGTGCAGGTCTACAAAATTGAGTTTGTTGGATGATTATTTGATGGGTTATGATCCATCTTAAATTTTGAGTACATTGGTGAAAGTTTTGACTATTTTTGGAGTAGTTCAATGTGAGTTTTATAGTGTTTGGATGATGATGAGGGGAAGATTAAATATGATAGCAACAATCTAAATAAGAAGAAAGAAGATAAAGAAAAAGATTAGAATTGAAAGAAAGAAAAATTAAATGGAATAGACTTTTTTTCTTAAAGCCAATTAAGATTTTGACTTGAGAAAGAGTTGAAAATTATAAAGAACTTTGCGTTACTCAAACTGCATGAGATAAGCAAAGTAAATTGATTAACCACTTGATAAAAATCCTAATAGAGAAGAACTTTCGACCTCTCTCAAATGACTTTTATTCTTAAAATAAAATGTTTATAAAAGACACTTCTTATGTAAAAAAACAAAGGGAGAAAAAAAAAAAGACTAAAAAGTTCCTCTCTTTTATACATGCAACTTACTAATTATTTTTTATCATATTCTTCTTATCTAAAATTATACTAAGTTTATTGATAAAAAATTTTATTTTTATGTAAAAGTATTATATTTTTGGAACTCTTCTTTAAAAAAAGTGAGTTTGGATTTTATGTTATGTTTGTTTCTAATTATATATTGTACTAAACGATTTTAAGAAGAAAATGTATGAGTATTTGTTTGTTTTTACTAATTTAAATTTATTAATAATGAAGTTTTGCTAATTGATTTTGAAAATATCGAGAAGTTGAATAATAAATGTTTTAATTATCTTCATTAATTTTTTATTTGATAATTATATATTTTATCTAAGAAGTTCATTATACTAAAAATATTATTATTCAATTATCCTATATTCAATAACATCTATTATAATAAATTCATTTAAATTTCTTTAAATTTATTACCTTTCTTCAATTTAAATAACATTTATTTGAAATAATATGTACTTGAGTTAATAAGTTGGTTTGCGTACCAACTTAAAACAAAGTTAAACATATTTATTTTATAATATTAATTTAAGTAAACAAAATTAGTTAAAGAGAAGGTTAAATTATTTATATATTTAAAGAACTAAAACTATAAAATAAATAGAAAAAATAATTATATATTTTGATATTTTTTTAAGAGTATTAAAATTAAAAAAAGACATAATAAAAAAATTATAACTAAATTTTTAATATAAATTTTCTTTTATTTTTAAAAATTCATTTATTTTGTCAAGTTGATAGGTTAATTAAAAACCAATAACAAGTGACTAAGTGGATTGAACTAATTTATTTTATCACTTAAATATGTTGTTATATATATATATATATATATATATATATATATATATATATATTTATTTATTTATTTAAATTGAATTTCTTTACCAGGATTTCATATTCATTTAAAAGATCTCAAATTACATGTCTATGTATGTGTGTCTCTTACTCTCATTCTTGAACCCCTTCAATCCACACAAACAATAATCTATTTTCTGACAAAATTCATTTATAGATAATTTTTTTTTCATTTTCTAGTAATTTAAAATTTTATAGATCTCAATCTTTTTATTTTGTGCAAACCAATCAAAGGATTAAGTAACTTTTAATTTGACTTTTTCTTTTCTTAAAATTGAGCCCAACAGTCTTTGTATAAAAGCCCTCCTTCAAACGTATAAATAATTCGTTTTTTAGAAGAAACAATTATTTTTTAGAAGAAACAATAAAATAAATAGTTTTTATAAAAAACTATTTATAAGGGGTTTAGTAAAGCTTTTTCACTTCTATTCCAATACAAATATACATATTATATATATATATATATATATATATATATATATATATTTTTATTACTTTACTTCCCTAAAGTTTTTAAACTATTTTATTTATAATTTACTTATTTTTATTACTCTATAATAAGAATTTTTTTAAAAATATTTTTAAATAACAGTGTAGAAAAAGTTTTTTTTTCACTATAATATATCAAATTAAACATTTTGTCATTCTTGTTAAATATTTATTATTTTTAAATTTATTTCAAATTTTTATTTTTAATTTAAAATAAATAACTCTAATACAGATTTAACTTATCTAATCATATATTTTTTTATATAAAATATTTTAATGAGAAAAACAAAGATAAATTATTTTCTTTAAATTTTGTGTCATTGTTCACTTGCAATCACACGGAAACGAAAGGGTTGGCTTCTCTATGATTTCTTCACTCATGAGATTTTAGGTTATAAGATTGTTTACTTCTCTTCTATCTATCATATTCTCACTATTCAAATCACTATTATTCACTACCGTGATCAGATCCAAGTTGGTAGTTTCAAAAAGAAAAGCGTAGACCCAGCTGTTCATCGCGGTACTAATCCTTTAATCATCTGTCTTTTAGTTAGGGTTTGTTGTTGTCTCTTTAATCATGTTGTTAGATTAAATTCATGTTTTATCTTTTTTTGTTTATTAAGAAGTGCGAGACGTATTTCCCATTCTTTTTATGTGGAAAAGAATATGAAAATTAGTTTAGATAAATTTCTGTTCCAACATTATCGGTTCTTGTGGTTATAAAGGGTGAATATGTGAGGATCATGTTGTTAATGTGTTCTTTTAATTCCTAATGCTGCAGATGTCACTTTATGTTGGTAATCTGTCAGAAAATTCTCGAAGAGATGAACTTGAACGTGTCTTCCGTAGATTTGGCCAATGTAATTTTCAACTGAAAAGAGATGGTTATGGCTTTGTAGTATTTGATTTTCCTCCGAATGCAGAAAAGGCTCTGAGAGCATTGAAAGGTAGAAATATTTGTGGAGAACAGTTGACACTAACGTGGTCCAACAAACAGCCTAATACACAATTTTCTAGAAGGGTTGGCAGAAGAAATGCAAATGAGTTACAACATGTCACTGAAAGAATAGGATATGCTAGAAGGAAAATGGGTTTGGGTGGATGGTCGAATCAGAAGATGGAAAGGGGAAATTCAGTGGGTGTGCCTCATGAGGAGAGGGAATATCTACGTGATGATTTCAAAGGTTATGTTGGGGAGGAAAAGGATTATGGGGAAGACTTTCCCAACCAAGGAGGTGGAGTTATTCCTAACATAGAGGAAAATGATAGATGGGGTGAGCCAGTTCATGACCCATCAGTTGACAATGGGAATGGAAATGTCATTGAGTTTGATCGTTATGAACCTTATCAGGGTCATGATAAAAAGCATGACAATGAAGATTATCATGTTGGGTACTCTGATGGTTCTCCTGTATCAAATTCACAAGAGAATATGGGCCGAGCACATATTGGGGAGATTACCACAAATCGGCCAAATGGTCCAAAATTCCATCAAACCTGTTTTAGATGTGGTGACCCAGGTCATAAAATTCGAAATTGTCCAAAAGAATATTCTTCGCATTGGAGACACAATAGGTTGAGTGTTCGGCAAAATAGTAGGACATTCAATGACAATGAACATGAGAATAAATTTGGATATGCTTCCCGGGCTAAGCTACAGTTGAATGGGGATGTTTTGCCAATGAGGCAGGAAAGAGTTGGGAGGAGGATGTCTGTAACCAGGGAGTGTGAAGGAAAGGAATATGGAAGAAAGAAGCGAAGCAGAGATGAAATAAAATTGCCTAAAAGGTACAAGGCCAAGATATGCAAGAGGTCAGTTTCATCCTCTCTGCCATCTGATTCCTCTGCATCTCGCTCTCTGTCAAATTCTCAATCTTCCGAGTCATTGCGCAAGTCTAGTTCCCATTCTAGATCAAGACCACTGTCTTCTAGATCGCATTCTCCATCATCAAAATTAAAGTCTTCCTCAAAATCTCAGTATTGTAAGGGTAAAAGTTTGAATTCTAGGAGTGTATCACTCAATCTGCCTTTATCATCCTCTCCTGATAAAATACAGTTAAATTCAAAAAATTCATCCATTAATGGTACTGCTGTTGAAACTGTGGATAACTTTGATGCACAAGAACAACAGCTTGGTGACAGTAAAATAGAATTGGAGAATCTGCAATCGAAGGACACTGTAAAAGGAAAAGCTGCAGGATTTGTGGAGAAGAGCCAACTTTTACAGGAGGACACTCCTAAAAATCATACATTATTAAAATCATCTGATAGAGTTACAAATTTAAATGGACCACCTGTTGAGAATTTATCAACACTGACAGTAAAAGATACTGAGGTTCTTAGACGTTCTGTATCACAGATATTGGATGATGCTCCTGAAATTAATGTCAATATCCATCCGGATCTTTCAACCATTGTATCTATGGAGGAGATGCACATGGTTCTCAGTAATTGTGACTTGAAACTCCCTAGAGAAGATGAAAACAATTCAACAATTGATGCATTCTTTGGTTGTGCTCGTTTGTGGCCTTGGCATCTTGTTTATTATCGTAGATTGAAGAAAGGCCCAATTTCAACTGAGAACTATGCCAGACGGATTATTCAAAATCAGCAATTCGGCATTATTGATAAGTATATAAGAAGCAGTAGTGGTTGGGGAGAGTTTAGTCTTAAGAAGTCTTAACTGTTCATCAGACTAAAAGAATCTAGATGTGATGACTAACTAGTATGAGTTTACTCAAAAAGGTAATTATGCAAAACATATTATAAGGCTTATATACATTTCTTTAATGGGTTGTATCTTGTTCATGACACATCATTCACATTATTTTCATAATCATATTTGATAGTTGTTCATCTGATAAGTATCGGAAGAGGTCTTAACTGTTCATTAGACTAAAATGAACCTAGATGAGTTTGCTCAAAAGGTAATCATGCATTATGTATGGTTTTTAATGCATTTATGTGTTGTATCTTGTTCATGACACATCATTCACATTATTTTCATAATCATATCTGATAGTTATTGAGCAAAGCACTGAAGTGACCTAGTGCATAACATGATAATCATTACTGCGGATACCAGTTAATCAAATACAGACTTTGATTAGTTGAGAAGTATGCAAATATTGAACATTGGAACATTGATGATTGTCACAAGAATGATTTGCCACAAATATAAGATGACTTAATATGGACAGTAAAAAAAAATAAATTATTGATTAGAAATATGATATTTGGTTAATAAGATTGATGTAAGTGTTTTTATACATATTTAATTTTGGATAAAAATAAAAATAAAAAATTAAAGAAAAATATCATTATGTACTTTTGAAAAGAAATGGATAGTGTGGGCAGAAAGATAGAAGATGTGAGACACATCCAGTGTGAGAGATGTAGAAGAAATGTAGTGTGCTTTAAGTAGATGAATTGCATGATGTTTGCAAATGTTAAAGGATTCAACTAAACAAAGGCTATGTTGAGGACTATGCATGGAGTTTGCAAAGGGTAAAGGATACAACCAAGTATAGACTATGTTGATGGTTATTTAGCACTTTCAAGTATAGACTATGTTGATGGTTATTTAGCACTTTCAAGTAGACTATGTTGATGGTTATTTAGCACTTAAACGTATAGACTATGTTGATGGTTATTTAGCACTTGATTCATATTCAATCAAGTTGAAGTTTTTGTAATTTAGCAGTTCCATCTTCAACCAAGTCGAAGTTTCTGATAATGTAAATATGGAATAGAACATTCTAAATACATGTACTGAAAAATTCTTAATTTTTTTGTTAAATTATTTTATTATCAAGTCTATTTTACTGATTTTTTTTTTTAATTGAACTCTATCCCATCATTAATCTGAGATTACTTGCTTCATTTTGGACTTTCCATCTTATACAAAAAAAAATTGTTCATGTCATATTGATCCACCTAGAATTTGTTTAATGCTTTTTTTTTTGGTTAATCCTTTGAAAGTGTTCAACCCATTTTTAGGCGATTGATGATACATTTGTATCCTTTCCTATCAATAGTACAAAACAAATATTCTTGTGAAGTAAGATGGTTTATGGGTTACATTCCTTGGTAAAATCTGATTTATATGTGTAACAGGTAGAAATGATTAGATGGATTAGACTAGTGTTAATGTAAGGTTATAACAAATTTAGTAATTATAATTTAAATGAGTTATATAACTATTAATTTAGATTATGTATTTGCTGGTTTTTGAAATTTGGAAAATTCTTAACATGCAAGGATCAAGACTTGTTTAATTTAGTTGTTAAAAATAGTTTTATAACACAGTTTAACCAAAATTTGATTGCTGACATAATGAAAAATATATGTTTTGTTGAGAAATATAGTTTATTTCAATGGTATTTATGTCTTGAAAGAAATAAAGGATATGCTTTGGTGTAAAAATAAATAAATAAATAAATAACATGAACTTCCTTAAAGTTTAATTTTTCACCCCTAATAAATATGCAGTCACATATTCTGATAGATTGAAGCCATGTTTTGTTTGTATACTGGAAAACTATGGACATGCATTTATGAAAATTAAGGAAATATTTATTGAGTTTTTATGGTTGGCTTTATCATAGAGAAAACAATGTGCTCATCATCCTATATTGTCAAGGATAAAAATATTTTCTTCTTATTATTTTATCATAAAATATTTTAATTTTTTTATTATTAAATTTGAAAGAGAGGATAAGTAAGCAAAAGGCTAAAGAAAATGAATGGGGCTTGAGGGATTTGTGGGATTTTAGTTGACCAATCACTACAATCCAAAGTGAAAATGAATAGGGAATGGGTGGGTATTATTGGTATAACAAAATATCTCCCTCATCTCCACCGTTTCAATTACTCTTTGCATTTGTGTGTATTAAATGATCTTAATAAACTCCCCAATTCACAGAGGGATTATCTATCGACTTTCAATCGTGGATAGATATAAAGGAATCATTTATAGTAGTTATCTTGGAACATGGTCAAAACGTTAAGAGGGTCTAAAATTAAACCGATTAAAAAATTTATAAAAAAATAAAAATCAATTAAAATTATTTTTTATTGAAATTTACAATCTCTTTATTGATAATTTTTTTATATAATTTAACAATTTATTTATAATAATCATTCAGTAATTTTGTATTAATAAAATTCAAATACTATATTTAAATTAAATCGTAAATATTAATTTGATTTAATTCACATTTTATATTAAATTAAATTTAAATCATTTTTAATTTTATGTTTGATTAAGTGACTATTCAATACAAAATTATTCCACCCAAGTCACAGACCTCCTTATTATTATATACTACCCTTAATTGTTACAAACAATTTATCAAGAAATAACTACTCTTATTAGTTTATTAGATTACCATTTTAAATTTTGGGAAAATTTTCAATAGTAAAAACTCACTATACTCTAAAATTTTCTTGGGGTAAAAAAATGCCATTTTTTTTTTAATTTGTAAAACATTATAAAGAAAAACTTGTGTAAAATCTAACTTAATTTATTTTTGTATGAATTTTATGAGGAAATTTATTTTTGGTTTAGAAATAGGTTCATTTTTTTATTCTTCTTCTTAAGTTTATCTGATAAAAATGTTAGAAAAATTCTTCTAAGGATATAAAAGACAAAAGTTCCACCTAAGTAGTACTTTAATCTTTTACTGTGGCTCACACTGTTGGTAGAAGTTCCATTTGACTCTCCAGTTAATGAATTCTTCACGGCATGAGTCTTTGTTATTATTTTCAGGAATTGGTTTTTAGTTTCTTTGGAGATTACAGACTTCATTGTCCTACTAATATTAAAGAATCTCTTTTGAGTTTAATCATAATTAAAGACGAATATTGCGCTGTTGATTATTCATAAACCTTTTTTTTTGGACAATTTTAAGCAAGATCATGTTCTCATATGGTTTCTGTTTCTGGTGGAATTTCGATCGATTTCGATTCTAAGGGTGTTTTGGTCCTAATCAAAATCCTACCACGTAAGCTCTTTTTACTTAGGGTAACAATTTGGTTTTCAATCGAAAACGTGTATGAAAATCGAAAACTCCAGGATATCGAAAATACTGTTTTTGGTATTTTGTATTTAAAGTATCGAAAACATTTAGACTATCGAATAGAAAAGCAGAATATTAAATTGCGAGGAAATGTAAAGTGCGAAAACCCCAAATTTGCATTAATTGTAAATGACAAGAAATCGAAATTTGCAGAATGTTAAATAACAGAAAATCTAAATGCAGAAACTCAAATTTTCATTGAATTGAAATGGACAAGGAATCGAAATACAGAAACATAAAACTGCTGAATTTAAGTTGCATCAAAGTAAATTACCAAGGAAAATACAGAAAGCGGTAAATGTACTCGGTGAGCAAGGAAATCCAGATTGCCAGAAGCTTCATGGTGTTCGTCGTTTCTCCGGTAGACTTTTCACTAGCGTTTCTATTGTCTCTGCCAATTTCTGCTCCCCCTGTTCCTTCCTTCTTTGCTTCTATTTATAGGGCATCCTTCAAGCCTTCTAAGAGCGGTTAATACGATCGCTACCACGTTCTACGTGCGTATGACGGTTTATCTTCTAGTTTCCCACGTTCTCACGATCTCCGACTTTTACCCATGATTTCAAAACTGCTCTCTATACATGCATTCGACTTACTTCCCTTCACGATTTGGCCAAAATCTCGATGTCCCCATTGGCTTTCTTTATTCTCGATTCTATATTTTTCGAGAACTTCGAATTGCTCACGATTCCTTTTTAATCCCGATCTTATATGACTTAGTTTTTATTCGACAACGAGTCATTTGATTACAATTCATTCGATTCTCGATTGTGTTTCTCGATGCTATATGCTACGTATTTTTAATTAGACATCGAATGAACTTTTGTTTATCTTATCGAGTCATATTTCTTCCCTTCGATTTCGATCGCTTTTCTCGATTTGCCACTAACAAAATGCCCCCTTGGAAGAATATAAATGATTTCTGTTTTATATTCTTTCAATATTCCCGCCTTAGTGTTTGAAAGCCCACAGGATTTAGGGTTTAGGGTTTCTGGGGTTCTAGGGTTTAAAAGGGTTGTGGGTTTCTTTTTGCTTTATGTCGTTGTCTCGTCGGTCTGCTTGCCTTCACGATACTGTTGCATTTATTACCTTTCACCTCCATCGTTCCAGTTCCCTATACGATTTACCCTTAACCTCTCCCTTAGTCTTCACTCTGGTTTTTACGCGAACCATTACCTTCTGTGCAATTTCCTCTTCTTCCTTGAGCTCCTGCCTTCGTTCCTATTACCTCATCCGTTAACTCTTCCCTTTCTGTTTTCCTAAATTCACTACAATGACTAGCTCATCAAAATCTTCTGACTTTTCTGCCCCACCCCTTTCTTCACTGCCATCTAACCTGCTGGAGATCAACAACCAGAGGTTCGCTCCAGTTCCTCTGATGGAGGAGGCTTCCCGCAAGATTGCTGAGACGCAGGTACTTATTCCTTATACTGTTGAAGGGGTAAATTTTGCTTTTGGGGGTCCTCTCCGTCCTATCGATGACATTTTTACTCCTCTTAACCTCTCAACTAGTCCGGCTTTGGTTCATCAACTCGAAGTTAGGGTTGATTTCTCGAATCTTACTTCTAAAGTGTATAGAACGGGCCCTCCTTCCAAAAAGCCTCAA